CACAAATTATCTGTCATGGCCGCTTAATACGACAGAAGCATCAACACAAGGTGATAAAATCCCGATAGGCATAATAAGGTATGTGGATATACTTGGTGTCTTGTCTCACGACTTTATTTTTCAAGACATTTTATGCTGAGGTTAGTCTTTATTGCTATATGGCGCCTAAATCTGAGGATTTCAAACATTACGATTTATGGTGAATGTGGTAGGTTTCCTTGTTTATAGAACCACAGATGAAAGTTTGCCAACATTGGTTAAGGATGTTGAATATGCCATCCTACAGAGTACTCCGAAATGTAATGATGATGCATTGCGATAACAACGAAGAACATAACTATGCAATAGCTGCAAACATTAACTATGCTCTACTGGGTTCGGTAATATAGCTGTGAGCAGCCTATAGAGTCAGTGAAACAACTACTGGCTGATTATAGGTATACACAGAGTTGGACCAATCGCTTATCTCTGTCGAATAAACATCTTCATTACATTATTTTTAGACATTTATTAACGAAGAAATTTATATTTATCGGTCATCTTTAAACGTGCCATAATATAGAACTATTCGGGCGTGGTTACGCTGTTTATCTCATAATTTATTCATAGGAACGGAGAGATATACTGCCTCGATAATATGTATGATTGTACTACAGGCCTGTTGACTAATCTGGGCAGAAATAATGATTGATTGGTATCTACTTGAAGAAAGATTATCCATACATTCCCACCAAGCCTGTCCAAGAACCTGCCCTAAGCTTGGGTTGTAAAAACAACATTGAGTGGACCGTCTCCGGAATCACCTGACAGAACGCCTCATAGTTTCAACATGCTCTACAGTATAAACAACCTATTAAGGCAACAATATATGACAGTTCTCAAGAAAAACAGTCAAAACAGTATACACCCAAGCGTTAGCTCTTTTCATGGACCCGAAAACAATGGACAGGGTTTGGGGATAATAATCCCGTTAACGTTGTGACTGCCGGTTCATCTCATTCGGCTTGTCCAGGAGCAGGATGCCGGTGAGGAGGAGTGAGAAGATGTCACAAAGTCAGGTTTGGGGTATATAAATGTCAACAAGCCCCATCTCTACCATCGTCTCCTGACTAGCGGAACATACAGTCATTATACGTAACCCTTCGCTCTTTTGACGAATCCTAGCAAGGCTCCATCACACTCCAATATTGGACCATGACTCCCGCCACCGGTCTCCCCGTCGCTGACAACTTCATCATTGCCGAGCCCCAGGATCCGATCTCCGCTTCGTTTCGCCTGTATGGTCTGATAGACATCCACGATAAAACACTGGAACAGGTTCAGGCCCTGGACGCCTACATCTTGGACATCACGGAGAAGATTGTCAAGGACACCCAAGGTAACCGAGGCCATGTTGGACATGGGCTGCTGCTCCTCAATCGCAAGTGTGTTGCCGAAGGGATGCGGGATGTGTTCGTCAAGCTTGCAAACCGGAAGTGGCTCCAGGTGCGCGAGTGCTACAGCTACATACTGAGCCGATTCGACACACGTGACGATCGCTTTGCTAACCTTGACGACGATGTTGTAGACGGCCACGAAGTTGTGAACATCGCCCGTGGTCTCTCAATGGAATGTTGTGCCTTCCAGAGAGGATGTTAGAGGAAGTGCGGACAGTCATGTTTGGCACGTCATGGACAATGTTTTATGTGAACGTTGGTGGAACTCAGCTGCCCTTCCAGGGAAGTGAAATAGTGAAACTATCTATCAGTGCTGTAGATTTTGTATTCTAGTGCTGTCTTTTGTCTCCTTCAGTCATGTTGATATTAAAATGTTCAAATACAAGTATGTTTGTCCTTCAGTTTACTGCATGCCATATGCTAGGTTGACGACACACAGTACAATATTGAGGGAACCGCTACGGCAACGTCAACAGTGCAAGAAGGGGAGGCCATCAGCAGATGGTAACACACGATGGGACCAGTATTTTTATTGATACTCTTTTATTGTGAGAGATGTGTATCCCCTTAATACCTGTCATCTTACACCCACATCCCAGTACCAAACCATTTAATTAAAACAACACAGGGAATTAAACTTTGGAACAGTGCAATCAAGGTTAAAACTAGTAAGGTTAAGCTGAAAAGGGAGGGTGGATTCGATTAGCTGTACCCTCGTTGTTATAAGCTGTAGTGAATGTATTAGTTTGGGGAGTGTACATATCTCACATACATACATCAGACTATAACAGTTTTCAGACGTGCAACAGATGTCATTTGGGATTACACCTTCTTAGTAAAGTACAGATTCTAGTAAATTTCATTATGTTGGAGTCTTATCCGGGATTCGAACCTAATCGCCAGTACTGTTATATGTAAATGTATTCAGATATGTGTCATCAAAGGAAATAAATATGGTTTAAACCACACAAAGAAATGTTAGCTCACTGAGAAAAGTGTAATCCCAAGTATAACATGTTATATTTTACCACTTTTTCTAAATGAAATCGTGTATTTACAAACATCTGGGCTAGCTTGTTATGCATGTGGCCATTCACGCTATTTACGGAACCTTCTCCAAGCAGGGATGATCAATATGGACGTCCAGCTTCCACCCTTGCCGACGTGGACCGAAACTTCATGGCTCGACTGTAGCGTCAACAGTGGCTATTACGAGTTATGTCCCTTCTATCCTAGTATTACAAATCAATAACAACTCATATGAAGTATAGAATTACGAGCATTGGTATAGAATGAAATACACACCATTTTTCACACACTCGCCATATACCAGTGTTTGAGTGGTGAATATACCACGAATTGATCACTTATTAGTCGGCAGGCGTCAGGCTTTCGGTAAAAGAGTCTTAATGAACTGTTTTCACCAGGATGATGAAAAATAAAATACTATAATTAGTAAAGACCCCAAATGTCCACAAAATACTAAGCACCAGTAGCATCCTCCAGAAGATAGCCCTATATTTTGGTATCCATGAAACTGAAATTGCAGCTCTTGTCTCCTGTACTTTCTTCGATTGCACTTAAGTCTTCAACAGTTCTGATTCGTATTCAATGACAATGAGCACGTAGGGAGAGGCACAGCTATAGTACCGTACTACGAAGCTCTCAAACACTAAGTTCAGGATGCCAAACAAGCTTCATGGACAGTTTTCACTGAGGTTCCTGTCCTGAGTGGCCATATTTTTTGCTTCAAGAAGGAATCACTTGTCTGCCAGATATAGGTTAAGGTCTGAATCATTACGTCATGATTAGCTTGTTAAGCGAACATACATCATACCTGAGCGTACATTGGACGTTTGAGATACTATAAATGACTACCCAACACTTTAAATCACCGAAATTACTACTAAAATAATAGTCATATTTCAATGAGTGAGTTTAGTTTTACGCCGCACTCAGCAATATTCCAGCTATATGGCGGCGGTCTGTATATAATCGAGTCTGGACCAGACAATCCAGTGATCAACAGCATGAGCATCGATCTGCGCAGTTGGGAACCGATGACATGTGTCAACCAAGTCAGCGAGCCTGGCCACCCGATCCCGTTAGTCGCCTCTTACGACAAGCATTGGTTACTGAAGATCAATATTCTAACCCGGACTTTCACGGGTTCATATTTTAATGTCACATTATATACAATCTATAGTTGAATTCTGATTTTTATTTAAAATGCATTTTAAAAGTTCGTATTTACGTTCCCAAATCTTTCAGTAAAATTATTGTAGATATTTCGCCCATATCTCTAACCTCTATGTCAGAAAAGCATACATTTGAAAATCGATTGACCCTCAAATTATGAAAACCTTACAGTTGTTGAAATGCTATATACGTAAAAAGAAGCGACAAAACCTTTCCATATTCATAGGAAGTCGCAGCCAAAAGCAGAGTCGATTGTACAACTGTGACTATATCATGAGCAGATCTTTGTTTCGGCAGTATTACAGCTGTATGATGTTTGTAAACAAATCGAGTCTGAACCAGACAATCCAGTGACTGTCACCATGCGAAATGATGTCAGAGCATATGTGTATATGAATCACTATGGAATTGTGATGATACCAGGTGTTCGCGAACAGGTGAGTGTATCCTGCCCCACCGGTGGTACCCGTCATACACATATACAAAGTCATTTGTTCACCTGAAATGATTCGGAACGTATGGTATAAGTCAAAATAGGGAACTGCATCGGACATCATGTTTGTCACTGATGCATCAAAGTTGGAAACTTCCTCCACATGTCTACAATAAACCTTCTAAGCTTTACTGAGGCCTCGAATGTTGTAACCTTGATCAAACAACTTCTGAGCACGAGTGGCATGACGTTCTTTAAAATCCTGATAAAAAGAGCAGGCTCGATTGTACCTCAAAAGTTGTGAAATGTAAACACCAAAGGCTGGAGCTTTCTTGAATATATGTAAAACTCTATCCATAAACATAGGACATTGCAGAGTCAGTTATGCAATAGATTCACAAGCTCACTATCAAATACTGCTGATACCGGAGGTAAGGAGACACAGAACCACACAGGCGGTTGTCAGATCCATGTGTTTTCTCTCCGACTAATTGTTATGTATACAAATCAAACTTTTGAAAGCAATAAGTGCTAATATCCGCAAGCAGACATTGTGATGGCACATTTCAGTGATCCTTAGTATTCTGTTGTGCCGTATGGAATATGATCGTCTGACGTTGTCGTTTTGAATTGGATAGGGCCGTTCACCCATCTGATTGGATATCAAAACTTAGCAAAAGTGCGAAAGCATTTAGTTTATTGATTGAAGATTTTCACTTAATAATGTTTCGATGTAGAAACACGTCAGTTTCAAGTCTGTGGTCTCTAACTGCCCTTGGTCTCATATGTTGTGTAGCTGTGTCTCGCTATGGTATCTGTGTGTAGTCATATCATCTGATTTCACCCAATATATTCCCAGCGAGTCAAATTCAAACTGTCACTGCGCGTCTCTCCATGTGGGTGTTTTCAGAGACACAACAGTGAGTCGTGTAAACTGTTTGGAGAACTATTTATTCTACAGGGTATTGTCCATCATGAAGTGTTTCGCCAAACGCTCGGCCTTGTTAATGCTCCGTCTGACCACATCTGGAACATCCTGAAATGACCAAACAGATGGAAAACATATCGTAAACATACTATGGATGTCTTGAATTGACTGTGTAAGATGTGAGGAATCGCCACATGACGGCTGCTTATGGGTAAGAGAGTAATTTGGATATGCTACTTAAGAACCTGGAAACATTATCTAGATAAGCATGATACACACATATCCTGACATATGGTACGAGAGGTGCGACGCCTAGCGGGCTCCCCGCCTCCCATGGTTACAGTGGTATAAAGTTGATAATGAATTATGTCCCCTCAGTTCTTTTCACCCAACTTCAAGATACATGCACGATGGACTTACATTAGATGGCAAAGGCTTGCAGTTGTCTGGGACAAGGAAGACATCCGGCTTTCTGATTCCTGGCTGGAAGTTGGTTAGGATGTAGAGGATGTCCGCAGAACCTGCAAATAGTCGCATTTCAGGGCAATCCGAATGTATTGTTTAAACATGACAAACAATAAACTCCCTTAAAACGAACCCGAATATAATGACCAGTGTTTTTGCTGTGGTAGAAATGTGTATAACGAGCTACGATTATAACGATCTAAAATTAGTCGTTTCTTTAAGTTCGCAATAACCGTTGTTTACTTACAGGGATCATTCTTCCTATCACATCGTCCTTTATCACACTGATTTCATAAAGTTCTGCATCATATATATGGAGGACACAGTGCATGTGATTACAAAACACATATATAACTGAACGAACATTTTGTTCTGGCAAACTAGGGCCGGTGTTACATGTTACTTACCACCCTGAATGGTTCCAAAGAGAGATTCGAATATCGGGATACATCCTTTGTCGGTGACAGATAGTCGTATAACGTTGCCAGATTCAGGAACCAAGAACTGCCAGGTTGTGAAGGGAATCGCGCTGACGCCTGATCCGATATAGCTTTCTCGTACCTTGACAGCATCATCTGAAGAATCCAGACATTAAGACACTCTGGACAGGCGTGGGCACTGACTCCACAGCAACTCATTTGAACTGATGGCACATTTACATGAGAACATCTTTACAGTTGGTCAGTGAAAACTCCAGTTTAACATCCACGTGGCACTGACTGGTTCCACATACAAATCATCAAGTTCAAGAATCTTTAGTCCACTTGGGATCAATAAAAGAGTGGATCGTAAAATCAAGAAACCTCTGAAATCCCACCTGGTATGCAGCTTTTCAGAAACCGGATAGTATTCTTAGATTTGAAACATCCATCCTTTGTTAGTACGAACATTTCATCCTATTGAAATATAAAGTAGAAGGTAAAACATAGATACAATAGCGGCTCAGTCTCCAAAGTTTCGGGGCAGTTGTTAAAGCTAAAATCAAGCACCATCTTAGAGGTACTGAGATAACAATATGTGAAATACCGGACATCTTCATTGATAACATCTGTGCCGGTGAGGACCTTAAGGCCAGGAGTAACAATCTCCATGGACATGCACCAATCCACCACCAGTCAGCTTTCTAGTCAGCTTTCCATTTACGTCTAGCAATATTCAATCAGTCACATCATTTGATGTCTACATATCCATGTCAGTAATGTTGTGGCGATATATGGCAATGTACGGAACATGGTATTCACAACTTCACACATTCATTGGACGATAAGATTTCGAAATGCAAATTTCTTACGGCAACGTCATCTACGACTACGTTGGTGGTCAAGCTGCTGCCATTGGTGAAGTTCAGGGTCGCTTCTACCATCAGCTTCCGGGAATAGAAATCGTAGTGGATGACGTTCTCGCCCTGTAAATCCATACTGGAGATACTAATGTGGTTGTATTTTTAAGAATGAAATTATCTTTTACGCTCGCAGTCAGCGGGTGGTCATTTGGGTAAATCAAACACTTCTTATGTTGAGGGCCGTGTACCGTGTCTTGTTGGTACCAGCAGGTGCACTCTACAACAACGTCTTGTTGGTACCAGCAGGTGCACTTTACAACAACGTCTTGTTGGTACCAGCAGGTGCACTTTACAAACATTCAAAACCATAACTAGGCCAGAGTGGCTGCATCTACTCAAGGACGCGAGATAAACCACGTTGCTCTTCTACCTGTTACTTTGTTCCAAGAAAAAGGCTAAGTTAAGGATGCATGAGGAGACCAGAGAATAAGTTAATGACCAATTACAATATATACGTGTTTTGTATGTTCATTACAGATCAGCAAAGCACTAACCAGCAGGTAATAACTACATGTCTACTCACATTAATCAAACCTGGCTTTGGCTGGCCATTTTGGGTGAATATACCACCCCCCACTTCGCCCATTCTAGCCTCAAACTTGCGATCTATGCAGCATGGCGTCCCTGCCGACGTTGACGCCACGAGGATGCCACATACCAACACGGACAACATATTAACAGAACTGGTCTGATGGACGTACTTACTAAAACTGATATAATACTCGTGGCCATATGTTCAAACTCACATTGCCGAGTTCCATGCGGACAATCCCAGTTTTTCTGATAAACACCTTTCCACAGAGAGTCAACGAGTTCAGTCCCGAAATACATGTTGACTTTAAGATTCATGACTTGTGTTATGTCGCTCACAATAATAGATACGGATTAATTATGACGAATATTGGTTTTGATTCAATGAAGTTGAAACAAAAACTACATGTATTCTACAAGTATTCTACAGTATCATTATCATCTATATTACAGAATAACAGAATAACAGAACTTTAATGTATTTCGGGGCCGGGAGGCCTAGAGTACAGTGTGGAAATATTATGATATATATATAATTGTTAGAGCGCTATAATGTTATGGTACATCATACACAATGCCATTGAGAATGTGGTCAAATGCAACACGCTCTATCTGGGACCACGCCCACACAGACTCCCGCACCCCTGCCGGGCCGAGTCCCATCTAGGACCCGGACCCACACCCCCACAGCCCGGCACCGATAGGCTGTGGGCCGAAGCAGGTATTTGTCCCTAAACTTGGAAGTGCTAAAAGTTTTTGGTGAATACGTGAACTTGGTATCAAATTAAAGGTCCTGGAACTGCTCTTTCAGAAAATACAATGTTCTTGTGAAAAGATGTGTTCACTGAGGAAATACTGTTGTTTTAATAAGACTCCAACTTTACATTCGAAGGAAATCCGGAATAATGTTCACAACAGCATACTAACACACTTACATTGCATTAACATAGGAATGTTTTTATTAAAAATATTTGTTATCATTTATTATGTCTTAAATGTGATAAAGTTAAAGGTCACATGCAACCCAAAAATCAAACATAATTAAAACACAATTATCACTTCTTCATGACATATAATATGCATTGCTGATTATGAAAAAACAAATAAACAAAATTATAAGCGTATAATCGCAAATCAAAAGTGCAATATTTTGTACTTGGGTTTACCTCCCTCGCAACGAAGCAGGTGGGATACCGAACCCAGTCAGAGCGGGTGGGTGTGTACTCAAGTGTAACGGCTGGTTCATTAGCAGATGCTGCCCTCACGGCTTATTGTGTGTATATATATAGAGATGTTGGGTTTTGTAATTACATGATCAGTTTTTGTGTATAACATTTTGCAATCAACAGACATCATAACATGTCATGTGTTCAAGTATCACACCTGCCTGTCTGTGTAATTACATAATGTGACAGAGACCGAACTCGGGCCATAAATCAATGCGTTTTGTTTATGGTGTATAGCCTGATTGGTGTTAAGTTCAAATTGCATGTGGTCAGTGATCGCAGTTGTGTACTGAATATTGTCATTAGCAGACAGGCAGGCAGACACACAGGTGTCAATAAAACAAGACATTGAGTTTTGTCTGTGACAACGACATATCTATATCACAGTTAGAAATTGTGTCAACGCTAAATAATGACATTGCTTTTAAGTATCGAAGTGAGAAAGTGACTCGGTAAGAAGAACGTGTGGTGAAATAGACAAATGAAATTATATAAACAGTTTATTTACTGTCATAACATATAAAAAGCTCGCGCCTGTGAGATATCAACAAAACATTATGAAAATAGCTCACGCCAAAGCCTTCACCGAGTTTTCACCAGACAGCCCGCTTCCAAGTTGCGCGAACCTATTTCACTGTGCACGTGCTATGAGCGCAGCCCAGCTGTTCAAACCCGTTTTCCCGGGGAAATTTAGTGAAACGTTTGAACTCCAATTTCGCGCGTTTTTTTTCATCGCGTTATTTTTTAACTTTATAAGTTGAATTTGCATTTTTGACGCTTTGTTTCGGTAAGTCCATACCGAAAGGTATCAGAATCTGCAAAGTTGTGTTTTACGTTGCATGTGACCTTTAAGAATTTCAAGTTTCATTTGCCACATTTGTAGGTATTTGACTTGTTATGTGTCACAAACGCTGTCTCTTAAGTGTAATGCAACTGTAATGAGGATCAAAGAACAGTATTTTCCAAGTAAAGTACATTTTGTTAATTCTCATATGAAACTAACAAATATCTCATTCATATTATGGAGTACACTATGTAATGGTAATGTTGAAAGTGCACTGTATACAAGTCTTCTTTGTGCCACATCATAGTATTTCAAACACAAACCACATGTTATGACTACTCTTGTTACTGTAAGGTGTCAGTATTCCTCTTCACTGTCTTCAGTGGCACTCTCAGTGCATCTTCTGTCACCTGTCGATTTTGACAATCTGATTCACTGTCACTACATGGAATGTTGATCAAGGATGATTTTCCTGTCTTGTTGTAGTACACAAACTCACAGCAAATTGATTTAGGCTGTAGAAACTCTAAATTTGTATACTTTGACTGGAGTCGTGATTTTAGCTGACTGTTTCTATGTGTCATGTCAATTCCTTCTATTTCTTTAACAGTCTTAATGAAAATTTCTGTCAAGAGGGACATCTTCAACACTTCCTCATTTGATATCAACCGCTCTTCTATGACATGTAAACAAAATACATCAAATGATTTTGCCAGTGGCTTGGGTCCTGCACCACAATTAACTTCATAAACACACTTTGTGTATGTTTTGTAGCAAGAGGCATGATATCTAACCTCAACTGAAACAGGATCTAGGTCACCTATTTTCAATAAAATCCGCTCATCATTCCTTATCTTGGCAGCCTCTAATAGTTTTGCAGCATCAGTTTCACAACTAACTGGTTTCTCAATCTTTCTTGTGAAAGTAGATTTGTCACAAACAGTCTTATTACTGCTGCAAATTATACATTCTGGCGGCAGAACATATTGTGAATGGCTTTTAGCACTAGAAGTTTTAGGAAACTGTAATCTCAGTAGCAGTTTTGATTTCTTTGGAGAAGACACTGATTCAGAGCTGACAGACTCCAATTCTGATCGCAAACAGCCTTTATGCTTCCGCTTAAGACCCCTCTCAATTCGAGTTTTATCAGTAAGTCTCTGATAACAACGTCTGTGAAATCCACCAGTTTCCAGATTGGTTTTATCAAAACTCAGGGCTATTTTTTTCTCCTTACCATCAAGTGTAGCCCAGACAACCAAACACTGCAGTAAGTTTGACCATGATGTTTCAGAACAAGAGTCTTCAGAAGATGACATATCCCCCCGGTCCCCACATCTTTGAAAGAACAAATCATCTGACAGTTACTTGAAGTCCAGCTTAGTGCAAATCGTTTTAGACTGACTCTTCGACCTTGTGCTTCATCTAAATCGACGTCGTGACTTCAACAATCATATTCTGTAGTTGCCATTAAAACGTATATTTCAGAAATGTATTTTAGGGTCTGACAGGCTACTAACTGCACGAGCTCAAACCTGCATCCTACACATGATAAGTATCTGTGATGCAACGGCGCTTGCAGTCATCATCCGGCCAGGAGGCGTAGTATGGGTGGCTTCTCTGGTGAGTATTTCATTGTGCGAAGGAATGGGATGAAGTGGTGTATTATCCTTTGTCAAGGTATTTAACTCCCACATTATTGATGAAGGAAGATAGTAAGGCAGCTAGGCGAGACTCTGTGGTGGAACAGCATGTCCTAATCCATTTAATGGGAAACATAGCCGCGGGCAATATGGCTCTCATTGTGAGGTAAATAATGTGTAGTTGGTGACTTGGAGTGTAGGTATGGGTTGATCCCAGTCGTGACAGAGCGTCACCATGCCAAGCGATACGCTAGGATTTCCTTCCAAGTCGCCATCAGGGTGGGCGTAGACTGTAACTGAGGTTGAGAAGGCCGGAGAGGGTATACTGTTCACGAATGAGAACAGGTTTTATCTATGCATATCGTATCATCGTGACAAGAGTCTACAGCTTGTGTTACCCAACTTCATCAGTTTGGGGAGGAAGTGTAATAGTATAAGCATAATGGGAGCGAAAAAATGTATCATTCTCCATGGCAATCAATATCAATGGCATACACTATCTTCGACATCGTTCGAGATCATATTTGCCCGAAACGACGTAATGTCACGTTGCAGAAGAAGAACGCCCACCCGCGCTGCACGGGTTGTAACATATTTTGAGGCAGCATAGCATTGCTGCACTGCCTTGTCCGGCTGGTCCAATAGACCTTTCACACATGTCTGGGATAAGACGCTCCGATGTGTACGACAGGACCAGAATCAGCCCGTAAAGGTCTTTCACCTTGGCCAATCTTTGGTGAGCATCTGGAACAACATCCCCAAGGCTGTTTTCAATCATCTTGTGTCTTCAATGCACCTCCCCTGTATCGGCGCAAATGGTGGACACATCCTATGTTTACATATAGTTAACTCAGGCTGTTACGCCAAGCCTCTCATAAGGCGTGTCGCTCTGTCTCCTGTTCCCAGGTATGGAGTGTTTTACATGCGTTTATTGGAAAATGTCAAATGACCAAATACCATGTTATTATTTTCATACTTTTTACAGCAGTTAGTATAAAGCACAGTTACTCTTTCTGTTAGTATACAGCACGTAATCACACAGCGTTATTAGGGCGTCAAGCAGTGTAAAATTTTACAAAAGATCCTGAATTATATTGAATTGATGTATATAAGGAAAACACGAAGTAATGCAGGTCCATGGTCCTAAAACACCTATAAACATAATGTGGGCGAACTGGGGTTCGAAGCCCTTATACATTGCATATTGTTGAATGATGGACTGTGTTTAGGATGAAGTTTAAAGTTACTAAGATGTTTCACAATTGCTCATCAATAATTGCACGGATGTTCTTTAGCGTCCGAAAACCCAAACTACAAGGATACTTGACAGAGATTTACCTGTAATTAATGAAAAATGGTCCATTAGCACACAAGCATTATTCCATATTTGTAATGTAGCACTATTAATATGCATGGGTGACTCCCATAGAGTTGGCAGGTGGATTCATTACTACACGTGTCTTGCAGCTGGAGCTGATGACGTCTTATAGGTTCATTCAACATAGTGGATGATTACGTCTTATGGTGTTGTAGTGGATGTATTACGTCTTATAGGTTCATTCAACATGGTGTTGTAGTGGATGTATTACGTCTTATAGGTTCATTCAACATGGTGTTGTAGAGTGGATGTATTACGTCTTATAGGTTCATTCAACATGGTGTTGGAGTGGATGTATTACGTCTTATAGGTTCATTCAACATGGTGTTGTAGTGGATGTATTACGTCTTATAGGTTCATTCAACATGGTGTTGTAGTGGATGTATTACGTCTTATAGGTTCATTCAACATGGTGTTGTAGTGGATGTATTACGTCTTATAGGTTCATTCAACATGGTGTTGAGTGGATGTATTGTCTTATAGGTTCATTATACGTCTTATAGGTTCATTCAACATGGTGTTGTAGTGGATGTATTACGGATGTATTACGTCTTATAGGTTCATTCAACATGGTGTTGTAGTGGATGTATTACGTCTTATAGGTTCATTCAACATGGTGTTGTAGTGGATGTATTACGTCTTATAGGTTCATTCAACATGGTGTTGTAGTGGATGTATTACGTCTTATAGGTTCATTCAACATGGTGTTGGAGTGGATGTATTACGTCTTATAGGTTCATTCAACATGGTGTTGTAGTGGATGTATTACGTCTTATAGGTTCATTCAACATGGTGTTGTAGTGGATGTATTACGTCTTATAGGTTCATTCAACATGGTGTTGTGTTGTGTGGATGTATTACGTCTTATAGGTTCATTCAACATGGTGTTGTAGTGGATGTATTATAGGTCTTATAGGTTCATTCAATAGTGGATGTATTACGTCTTATAGGTTCATTCAACATGGTTCATTTGTTGTAGTGGATGTATTACGTCTTATAGGTTCATTCAACATGGTGTTGTAGTGGATGTATTACGTCTTATAGGTTCATTCAACATGGTGTTGTAGTGGATGTATTACGTCTTATAGGTTCATTCAACATGGTGTTGTAGTGGATGTATTACGTCTTATAGGTTCATTCAACATGGTGTTGTCTTATAGTGGGATGTATTACGTCTTATAGGTTCATTCAACATGGTGTTGTAGTGGATGTATTACGTCTTATAGGTTCATTCAACATGGTGTTGTAGTGGATGTATTACGTCTTATAGGTTCATTCAACATGGTGTTGGAGTGGATGTATTACGTCTTATAGGTTCATTCAACATGGTGTTGTAGTGGATGTATTACGTCTTATAGGTTCATTCAACATGGTGTTGTAGTGGATGTATTACGTCTTATAGGTTCATTCAACATGGTGTTGTAGTGGATGTATTACGTCTTATAGGTTCATTCAACATGGTGTTGTAGTGGATGTATTACGTCTTATAGGTTCATTCAACATGGTGTTGTAGTGGATGTATTACGTCTTATAGGTCTTATGGTCCAACGTGGTGTTGTAGTGGATGTATTACGTCTTATAGGTTCATTCAACATGGTGTTGTAGTGGATGTATTACGTCTTATAGGTTCATTCAACATGGTGTTGTTCATTAGTGGATGTATTACGTCTTATAGGTTCATTCAACATGGTGTTGTAGTGGATGTATTACGTCTTATAGGTTCATTCAACATGGTGTTGTAGTGGAGTGGATGTGGATGTACGTCTTATAGGTTCATTCAACATGGTGTTGTAGTGGATGTATTACGTCTTATAGGTTCATTCAACATGGTGTTGTAGTGGATGTATTACGTCTTATAGGTTCATTCAACATGGTGTTGTAGTGGATGTATTGTCTTATAGGTTCATTCAACATGGTGTTGTAGTGGATGTATTACGTCTTATAGGTTCATTCAACATGGTGTTGTAGTGGATGTATTACGTCTTATAGGTTCATTCAACATGGTGTTGTAGTGGATGTATTACGTCTTATAGGTTCATTCAACATGTGGATGTATTACGTCTTATAGGTTCATTCAACATGGTGTTGTAGTGGATGTATTATTACGTCTTATAGGTTCATTCAACATGGTGTTTGTAGTGGATGTATTACGTCTTATAGGTTCATTCAACATGGTGTTGTAGTGGATGTATTACGTCTTATAGGTTCATTCAACATGGTGTTGTAGTGGATGTATTACGTCTTATAGGTTCATTCAACATGGTGTTGGTGTGGATGTATTACGTAGGTTCATTCAACATGGTGTTGTAGTGGATTATTACGTCTTATAGGTTCATTCAACATGGTGTTGTAGTGGATGTATTACGTCTTATAGGTTCATTCAACATGGTGTTGTAGTGGATGTATTACGTCTTATAGGTTCATTCAACATGGTGTTGTAGTGGATGTATTACGTCTTATAGGTTCATTCAACATGGTGTTGTAGTGGATGTATTACGTCTTATAGGTTCATTCAACATGGTGTTGTTGTGGATGTATTACGTCTTATAGGTTCATTCAACATGGTGTTGTAGTGGATGTATTACGTCTTATAGGTTCATTCAACATGGTGTTGTAGTGGATGTATTACGTCTTATAGGTTCATTCAACATGGTGTTGTAGTGGATGTATTACGTCTTATAGGTTCATTCAACATGGTGTTGTAGTGGATGTATTACGTCTTATAGGTTCATTCTTATAGGTTCATTCAAACATGGTGTTGTTGTAGTGGATGTATTACGTCTTATAGGTTCATTCAACATGGTGTTGTAGTGGATGTATTACGTCTTATAGGTTCATTCAACATGGTGTTGTAGTGGATGTATTACGTCTTATAGGTTCATTCAACATGGTGTTGTAGTGGATGTATTACGTCTTATAGGTTCATTCAACATGGTGTTGTAGTGGATGTATTACGTCTTATAGGTTCATTCAACATGGTGTTGTAGTGGATGTATTACGTCTTATAGGTTCATTCAACATGGTGTTGTAGTGGATGTATTACGTCTTATAGGTTCATTCAACATGGTGTTGTAGTGGATGTATTACGTCTTATAGGTTCATTCAACATGGTGTTGTAGTGGATGTATTACGTCTTATAGGTTCATTCAACATGGTGTTGTAGATTGATTCATCACTAGATGGCCTTGAAAATAGATTCATTACGTGGTGACCATGTAGTCAGAATAATTTTGTGATCGTCTTGAAGATGGATTCCTGGCGTGTGCTATTGTAGATTGAATCATTACTAAATGTCCCTACTTCAACAGAAGAGGGCTCTGCAGATGTGTCCACATGATGTTATTGGTGTTAACATTTCATATTGCCCTTTCACAGTTCGCACAGTCCGTATGACATAAATGGTTTATGATTCGATACTGACTTAATAGAGAATATGGATTAGTGCTCCATTTACCTTGATTCGTAGTCGTATTAACCTGTCTATGCATGGTATCTTCAAAACTGAGTTGAAAACATAATAAAAGCGCGTATCAGTTTTATGTTTATTGGGGACAGCTGTAACCAGAGGGTGCGTCATCACTGAGAGAACACTGTTTGGACGTGTCGGACGGACCTGCCAACTGGGTTCGGAAGCTGAAACAAATGGTTTGAATCAATCAGTTTAACTAACTTATTCCTTGGACTCTAGCGTCAAGAAAATCAGTTCCGTCACATAGAGTAAAGTAAGTGTTTGAACACCCCACGGCAGTACAGCCAACAGCCAATCCAGCTATGAACCCCAAACTCAGCCACATCGCATTTCCTGATTCTATTAAAAATAGCTGAAAGCGATATGGTTATTTAGAATTACGTCTGTTGTGTACAAGATGAGATTCTACTGCTTATAAAGTAAAGAAATAGAAAGTTTCAGGAATATGTTCGTTATAAAATAACTTATAACAGTCCTGCACCTCTAAATCTCTGTTTGACGAAATGCTACACCTTATTTCACAAGTACAACATCTTAAATGGGTGATGCTAGACTGACGTTAATATAGTTAGAAATATCACTATCTTATTTGAGTTGATATAAGGAGCCATATTTCAGGTCAGAACTGATCAATCAAGTCTTGCCAAATCTTCCTAGACTAATTACTAAAATATAAGACTATGACGATCGTTAAGCTAGCGGGTAATCGGGGCAATTATCACTCGATAAGGTCGTATTCGGATCTCAGTGTAAATCTGAAATGGCCAATGTGCCAATAACCGGAAATAAGAACACAATCTCTACGTAATATCTCTGTGAGAGGTGTGCACTCACCGAAGAAGACATCCGACAGGCTTGAGGGACGTTAAACACGTCACTATTTCTGAGCCCAGTTCGGAACTCACTGAAGACGTACACAAAGTTGGTCTCAATCACTGAAAATGGTAAATCATAGAGTTTAAGGATACAGGAACAAGCATGATGTGATAACAGCAGTAAATGCTCTCTTACAACCACATTATCCAGTAGCACCGTTTGAAACATGGAGCAGGATGAACCATATGCTGCATTTAGGAGCGAATTAGGGTAAGAACATTGCTGCCTCTTGCTTCAAGCGCAGTCAAGCTGGACTATAGTCTGTCTGTAGTGAAAACGTACCGATGAATTTCATTTTAAACAAAAAAGTAAATCGAATAAAGTGAAATTAAGATTGCGAATCCTCATAATTTTACCTTGCCAATTGAACATTTAAATCTCAGAATTTTATTCAACTTTGGATAAAAGTTGTTTAACAAACGATCATAGATTCAAATCGCTATTATTGTTTTGTATTACAAAGGAGCATGCACATTAAAATGAAACACCGAGAACAAGTAGGGTTGGTCTAAGTTAACGCTCATCACGTATCGCAGTTGCATTTGTTTCACTGTTCCAACTACTGCGCTTACCCCCTTGTAATATCTATGAATTGAATCTATGATCGTTTGTTAAACGACTTTTATCCTTAGATGCATAAAAGTCTGAGATTTAAATGTTCAATTGGAAAGGTAAACTTATGAGGATTCGCAATTTCCATTTCACTTTATTTCATTTACTTTTTAGTTTAAAGTGAAATTCATAGGTGCGTTTTCAGGCGCGTACAGCAAGCCAAGTTTTTCGTGTAAGCCCGATAGGATGCAAAGCTTTATAATTAGATAGTATTGAGGACTTGCCCAACTCTTTTTTTTTTTTTATATAATGGTATCTCCGCCCCTGGTTTTCACTGCAAACAGGCTATAGTCCCAAGCTGGTTCGATCGTACCATCGTTGTTCATAACTTCAGTCAATCGAAACGGCAATCTATAGGTGAGTATCATACAGGTGGGACATTGCTGTGTTTGGTGTCAGCCAACAAATACAAATGTAATACAACAACATATGTATGTAGGTTTACATACTCTGTTTTCCATCAGGCGTTGGTACATGACCCACAAAAGACTCGACAATGGGCGAGCATCCGTCCTGAGTGACGGCCACTTTGAGGGACTGGTCAGTGTTCTGGGGATGGTACTCCCAGTTATACAGAGCCAACTTCGACGTGCCGTACCCCATGTATGTTTCCCCAATGTACTTGGCAGTGTCTGGTGGCAGAGAGACAATTGGCACATCAAGTAATTCTACTGCTCGAAATTGATCATATTTACTGTTATTTCACATATATATTTCCAAATGCTTACTGCCCATTTACATTGCGAATTGAAATAAAGATTACTTTGGATTTTGATCAAAGGAATTTATTGAACAATGAGAAAAAGATCATTCACATGGGCGACAGGGAGTGATTGATTAATAAATGGAATCAATTCCTTCGCGGACACAACCCGTCAGGTGCACGTGTCTGTTAAGGGGAACTTAGCTTATCAATATTAATAACGTTATAGTGTACCTTTAGGAAAAAGGTCTGTCCAAGAATTGGCAGATCATATTTCTGTCTTTCTCTCAACAAATGTTACATACCAGGAACACACGGATCTCGCATCTTCGTGGTCAGAGGAGTGTGGTAGCAATTGCCTCGGTTTTGGACATATTGCCTTTTCTGCAGAAAAATGAGATTCTATACTGGTAAGTTGGGTTTGGCGCTGCTCTGAATGATGTCTTAAAGTCCAGTATTGAGTCAGGTTTATGTGACAGGAAAGATCGAATATACGTCTGTATGGAAGTGTGGGCAGTGTCGCAGTCTATATCATATTATTTTATCATCATATATTTAACATATTTATAATGAATAATATATCTTAATATTATTATGTCCATTTATTACGTCCATTCATTATTGTTCGTGTTTCTGTTGGGAGCGGGCGGTAATAAGTTAAATAACTTGTGCCCAATCGCTTTCAACATGGAATAAAATATGTTCAAACAAACAAACAAACAATATCATCTGCCTGGAGGGCAACTGACTCGGACACCACGTGGAGGAAGCTGTAGCCACTGTGTTACTGCTCATGGAGCTATCAGACCAAGGATCATCATGGGACATTCACATTAACATTCAATACAGTAAAACTGTGTGATGCAAGATGTGCCACTTTATCCATAACGATGAACATTAAACCGATTTGTGTAATACGGTAAGAGCGATATAGTGTTCAGTTATACGGGGGTGAGTCAGTTAAATGTGGAGGAGAGTGAAGGGCTTGATGCAGATGAAACCAAACACCTAGAGTATAGAGTAACTAACTCAGAATCGTAATCAAGATCATGGGTTTCAGGCAAACTTGATAGACGCAGCACTGAATAATTACATCAGTAACATAGACAGGTGGACTGACTGACTGACTGAGTTTAGTTTTACGCCGCTTTTAGCAATATTCCAGCAATATCACGGCGGGGGACACCAGAAATGGGCTTCACACATTGTACCCATATGGGGAATCGAACCCGGGTCTTCGGCGTGACGAGCCAACGCTTTAACCACTAGGCTACCACACCGGCCCTGGAAGGTCCGAAGACGAATTGTAGATATACTGTCTCTTTTCAGATGAATGAAGCGTGAGCGTACTATTTTTTGTTTGGAACTTCCGGGTTGTGAACTAATTTTCTGGGATTAAGACGCTATTAAATGACCATTAAAAGACTATCACGATACTGATGAGTTTTTGAGTTTTAACTCACAGGTACAAAGATTATTCAATGAACACATCATGTATATATTGTTCTTACGTTGGGGTAATCCAGCAAGATGTTCGTGACGGTCACTGATCCGTTCATCAGGGTCTGATGGGCCTCCACAGCGATCAGTTGGTTGTAGGCATCGTAGTGCACCCTGTTGTAGCCCTGGAGGACGTCACATGTTGTTGCAATCAGTAAATTTGGTTGAAGACAATTGTGTTCAATATTTCAGTCGCATCATAGCACAAACATGTCGAGTAGGTGGAAAGCCTAAATTGATATTAACCTAGCACGGGAATGGTACTAATAACTAAGAACCATAATCAAATTCTAGGATTCTGCTACCTTTCATGGATGCCCTAGTGCCTTGGACATTTTGGTAACCCAAACATCATAATGACGTCACATTGACACATAGCGATTATACGTTGTTATTAACCACTTCATACTTGCACGTGACCACAGCAGTGATCTATGGGACCTATTAATGAAACAGTATTATGGCAATGGGGTGGAAACACCAACCCTCCGCTCTCTGGGCAGACGATCTGTCCGCTACACGATCAAAACATACCGTAAACTTACCAATATAAAATACCAATCGTTTCCACTTGGCATGGTGTTGGCAGACCGAGGATCAAACTCAGAACGAATCAGGGATCAGACCCACGATCATCAGATCCATCGGTCTCCGATAATGAATTGAAGGGCTCCTGCTCTACTTACATCTAGGAACGATGGAGATCCGGGTTAGAATTGATCTTCAGTAACGCATGCTTGTCGTAAGAAGCGATTAAAGGGATCTGGGGGTCAGGCTCGCTGGCTTGGTTGACACAGGTCATCGTATCCCAGTTGCGTAGATTGGTGCTCATGCTGTTGATCACTGGATTGTCTGGTCCAGACTCGATTATTTACAGACTGCCACCATATAGCTGGATTATTGCTGAGTGCGGCATAAACGCCAAACCAAAATCAAACCATACTTACATCTAGCCAGTTCTGTACGAGATGCCCATTGTGGTTGTAGACATTTCCCCCCACCTGACCCATCACCGCCTCGAACTGATGGTCAGTACAACAAGGCTTGGGGTCAACCCCCAGGGCAAGGCCAAACACAGCGGACAGAATCAGAAACCTCATAGTGGAGAGTAGCTCAGTGTTTGAAGTCTTCGTCTGTTCTGACGAACCATCTGCCACGTTATATGAATGCCCTGGTTTTTGATAGGTCACTCTACAAAAATAGAACTGCTATCACTCAGGTCTTTATCTCTCACTGTAACAAAGTCTTTTGAAATAGTGTGAATACGTGCAATAGTTCGTATTTCTTTAAAATACACCCATGTAAACATGTTGTAATCATACACACGATGTAGGCTGAGAGGACTCGTGTTATACACCCCTACTATGCCTTATAGGAGGGTACGTATCAACCGAACATTGTAATGAACAATTTCCCCATTGCATGTTAAAGTTCTCCGAGAGTATGAACAGATATTGATAAACTTCATTGAACGATTCTATGATAACAAGTGAAGATACCACGTGGCACAGGTTACAAACACGCGCAAACACAGGGCAAATGTTAACCTGACAGACTAGAACATTGTACTGTTCAGTGTTTTTACTGACAGGTATCAGGCAAGGTGAATGTTTATTTCCCAAGAGAAATAGTCCTCTATCTGGACCGCGTTCGAATGTCACATCATGTCATTATAGTTTTATGCGATGGAGATCAGATGGTGGAAACTGCCTGTGATTCCCTGTTGTCGACCACTCGCTTTATTATTGCTGTAAACGGCCCACTGAGAAGCAGCTGTATCTGTATGAGGCTCAAAGAGATATTGAGACAATAGATTTGTTGATTCCATTGGTTCTCTGGGACAGTGCTCATGGAACTATGCTTACTGTATGACATGACCTAGATAGCAAATATTACATTACATACTAACATTTGTATAGCGCCGATATCCAGCTCAGCTCAGCTGCTCAAAGGCGCTTAGTTTTTCCCTCGTTCACTGGATGTCAATCTCAACGGCAGATCGTATTGTCAATCTCAACTCCCTGGGGAGCATACAACTCTTGCAGCCACTTGGCGCACCAGGTTATTGTGGCATTCCCATCCTTACGGGGTACCCATTCACAGCAGGGTGGACTGGGACACATAGTCACAGTACTTTGTGCAAGTTTTACTGCACGTTGCTGTACCCGCAACTAGGTGTTTGCACGTATTCATGTGGCCACCATCTGGTCATATACCAACGGATTCGTGGGTTCTTTTAAGTGCACAGGGTTGTGTACTGTACACTAGGGGTTGTGACAACACGGAAAGAGTCTGCACACAAAGTTGACTCCAAGGTTTTACACCCGCTCACAGGTGGGCTCCATCCCGTCACCTCCAGCTCGCTGGATCACTAGCCTGGCGATCAGAAACTGTATAGGCAATGACATAGCACTTGCAATGACATAGCCGTCTACTTCGACGAGGTTTCTACTTTGGATGGAGACCAGCGAAGCCATTTTGGATTGTATATTTACATTATGCTGACAGTGTCCTCCCAGATCACCTAATTTCTCCCCACAAGGTAACACAGTAGAATTAGGTGATTTGGGTGATCATGCTTGGATGGCAGACAGTATGGTGTGGATTTACATCTACTTCATCGTCTACAACACGACGTTTCTGGGCTACTTCTTGTCCCTTCATCAGGTGAAGGACAGAATATGATAACGAACAAAATATATAGTACGTACAGGAGGCCAGTGAGATGGAATTAAAGATTGAGATGTACATAAATCAAGGAGATTAAGCATCGGATGCTTGGATGAGTTTATAATTAGGTAATGTGGGTAGTTGGAACAGTCCATTTTACTGAATGAAGGGTAGGCAAGACAATACATATCAGGCATTTTAATCCAAGTAGTCTGATGCATAATTCCAATAGTTAAGCAAATCAGGTATTTTAATCCACATACTGTTACAAGTATCAAGTTAATCCATGATCAATGATCATTTACAGATTGAGATGTGTCTCTCAATGTCTCTGATTGATCAATGTCATTTACAGATTTAGATGTGTCTCTCAATATCTCTGAATGATCAATGTCATTTACAGATTTAGATGTGTCTCTCAATGTCTCTGATTGATCAATGTCATTTCCACCTGCACATCATCGATTGTGGTAGTTTTTAGATTATGTCGACATTGTTATGTTTGAATCTTGTTCTGACATTGATAATCATCACGAGCGTTTTGTGCTCAGGTTAGGTCTCATGGAGTTTACTTTGTATGTTTTCACAAGCAAACATCAATCGCTTCACTCCCCGCAGTTTCATATATTTATTCCAAGAATTTCACCCACAGAGCAAACCATACCTTGTGAAGAAACCCTTATTTATTTCCCTTATATATATCCAACTTACGTCAACAATGAAGTATGGTGCCTGGAATCACACTTCATGCGTGTGACAATTCGACTCCTATATTCGTGGGTGGTAGCATCATTCTCATAGTCATGTATACCTCTTGCTCTCGGAAATTTCAAACAACCGTTATATTTTCTTAAAACTAGTATTACATTCAGAGCATCCTGATACCACATCAATACAGAATATAACAATGGCAATATATACTGAACGGCAAAAGAGACGTCATACCGATAGAGGTTTCTTAAAGTACACACTTTACTTCACTGTAACTAACAATCAAAACGGAGGATTCAGTTCAAACTTGACTATTATGGCTAACAAATTTACGGGAATCATGGTACCATTAAGATACCCCAAAGTCAGTATCGTGTGTGGCCACCATGGGCATTGATGAAAGCGTTGCATCGTCTGTACATGGAATGAATTAGCCGGTTGATGAAGGCCATAGGCACTTGGGTCCATACTCTGCAAAATGAATGATCGAGTCCAGCCGCAGTTGTCGGCCTTGGTTGGAGGTCATTCAGTCTTCTGTTAATCTCGTCCCAAAGGTGTTCTGTTGGACTTCGGGCTGAGTGCAGGCCATTGTAGGGTTTGGATGCCATGTTGTCTTAGGAAGTCCAATGCTCTGGCAGTGTGGGCACGAGCGTTGTCTTGTTGGAAGATGTGATTTCTGTGACGTCCAAAATGTGATACAACATTGGATCTTATGATCTGGTCAATATAGCGAGCAGCTGTCACGTCATTTCTTTGTCCTAGACCGAGATTCTGGAACCCCATGGGGCCAACTCTCTGGTTCAGATCAATTGCACATCAACAACAATACACTCATTTGAAAACCGTTCCCCACGCCTTCGCCATACGCTCACTCTGCCATCGACTGTCGAAACACAATATCGGCTTTAATGCGAAAAAGGCACAGTTCTCCAATTGTCGATAACGCCAATTTCGATGCTGAGTTGCCCATTGCAGTCGGTTTTGGCTGTGACGAGCGGTGAGGACAGGACCACGATATGGCCTGTGACAGCAGAGGTTTCTTGTGCGCAAACGTCGACCCACTGTATCAGCACTATTGGGTCTGTTGTGAGTTCAAATGGTCTGGCGTGCTGTTTCCGTCGCTCTAGGGAAGCAATCCTGCAGATGGTTGCGCACAGTCTGTCGGTCTTGACGTTGTGAGGTTACTGAACGTCGCCCACGGTCTTAAATGCTGTTAATGGCCTGACACCGCTCCTGCAGTCGGTAGATTGTCCTAACATGAACATTAAAATGATTGGCTACCCTCCGTGCAGTCTGGCCAACTTGCAATGGTCCCAAGACTTGGTTCCTCTGATCTCTGGTAAGTCGTAGCATGGCGATTGTGTCAAAACAAAAATGATTTCAGGCGAGTTTGGGACTCGCTTTCGTTGGTAGTGTTATCACGATATGCACGTGCATTTTCATTTTCAAGAATGTCATACGGAACCTTTTACCACATCTGCCTTTTTAGATGCGTTTGGTCGCTATGCTTGTTCATCAGAAAACACACTGATGTTGGTAATAACTGTCAATTCGGATTGAAAAACACGTTAACAAAACGGCGCAATCATAATAAAAACACCACATTGTAAGAACAAAATTTTGCATTGGGTTTTGAAAGGTGACGTTTCTTTTGCGGTTCAGTATATACATAATAACAGGCTTATGTATATTGTATACGATGTACTACAGATATATCCCAATGTCTGGGGCGCAGGTAGTCTGCCAGTCCTCCAGGGGGAGGTAATTCTCTGGTCAGAGTTGCCTCCCATCACAACGATTTACGCAGATCATGTTCCCAGGTTTGTCAGCATCATGCCGGCGCTCCTTGGTTTCACACAAGTAGTGAACGTCTGAGACCACCTTCACTTCGGATTGTTAAAAGCGGCATTAAACTCAACTCACTCAATCCCTGTGTAACATTAGAATACACAAATGCACTATAACTGGCAACCCTATGTCGTCACCCCCGACTTAGACCCAGAGTAGATTTGCATCCTACGTGAGTCCATTCATTCTGAGTATCAGCACAGTAACAAACATGGAGAACCTGGTCGGGTTCTGCATCCATCCTACAATAGGCAGTACACAACACCATATAACTCACATGCTGTTTACATGTATCTAGCTGCTCGGTTCACATACTAACCTATGTTGGTTTCATACCTTACCAACAAAGTCTGTAATGATAGTACCTGCCTCGTACCTTCGAACCTTCGACATGGCTATAACCTGTCTCCGGTTGAACGTGTCTCCGGTTGTCGCCCAAACAAAACACAACAAACTCCACGATTACTTCAGAGCGCTTTATGTAAAGGTACAAGCCGACGGATTTAGTTGGCGAACAGAGCGTGAACACCACGAAGAGAGCGACCAACAGGTTGTGGAATCTGCAATAAGATATTCTTTCAAACATACAAGTAAAACTCGCAGTAGACGAATGAAAAGATTCCATGAAAGCATAGTGACAATAAGAAGCAGATTGGCTTAACTAACAATTTCTAAATTAAGCATCGCATTGATCTAACCTGTTTCAAACATGGTTGACATTTAATGAACCCTTGTGCCTAAAGGTTTAAACAACATTTTTTTGATAAGCGTTTTTCAATAGATATTCATGATTTTACTGTTAGACCACCTCTGAGTGACGTACGTGAAATATGTTCGCTGTACCTTTGGTATACGTGCATCTCGTTCTTTGGTGAATCGTTAGATTAATGCCCGTCCCGGGACAAATATGCAAATCATGATTTCCTGCTGTTGGTTAGTGTACGGTTAAAAAACGGAGTCATGGTTTGAATAAAATAATATTTTTAGGAATGCGGCCCAAATTACAGAAATACATTTCTATACTATTAACTGTTGAAATCGATGGTGGGGTCCACAATTCCCTAACCATCAGTTCTTAACCAAAGTTTGGCGTGGCCGCGACGTTACCATGTCATCATTTAATTTATATTAGACAGACAGACAGACAGACATTTATTCAGTAATAGGCCACTGGCCCAAAATACATTCATAAAAATAATAAGAAGTTACATGCGTTTTACCAGGGAGACTATATAATGTTGTAGATTATCCCTGGTTTACACATAAAACATTAGAATCTCTTATTTTCCCAACATTATATAAAAAATTATTATTATATTAATTTATTATATTAATTTATATTACAATTATATAAATATTCACAGAGTTAATGTTTTTTTTGTATATCTGAGGCAATCAAAGCCACGATGTGTGTAACGACATACGTCTTACCGTGTCAGTGGAGCTGGTACACCCGGAGGGGATTTTGAAAGCGTCACGGTTACCGATGGAAGGTTGGAATCCCACCATTAGGAACATGGTATTGGCAACGACTGAAACAAGGAACCACAGCTGACACGTGGGTCACAGGAGCATACTCATTCACCCGTGCGGATATTCCTGGACAGATTTTGATCCCAACCCCCGGAGTCGGCATGACGGGGATTGGTCGGTTACTGTAACCTTCATGCAACATTCTGGCACCATCTTACCCAGGGCGGTGGGGTAGCCTAATGGTTAAAGCGTTCACTCGTCACGCCAAAGACCCGGGTTCGATTCCCCACGTGGGTACAAAGTGTGAAGCCGTGATATTGCTAGAATATTGCTAAAGGCGGCGTAAAACCAAACTCACTCGCTCACTCATCTTACCCCTGGCGGATAGATTTGACGCTGCCAATCACTGGCTTTCCTGAGCCAGACTAGCTTGGTTTCAATCTTCAATCATCAATCAATCAATAGAGTATGATTTATTGCTGCTTTTAACAACTCCCCTCAGATATTACAAAGGAGGACAGTGAAAATAATTCTCAAGTCTTTGATATGACATGAAAATGCTAATCCCACCGTGTCAGATGGGGAGGAGTCCCAAGTACTCTGCTGCTTGACAGTGACGACTCAACAAATAGGATGCTGGTGCAGGTGACATGTCAGCCACTGGACCAACCACACTACCAGCCGCTGTGATAAACACGGACAACTGATGACTGCGACTTAACCCCATTCTCTTTCACAATGTGCGTTTTGTTCTATTTGCAATATTCATTGATACCCTCGAGTTTTGTAAATATTCATATTGATTTGAAGGCTACCAGGTTCACTGATGTTCGTGATCTGGTAGTGTCCGAATATATTCTCGATGATAGGGACACAGCCTTCCTTGGTGACAGTCAGCTTGATGATGTGGTCGGTCCCGGGTTGCCGGTACCTCCAGCTGACCAGGGGCAGCTCCTCCGTCCCGTAGCCCATGTAGGAGTAGCCGTCGAACTCGGAGTCATCTGGAACACACACGGGCAGCTGCATAATATACCGCTCGGATATAGTAAGGGAACAAGGAGGTGCTGTATCAGGAAACAGGTAGAGTACAGTATCAGGGAACAAGTAGGCTGCAGTATCATGTAACAAGCAGGGTGCAGTATCAGGGAACAGGTTGGCTGCAGTATCAGCGAACAAGTAGGCTGTAGTATCAGGGAACAAGTAGGCTGCAGTATCAGCGAACAAGTAGGCTGCAGTATCAGGGAACAAGTAGGGTGCAGTATCAGGGAACAAGTAGGGTGCAGTATTAGGGAATAAATAGGGTGCAGTATCAGGGAACATGTAGGGTGCAGTATCAGGGAACATGTAGGGTGTAGTATCAGATCAGAAAACAAGTAGGGTGCAGTATTAGGGAATAAATAGGGTGCACTATCAGGGAACATGTAGGGTGCAGTATCAGGGAACATGTAGGGTGTAGTATCAGGAAACAAGTAGGGTGCAGTATTAGGGAATAAAATAGGGTGCAGTATCAGGGAACAAGTAGGGTGCAGTATCAGGGAACAAGTAGGGTACAGTATCAGGGAACAAGTAGGGTACAGTATCAGGGAACAAGTAGGGTGCAGTATTAGGGAATAAGTAGGCTGCAGTATCAGGGAACAAGTAGGCTGCAGTGATACAAGTAGGCTGCAGTATCAGGAAACAAGTAGGCTGCAGTATCAGGGAACAAGTAGGCTTCAGTATCAGGGAACAAGTAGGGTACAGTATAATGGAACAAGTGGGCTGCAGTATTAGGGAATAAGTAGGCTGCAGTATCAGGGAACATGTAGGGTGCAGTATCAGGGAACAAGTAGGGTACAGTATCAGGGAACAAGTAGAGTGCAGTATCAGGGAACATGTAGGGTGCAGTATCAGGGAACATGTAGGGTACAGTATTAGGGAACATGTAGGGTGCAGTATCAGGGAACATGTAGGGTGCAGTATTAGGGAACATGTAGGGTGAAGTATCAGGGAACAACTAGGGTGTAGTATCAGGGAACAAGTAGGGTGTAGTATCAGGGAAAAAGTAGGGTGAAGTATCAGGGAACAAGTAGGATATAGTATCAGGGAACAAGTTGGGTACAGTATCAGGGAACAAGTGGGATATAGTATCAGGGAACAAGTAGGATCAGGGAACAAGTAGGATATAGTATCAGGGAACAAGTGGGATATAGTATCAGGGAACAAGTGGGGTACAGTATCAGGGAAGACGTAGTGTATTTTGCGGTTACCCACACCCATAAAATATTAAATATTGTTTCATTCAGATCAATTCATGCACTTTTTTGTGTAAATTAATGACAACAATATTGAAATATAATAACATTATTGAAATAGTTAACAAACATAACAGAAATACCCGGAACACCTTGCCTACACCAGGACGAGTTCCCCCTCCCCACTTGCCAGGCCTTGTCTTATTTGTTTACGTCAGTGAGGAACCAGGGCCAATCTATTCTTTATATCCAAAATATCTTTCCCAAATTATACACAATAATTCCGTGTATAATTAAGGATCCAATTGGGTGTGACAACATCACACTGGTTTCATATGTCCATGTTGTGTTCAGATATAGGGCACTCAGTGTTCCGCCCAAGTTCACACTGGCGTCTTACCGGGTATGCACGGTTTCCGGAATGTCCGTGTCATGGCGTAGCGGGTACACGTGCCGTCTTTGGTGATAAGATACTGGGATTTCTGAAATGCATACATTTTCATAGTAAAATGACAGTCATGTTAAGGCAGCTACTCACGTGTAACAGAGTTATGACCTAAATCTCCGCCCCTTTCTCTGCACGTATTGTTGCAATGCTGCACGTAAGGATCGACAAACGTTGTAAGTGGAACATCCAGGATATATATCATGTATATTGTCTGAGTGCGTGCATACCTTTGGATAGTCTTGGACGAGGTGGCTGGTGATTTTTGTTCCATTCGAGAAGATAACAGCTTCAACGGCCATCATCTCGTTGTAGGAGTCGTAGTAGACGACGTTGTAACCCTATTCCAGACATATATAGTACGGTAGTTAACATGTAATGCATGTAATATTACCTCGTGTAACTAGACATGTCAAATATATTTCGAAGACACGATATTCTGCTTATTTGTTATGGGACAAATGATTACCTTAAATATCAAAACTACACAACGTGCCATTCCGTGGGAATTCTGGTGGGGAAATGGGTATTGCTTGCAGATTTCCGCACTAAACAGGTGAAGATCCGGTTTACAATTAGTCTACAGCAGCCTATGCTACATCCTACCTCCTCGTATGAGGGTGGTCAAGCTGGCCTGTTTGATGTACAGTTGTAGCTGTATCCTGCGTGCACCGATGCTCTTAATGTCAACCACTGAACTGTTTACTCCAGACTTGATTGTCTACAGACAGCCGTCATATAAGCGGAAATATCGCTGAGTGCTAAACTATTTATAAGCGATTTCACAGCAATATCAACGGGGTTTGCCGCGGAATAAAATGGCTGGCAGGATCGACTGACCTGTATGAAGTTCTGAACATAGTGTCCATTCACTTTATACATTGCCCCTCCCGCCTCTCCAAGCGTGACCTTGAACTCCCGGTCCGTGCAGCACGGTTTGGGTGGGGCAGGGGTAGCCGACTGACCAACGCCCACCAGACAGACCAGCAAAAGGATGACGCACATAGCAAACACTTGACAGGTAACAGTAACTGTACCGCTATAAGCTCTTAATGTTGGTGGGTTTATCTGTAGATGGTCAGCTGGTGAATCACATACTGATTAAATCTAGTGGTCACTCCTGCGTCATTCAGCACTAGTGGGGTACAGCACGCGGTTTAGACTAATGCTTAGTCTCTGAATATATATAATTTTGATTGTAACAAACAAGCCCATTTAATTTGAAAAGGAGCCCCAGTTAGACCAGAGATTCAGAACCTGAGGAAATCTAGACTTGCTTTATTTAGGGCTTTAGCACTGCAGAGAGGGCTTGGCAGTAGGGAACATAATGTGGTTCAGGGACTGTGAGACAGACTAGGGGCGGTTGGGTAGCCTCGTGGTTAAAGCGTTTGCTCGTCACGCCGAAGACCCGAGTTCGATTCCCCACATTGGGTACAATGTGTGAAGACCATTTCTGGTCTCCCCGCCGTGATATTGCTGGAATATTGCTAAAAGCGGCGTAATACCATACTCACTCACTCACTCATATCTTTTGGTGGATAGGGGATTCTTTGATTTCGTTAACAGAAACATTGGGGTGGGGGGATATGTGGGCGGGTGACACGGCGCCGTTGTTGTTTATATCTGCGTGGTTGTTCAGTCAAAAGTCATGGAGATCACACGATGTCTATGTTTTAATGGCAACAAACTAACGTTTCAAACTAAAGCACTCACACAATGAAACGGATGACATCCCTTTGTTCTGCTGTCCTTACACCGTGGTCATTGTCAAAGGAGAAGTATTTATCTATCAGCAGTTTGATGTGGTATTGGTGGTGGTACATTTACAGCAGTTACTTCAAACGAGACGAATGTATTGATCGGAATTATATACATGTATTAATCAGTAGATCAGTGTCATTTAAAGTAGATCTAATCAATATCCTTTTCCCTACAAAGCGTCGGAGGAGGAGATATACCTATGATATTATTTGGTGAAAGTTTATTCCACACATATTGTCTCCTTTTTAACTATAACCCAGATAGCATTCGGACGTTGGCCCAACGTTGGCAATGTTGGCAAAACCATTGCCAACATTGGGCCAACGTCTGAATGCTATCTGGGAATCGTCATCCAAGCAATTACCAATATATATTTTATGTTTTGCGTCCGAAAAGTTAACAGGGTTAAACGAAATCCCTGCATGCAAACAGCTAGATTATACGACCGCTTCTGTAGATGTTTCGACGATGTCTGAGCATGCGCATGGTCTAACAGGAAGCACGAGTTATTTTTCTGCGAGCGAAGTTTGTGTGATAAGAAGAAAATGCAGAATCAAAGGTCTTGGCAGGTTCAAACATATGATGTGTTTGTTGGTAACTTGCCGCTTGATACTGACCAGGTAAGCTGGTATCAAGACAAACGAGGTCATTGAGTAAATTGCTTAGTTCGCCGATATGTTGACAGTCAATCCATCTGCAAAATGAAAATACACCGGTTTTCAGAAACTGACACAACAAACATGAAATGTTCAATATAAATTTTGATGTTTTCTCTTTGATTGTGAACTTTTGTCAGTAAGGGGAATTATACCTCGGGTTCATGCATGTGTCTATTAAATTGTTGAGTAATAATTTGACAAGAAATACTTCGAGAGTGATGGCCTTCTACAGCAGTGTCATTTTCCAGAATTTTAATCACATGGACATTTCGCGCCATTTTGGTGTCAACTTATCCTTGAGAACTAGGGGTGACAGGTCATATATATCAGTTCTTGACAGTGGAAATCACAGACTATATGTAGTATTCACAGGTTATACCATTTTTAAATAAAATTAACTGTAGAATCCATGATATAAATACAGTGAGTGATGCAGGTCTTTCCATCCTCTATACGGTGATAAGTATTATCTATCTGTTACAGTGAATAAGGTTTTATGCCATGTTTACCAATATTCCAGCAATATCACCACGGGGAACCAGACATGGGATTTACACATTGTATCCAAGTGGGGATTGGAAGCTGGGTCTTTGGTATGACAAGCAAACTAGACTACCACTAGACTAACCCACCACCCCAAACAACTATAACATCACCAGTGAATTGCACTGAAAACAGAGTAGTTGAAGAAACTTTGAGTCAATGTAGCATTGAAGTAGCCATGGCAGCAGTCAAGTTCAGAACAAATTGGGGGTGGTGGGGAAGCCTAATGGTTAAAGTGTTCGCTCATCACACTGAAGACCCAGGTTCGATTCCCCACATTGGTACAATGTATGAAGCCAATTTCTGGTGTCCCCTGACGTGATATTACTGTAAATATAGTAGATGGTATTTCCTTTGAATTATGTTTCTTCATCATGTTCATGGTCATCACTATATGATGTTATGGTGCAGTTATCTGATACTTTGCATTTAAGTATTAGTAAATTCAGTGTGCAGAGTACAAAATATGGCTCCATACACAGGTGCATAGGGACCGCACTATCTATGTTTGCCCATTGCAGTATTTGTAAGTGTATTATTTGGAGGTTAACAACGTTACAATCAAAACATACTCATGTTGTTTTGGTTGCAGCATGCTTTATGTATTTTATTAGATTCAAACTCTGCCCCAACCTGGATACCCCCTGTAATTTCACTGTGCATCATAAAGAGTGGAATTTGCCAATAGTGTAATGATGTGGTTATCTGAATATAAATAATAGCTGTTACATAAGTTGTCAATCATGTCAGTGGAAAACATCTTTATAACAAGTGTATTTAAACCATATCTGTAGCTGATCTCTTCAGTGGCTGATGGTGGCCATTGGTTCCCGTTTCTCATCTTTGATGACTGTAGTGTCGTAGCACAAATATGTGTGACGTCATAGGTTAATGTGTATGACGTACTACACGGTATCGAGCAGACGACCATTAGATCCAGGGAGCGGTGCGGCCGTCACGTAGACTTACAAGTCAGTGTATTTGAACCATGAAGATTAAAGGGTGTTAAAGTTATATACAACGCTTGTTCTTCCTTGCAATACTTGGACTTCACGATACTATAATGACTATCTCAGTATCATTGTGTGCACCTCAGGAACTACCTGTACCCCTGGGTTCCAAGGTTACTTTCTTTGCACATTGTTTGCTTTGAGTGAGACCTTCCAGCTTAAGAAGCATGGAGTTGTAGTTCTTATTTGTAGTATCAGAAGAACATATTACTATTGTTTTTTAAGGATTTATCGTGCCAAATAATATTATAGGCACAACCTTGATTTCATCAAACTGCCTAAAATACAGATGAGCATAATCTGACTTCTGAGTTTCAGAATGGATGCACAGTTTGACATATTACGTTAGATTCTCTGTGTAATATATGAACTGTATAAAGAACTCATATTTACTATCAGTACAATGGATAGATACTCACATAATTATCATTATGTTTGTATATGTGCAAAGTTTCTCCCTTGTTTTCTTGTACAGAAAAAGGTGTCCAAGTACTTCACAAAGTTTGGAGAGGTTCATGCAGTCATTGTCCGTGACAGCAACACAGATGGCAAGAAACTGGCGTAAGGGTTCTTCCTACTAACCATGCTAACAATATTCTGTATGATATTCATGATACTAGTTTTGAAAACAGTACTAAGTACAGGAGACTTTTAATTAAGGATGTGTCAAGCCACTGTGATATAATGTTTCCAACCAATCAAATCACTTCATATGCTCTTTTCAATGACAGCTTTGGCTGAGTGAAATGGCAGTAACTTGAGTAAGCATGTGATATCTGTTTTGTCTTTGTGGTGATTTCTAGATAGATTAATTGTATAATTGAACAGCTTTATGAAAGTATCAGAAAGAAAACTAATAATTGAAATCATACTTTGTGATTGTGGTGAACTGATCATACAAGTACAGATATGCTGGTAGACAGTTTAGCTTGTTTGGTATGTTTAGTAATGAAATCAATTCTTGTTTTGTTTTTCAGCTATGTAAAGTTTTTATGCCAAGAAGATGCGGAAAAGGCAGTTGCAGAGTGTCAGAATATTGATATTAATGGGACCAAAGTTGTTGTCAGGAAAGCTGAACCAAGGAAGAAGTATGTGTTATATGGATATGTTATGTTTTTATGTTGTGAAGTGATTCATCTGCAGAAACAGTCTCCTGTATCATATACTTCTGGGTTGATATTTGGGATGTTACCTGATATTTGTAATGAGTGAAGATCTGCATTAGAATTGATCTTCAGCGATCCATGCTTGTCTTAAGAAACAACTGTAAAGATTGGTCAGATTCACAGAGTTTGATGATGTATATCATATCATATTTGCTCATGGTGTCAGTCACTGGATAGTGAGGTCCAGGCTTCATATTTGCAGACATCAGTCAGCTGGAATATTGCTTTGCCACAGTACCGCCTCCTGTGGTGTAGTGGTTAGAGCGTCTGCCCGGAGAGGGGAAGGTCGCGGGTTCGATCCCCGACCGCGTCATACCAAAAGACGTTAAAATATGGTACTTGTTGGTCCCTGCCTGGCGCTCGGCATTAATGGGTACAACAAGGACTGGTTGGCTCGGAGTCAGTATAATGTGTCTGAGTGGGGTATTCATGCTTCACTGCGGCATGGTATCTCAGTGGGCTAGCACTATAAAACCAGCTTCAGTCTGGGCTAGTACAAGCAGCCGCACATACACATACACATACACACGCATGCACGTTGTCATATGAGTGAAATATTCTCAGGTACGACATTAAACCCAATTTTCACCTCACCTCACCTCACCTTTGCCACAGTAACCCCCTGGATACGAGATGTCGGTACTATCCTCCTCATCAACCCTCACTGTAATGTTGAATATAAAGCATGCACACAAACACACTTCAATCTTCTGAATTCTGTGGGAAATGTGATTGCCATTTTGTAAAATGCTGAAAACATGAACGTGCTGAAAACAAACTTAAAATTAGTTCCATTGTAAACCTTGCCCATTTAGACATGTTGCAAAATCACCCTTGTTTAGTATGTGTTTTGAAAAATGTTGATTACTCATAAGACCCTTTTATGTACACTAAACGCCAAAAGTGCCTCCTGCCTTAGAGATGGAGGTACCTATCTTAAGCTGGCGTTGTGATGCGTGGACGTGCACTGCTTTGTCTGTCTACGGTGACCCAGTCTGACTGAAGCCCTGAATAAGTCTTAGAACCGTCCTACGGTGGCATCCGAGGGCGTTGGGAGCAGCATTGTATGTCTACCCCATCTGCTCCATCCCAATGGCTCTTTCTCTCTCTTCAGCTGTTAATCGTGGCATATTTCTTGTACTTGTGGATCATATCATGCATTCTAGTCTCTGTTCATACCCTATAGATTCATTCCACATGTGAAAATGATGCAAATACTGCTTGAATATTGCTGCGTTTTGGCAATGTTTTAGAAGACTGTAATCATAGGAATGGTTATTTTCCAATTTCCAACAGTTGTTTCTTGTTTTAACAGTTGATAAATGGCGACTTGGAATGATTTATCTTTGTCTCAAAGCAGAATTTTATTACGTTTCTTTTGGACATCTAAATCACTGTTGTTGGTTTATTTCGACATGGATGAAAATAGGACAATTTAATTCTTCTGAAAAGGATGCATTTCACCTAAATATGAATGCATTTGAGAATTTCTTTTCGTGATTTGCATAAAGCTGTGTTGTTAAGCTTTCTTGTAAACTAATACCTTCTAACATATCTTTGATAGTTTTTCAGTAATTCATAAAGGTAGGAGGGTAACATTTCTTCTGGCGTGTAGTGTATATACGATCCCTGATTGAGCGTGTAAGTCCCCCTGCAAAACCCGGCTGACTGATGCCATTGTCAATGTAAAAGTCAGTTGCAGGATAGTAATGTTTCAACATTGTTGAAGGATCATGCAAGTAATAAAAGATACAAGTACTCAAAAATGTTGCAACTTACAGGAGTGCAGTTCAGTTGCAACTGGAATGAACCATTTTATACCCACAATGACCCTGATGACTTACGTGCCGTGTAATGCAAGAGCACAGGCTAAACCTAAACTCACTCACTCACTCACTGATTGGATGTTTGTAGCATGTTTTGGAAACTGCAAACATGGGAAAGTTGCAAGACTGACAGTGATGGAACTCACGCCTGACAGCAAACAATGTTTTACGCCGCATTCAGCAATATTCCAGCTATATGGCGGCGGTCTGTAAATAATTGAGTCTGGACCAGACAATCCAGTGATCAGCAGCATGAACATCGATCTGTGCAAATTGGGAAACGATGAATGTGTCAACCAAGTCAGCGAGCCTGACCACCTGATCCCGTAAGTCGCCTCTTACGACAAGCATGGGTTACTGAAGATCAATATTCTAACCCGGACCTTCACAGTGTGCATCCAATCAGTGTGACATAGACGTGAATAGCGTGTTCATATTGTCTACGTAATTAGACCTATTGACCTTGTGGGCACATGTTTATGTCCTACACAGAGTACCTACACTAAGTATATTCGCAGTATTCTTAGAGTTGAAGGTTGAGTGACTACAGTACATATGGTCAGGGCTATCTCTATAAGCCAAGCATTAATCCCCAGTAGTATGAACTGTCAGGCACATGCATGCAGGTCACTATGGAAGTGAAATAATTTTCAATTTTCAGCTCACCTCACGACATTCATGATGTTCAATGTAGAAATGCCCAAATTCCGCAATTATGGTAGGTTTCACAGACTGTAGTACATATGACATGTTTACGAAATCTGATTGGATCAAGGGGACGAATGGTATCGTCATGATTTGTTCTACTTGGTCTGTTGCAGAGCAGGACCAGACCGATTCAACAAGGACGATGCTGGCACAAAGTCAAAAGGTCCGTACGGACAGAAATCGGATCAGGGTGAGGACACAGGAACATTTGTTGTATTTCACATGTTCAAGAAGTGAGCATGACTCAAGTAGTGAGTTGATGTAAACTAAGGTTTAAACTTCATGTAAAATCAAGGCAGCCGCAGCTATCACCATTACAAACAAACATTATCATTTTATTGGCTAATTTGGCAAGGACTAGAAGACTAATTGGGATCTGGTTGGGAAAGTTATAGACCCTGTCTTAAACCTGATGCATCTGATACCAATAGAAGTTAGTAACAACCCGCTGATCCCTGAAACTCATCGTGATGATTTTACTTTCAGGAAATGCATCAAACATTCAATCAAAGGATTTACTTGAGGTGAGTTGATTTTTTCCATTGGTGACCATTGGTACAGCCAGGCAAATTAGACCACCCTCAACAGGTTTTTGACACCACTTCTTACCCCATTCAGTAATTATGAAATCTTATCAAAGACAAGTCTATAAAAGATAAAAAGTCAAAGGCAAGCAAAAGTTGAAGAAAGTACTGCTGAAAGTGCTGCATGTTTGTGTCATGGAGAAACCATGTAATTTGATTGGATATTTGCTTTGTGCGTTGTCGTTCTTTATTGATTGTAAACTATCATACTACTTGATGGTTGAGGAGACTTCCAGTGTCCTAATATGTTGTCGTGTCACTACCAGGAAATGGTGATGGTGACCCATGTCGAGTCTGCCAACTCCTTGTGGGCTCAGATTGTCACGGAGGACAACATGCAGCACCTCCTAACCATGACGGAACAGCTGCAGACACTGTGTGCAGCCGCTTCCAAGATCGCAGGTGTCCCAGAACAGAACAAGGTAAGAGTTTGTATGGCCAGGGTCTGGTGGGTACAGTTGTCTATACGGAGGATGGAAGGTGGGTAGTTTGATGCCCTGACTGTGTCACACCAAAGTAAAACGGTAGTTCTCATTAGCCTGCTTCAGAGTTTTACATGACGCGTGATTCCTGCGTGATTTGACGCAACAATTTTGTTAATAACTCTCAAAATACTATCATACGAGTCAAGCTTGATCCAAGTTTTATAGGTGGCCCTCACAATTCAGTTCAATAAAATCGATTTGATAAGCAAAAACCTTAGGATATTGTTCAATGATAGTTTGACTTTTACAGAGCTGTCAAATTGTTCCTGAGAACTCAGAGGACACAGTAATCCTGGCTGTTCGAATTGAAATATGCTGTAGTTTCATTTGGTGGTGTGACATACATAGTTACATACTGAGAATGATTGACACAAAGAAATAATAAATTCTTTTTCAGAAGAAGTCCCCCTTGGGGTACATATAAGCATTAAAATGTCCATTTTAAATCCTACGACAGTTGTAACTATATTTTTCAATAAAATATTTACAAAACAAAAAACTCGTTTTGTCTTGAGACCACACCTACAGGGCCCCACCGCCCCCTACAAGAGCAGGTAACTCTCGCCGTCTACCTCGTACCTCACTTTTCATGCTGTCGTTCTGTTGAATAGACGTGCATGGTGTTCGTTTTGAGTTTGCTCTCCTACCGATACGATGAGTGTTAAAGTGAGTCAATCTGTATGTATGGTTCCTTTCTTTACGCACGGGCGTTAGATGGACTTTATATGTTGATATTCTCATTCATCTTTTGTTGTAACTTTGCCGTCGGTTCTCTGTTTTCTAGCCTTGTGGCAGGCAAAATGGCGGACCACGCGATCATGGTTTCCTTGCTACATGTTCTTGGTAGCTTGTAGTAGGGAGTTCATATATTATGTTTGCATATTATATGGTAGGCTTGCCTAAATTCGCTCTCTTTTCAGCGAATTTGTGGTAAGTCATTGTTGAGTAATTTTGATAGTGTTCGTTTCGTATCACTCCACTTTACTCACTAGTATGTACACGCAGGTGCGGCTAGCCTTTTTTCTGCTTTGCATTGTATGTTTAGTATTTAAATGGCTGTAGCTTGTAGCATCTAAATATCGCCTGTGCGTTTTATTTATTGCTATTTACTTGTGTTTATATGTTTGCTGCTTCACAGTTCCTGCTAGTAACACTGGCATGGTTCTGTTTGTTGCAGTTTAAGCCCTTTGCGTTATGCCGTGCACACTACCGCCACAGGATGGTCATAAAGTATGCCTCTGGTGTTTACCCGAGGACGCTCACAACAATCAAGGATGTTCATAATAAGCGCCTTTGTGCCAATATTCCTGTTACGTTATGTTGTGTTATGTTACACATTTATACATTTCATACGTTTATACACAACGTCGCTCATGGTGGCCGAGGTTGTGTTTTTTTCCTGGGTTTCTGCGCCTCACGCGCATTCTTTCAGGCACACAGATTTTATGTTTTTCACTAATCTGCTTCAGGCGGGGGATAATGTTTGATGAAAGGTTTCTAAGGAAATCCCTTTATCGTCCCCATGACTACTCCTCCCCCACAAACAATGTTGCTACACTAACGATTGATTTCTTACTGATAGCAGCAGCGGAGATCGTGGTTTCCAGACTCCAAGAGGAGATTGGTACCCGGTCTGCGGGTAGAGATTACACCGGCGCATCATTTGGGGAGGTCCCGACCTGAGCTCTGGGTCAGGAACCACCGACCAGAAACACACACACACACACACACACACACACACACACACACACACACACACACTTATATAGCGCTATAGACTATGTTTGACTATATGCTCAGTGCGCTTTTGGAGACAGTACTGGGGGAACCCTGATTTATCTGGCTACTCCTACGTGGTCATGGGATCGCGGTTCAGTCTAGAACCGCCGAGCTTTGGCTCCGCGGATGCTCTGAACCCCATGAGTAGCACCGACCTGGGCTTCGGCACTGGTAGGGCGCAGTTTCCCGGCGCCGGTAGTTCAGGTCTCGGCCTGATGTCTATCGACTCCTTGACCAAGAAGCTATCGAGTGTGCCGGGTGTGTTGGTCACCTCGACGCTCCAAGGTCTGTCTGAGTGCTTGGGATACCTTGATTTATCAGGCTTCTCCCATGTGCCTCGGAACCGGGGTTCAGGCTCGTACAGTGGACAAGTCGATTTGAGCTTCGGCTCTTTTCGCTACTTTGAACTTAACACTGAGTAGGTTCGTCCCTGAGGCAAGTGCGAGATAGAATCGCGGTGTTGTTCACGTCAAATACCCGAACCGTTGGAGTTCGCCTCCCAGAGGGAAGCCTGCTTCCAGCAAGGTATCCGGGACAAGGCCCCACACTCTACCGTCAGTCTGCCGTTGTTTCCCCTTAACAGCTCAACGCTGTATGCTCCACTTGGCGCATCTCTCAGCTCTGCTGAGGGAGCTGGTGGAAAGGGGAAAGAGCGCCAGTCATTTTTCATTGGCGCTCTGGGCGGCATCTGAGCCATTCTCATATGAGAGCTGAACACGTTAATAGAGGTACTGAGGGGATTGGCACACGTCAATCGACCTCGAGGTCACGTACCTCCTTGTCTATTTCACCCTGATTTCAAGATTAACCTTTGGTTCTTCTTCGACGGTATGCGCTACCAGTTTCGTGTGCTCCCCTTAGGCTACATTACAGCGCCAAGAGTGTTCACCAAATTGAGGTTTATTACAGCCCAGATAGCCAGATCGCAGCTGGTGCCGGTGTAGTCACCTGTACCTAGGCGACTGGCTTATCGGGGTTTTAGAATAAGAGTTGAGCCTGGGAACCTCACGATCAGTGTTGGTCACTGTTACGAAACTGGGCCGAATTGTCAACCTCACGCAGTTAGATGGACAGACGTCAGGCGTCTCTCTGAGGGACTCCCCCTGGAGACACCGTCGCTCTCAGTCCAGCCTGGGTTGGGGCAATGTTCTGGGCGACCTGCAGTCTCTTGACAACGAAGTCACAACCTGCACATCAATGTGCTGGAATTGACAGCAGTCAGGTTTGTGTTCGATCCCGCACGCCGGGATTCGAATTACCTTTTTGGCCAGACATTCTCACTCTGAACGGGGCACCACACCCGAATCCTCGGATTCTCTGGGTGGCTTGGCCTCTGTCGGGTCTAACCCCCAGACTCGCGGAATTCCTGCAGCCGTTGCAGACACAATTCTGGCTTCGAGGCGGGATTCGACACCCGTTCAGTGTGTTGATACGTGGGGCGCGCTGGTGTGCAGATAGGGGGATTTCAGAATCCCTATTCTGCGGATTTAGTTCGGATATTGTAGTTACTATAACCTCGTTTTGGTTGAGAGCCTTATGACCTCCACCATTCCCGGGTACTCCATGGCTATTTCCACATTCCACACCTCGTTCGATGGTGCTCTGCCTAGGCAGCACCCTCTCATACAGCGCTTCGTAGCTGGCATGAACAGAGTTCGACCGCCTCAGCGGTGACCCAGCCCACCTTGAAATTGCCAGTTATTCTCAATTGGCTGTCCGGCCCTGACTTTTCAAGTATATCGTCTCTCTCACTTCACTTGTTGACGTGGAAGACGGCTTTACTTGTGGTGGTGAGCTCTGGTAGAAGGGTCGGGTACATCCATGCGATACCCACTGACCCGACACTGACAGTATTTATACTGATCATGTCCGTATTCGCCTCCCGGATACCTACCATTCTCAGTTCGATATTACTTTCTACGTGACTGCTCATATCGAACTTCCACCCCTTACCCAGACTTCCACACCGGGGACCGATCTTTCGATTGCTCACCCGTTGGAGTGACTATAACGAATGAACAAAAGGGATCCGTATTGGTACCCATGTGTTCTGTTTGGTGGAGGGAAGACTGGGGAGTCTGCTAGCAAGCAGATTTTATCTCGTTGGCTTGTTTCCTTAATTGTTCGGTTACAATGCTAAGGTTTACCTTCCCCTGAGGGGTTGAAGGCAGACTGGGTAGGGCAGATGCCGCCTTGTTGACAATACACAGCGGCACTGCTCAATGAAGAGATCGGTTCTGTCGCTCTTTGGAGCCGACAGAACACCTTCATTCGCCATTACCGACTTGACGCGCATTCTAAGGATCGTGCTCGGTTCGGTCTTTCGGTTCTCTCCAGTGGAGAGTGTCCTGCCACCCTGACCAAGTTAGTAACAGGTCATTGGTATCGGTTCTGTGTTCAATGTCGATATGGTTCATATCACTACATCGTATAAGCCTTACCACCCTTTTCGGGTTGGGTCGGGTTTGGGTGTACATACGTCCCTTACGTCCTCTTCACTTAAAGGCAAGAGAGGGCGGGGCCGGTTTTGAATGCTTTAACCAGTCATATGCTATTAACCTGTCTTGCGACGGAATTGGGTACGAACCCCCCACGGGTCGCTGTTTGGTATGCTTCTTTTCGAGACACACGTAACGTGACCAGGTTAGTGTAATAGTGAGCCAACACATGTTCGGACAGGCTTTTCGCCATTCAGGGGATTTTTGTACGCTAACAGTTTTTTCCCTCTTCCCGAGACTTCGGTATTTGGGAGTCTGTGTTTATCAGCACTTTGGGTGATGGTGGTTTACACTTACCTTCCTCATGCCGAGAGCGTTTGATTGGGGTGTTTTATCCTGCTTTTCACTCGTACAATGCATGGCGTTTGTACTTGTTCGATTTCCTCAGAAAGTTTTTAGCGAGGCTAATAATTTCTCTGGGTTTTATTGAGGTCCCGGGCAAGCCCTCTTCCAAACAGGAGGGGTGCATTCGAGCATTAGTTTGCAGTACTTATTAGCTTGACTCTTGGGTTATTGGCTGTTAGCGTTGTTTACGCTTTGATTACCCTTATACCTCTCGCCACGCTTCTCTGGTTCAGGCTATTAAGGTTGGGAGTTGTTTTGGCATGTCACCATACATTCCTTTCCACTGTAATGGTTGGGGGTGGAGTTATTTGTCATAATTGATGTGAGCCAATTGACGTATTAGCTTGGACTCTCTATTTCCCGCCCTAGCCACGCCCCCGCCTGATTGACATCAGCGGTCAGGTGGCTCTGTAAGTGTGTTTTTCTATTTCCGTATCGGTTGTAGATTTCACTCCACCACGGGTTTAGTTGTTGCCAGACAGAATGCCACTCCCGTTACAAATATCTTTGGGAGTCTGTCATATGCTTATATGTACCCCAAGGAGGACTTCTTCTGAAAAAGAATTATACAAACCTGTAGAGGTTATGAATTCTTTGAAGAAAGTCCTCCTTGGGGCACGGCCACCCGCCTCCCCTCATTCTGTCTGATTCGTTCGACATGAAAAGTGAGGTACGAGGTAGACGGCGAAAGTGACCGGCTCTTGGCTGTAGGGGGTCCGGTAGGGCCCTTGTAGGAGTGGTCTCACAAGACAAAACAAGGTTTTTGTTTTGTAAATATTTTGTTGAAAAATATATTTACAACTGTCGTAGGATTTAAAATGGAAATTTTAATGCTTATATGTACCCCAAGGAGGACTTTCTTCAAAGAATTCATAACCTCTACAGGTTTGTATAAATTTTCATGACTCCCAAATATTGAAAATGACTCCCAAAAATAAATATTGTGAGTCACCATGACTCACATTTTTAAAAGTCTGTGTAAAAACCCTGCTGCTTGGCCTTCAGATTTAAGGGGTACGACAAGAGTCTGCTCGTAATGAGTAAACTGTGTCTGGGTGAGGCACCCATGTCAAGCTGTACATCAGTAGCCTAGCACTATAAAACTGGCATGAGTTCAGAGCAAGGACTATTTCAGTACAAGCACAGTAATGTTGGTTGTGACATGAAACCCACTTCACCACGTCTCATCTGCTTCCATGTGCACAGTCTGGAATATTCCAGAAAAGTAGACCTATGATTGTTATAGTGCCCTTACAGTCAATATTTCTAAGTCACTACAAAATGTTTTCTTTCACTCCTTTACAGCATGTTAGTCATGTATGTTAGTGGGATACCATGTAGTTCATGTAGTACCATGTTATGCTGCAGATTTATGGGGCTCAGTTTTCCGAGGATCAGCAGTGGTACAGATGCAGGGTGAAACAGAGCTTTGGCACAGACAGGGTATGTAGTTCCCCAGCATGTTCTGTGGTGTTATAGTTGAGCCAACACTTCCACCCAGTCAGGTTACGCTTGTTTATCACAAGGTTTTAGTTTGGGAGATGTTAGATGAACAACATTCACAGATTAGCTCACCTGCATATAATTACAGATCTTTACTTACTGATCAAAGGAAGGCATCACTCGGACACAAACTCGACTGCAAGAAAGATCACTAAAGGAAGTGCTATATCTGTCATGTTTATTGTAACTTAAGACATGAATCGCTGTCATGAACTTATGTCATATTTGTCAGACAGATGTGAATTCAGAATACCTAACACAGCTTGCTGAGCAGATATTTGTTAAAAACGGGGTCAATTATTGTTTTAATAATATTCATTAAATTGGACCCAAGGGAGATAATATCTAGTGAACACGAACAGAAAACTAAAAATCCCCGAGAAGAATGCTAACGGTAGTATATATTGAATAGCTAAAATTAGTATTAGGAGCACTGGTTGTTCAATGTAATGCCGTCAGATTGTTTGAGGTAGAAATAGAGTTGGGGTTTAAAATATATTGAGGATGTACATGATTGAGATTTGACATGTACAGGTGAAGGTGCTGTACATCGACTACGGCAACACCGAGGAACTGAACCCCAGCTCCCTTGTCGACATGCCGGCTAACATATCCTCCGTGAAGCCTTTTGCAGTCAGATTGATCTTCAACAACATCAGAGTAGCTGACATGTATGATAAGAAGGTGAGATGAATTGTTCGATCCGATGTATTCTATTGATAATGGTGGAAGGAGTTGGTAATCAAGCCTGGATCAGTGGCTCACACCATCATCCTGTGTATTATCCCCCGCAACGCGTTTTGGGGGGTATTAAAATGGACTCCGTCCGTCCGTCCGAGCACATTTGTCTTTTCCGGAGCAGAACTCTAAAACCGTTCAATATTTCTTCACCAAACTTGGCACATACATGGATCTGGTGGTGTTGTCTTTGGTAGTTTTTTCTGAATTAAATAGCAGAACTCTGAAAAACGAGCAGAACTCTAAAACCGTTCAATATTTCTTCACCAAACTTGGCACATACATGGATCTGGTGGTGTACTGGTGCCTTTTGGTAGTTTTGGAATTCTGAATTAAATATTTTTGGCGTTTCCATGGCAACAAGTTTGACTTAGACTGAAATTGGTGGTAGTGCTCTTTTCCGGAGCAGAACTCTAAAACCGTTCAATATTTCTTCACCAAACTTGGCACATACATGGATCTGGTGGTGTACTGGTGCCTTTTGGTAGTTTTGGAATTCTGAATTAAATATTTTTGGCGTTTCCATGGCAACAAGTTCGACTTTGACTGAAATTGGTGGTAGTGCTCTTTTCCGGAGCAGAACTCTAAAACCGTTCACTATTTCATCACCAAACTTGGCACATAGATAGATCTGGTGGTGTACTGGTGCCTTTTGGTAGTTTTGGAATTCTGAATAAAATATTTTTGGCGTTTCCATGGCAACAAGTTCGACTTTGACTGAAATTGGTAGTAGTGCTCTTTTCCGGAGCAGAACTCTAAAACCATTCACTATTTCTTCACCAAACTTGGCACATAGATAGATCTGGTGGTGTACTGGTACCTTTTAGGAGTTTTGGAATTCTGAATAAAATATTTTTGGCGTTTCCATGGCAACAAGTTTGACTTAGACTGAAATTGGTGATAGTGCTCCTTTCTGGAGCAGAACTTTCAAAACCTTTCAATACTCTCCTTCCACTTTTCTATATACGCACCTAAATATTTGACATAATCATAACTCGTAGACATAATCATGAAGAGTATGTTGCCATTGCGGGGATATTGATGACTTTGTCTTCTTGTTTAGTTGACATTTACGGTCATCAACCATTAGCATCTGCATGGCACATGTAAGACCTAAGACTTAATCCCTTCAAAAGCCGCCTGTCTTCCATTGTGATGTTTGTAGGATGCTGTTGGTAGCGGTGTTAAATCATACCTGGGCCTCCTTTCAAAAAGCACTAAGGTGATCGTAAGTCACAAAGGTAACCTTAGTGCAGTGTTAAAGAATGGGAGTTAAGGTTAACCTTAGTAAAGGTTGCTTTGTGAAAGGAGCCCCTGATCAATTGATGGTACTTCCTGAACAGTATATGTGAAATCTTCTACGTTTCATCAACCCGTGAAGGTCCTGGGTTAGAATTGGTCTTCAGTAACCCATGCTTGTCTCAACCTGTGAAGATCCGGGTTAGAATTGGTCTTCAGCAACCCATGCTTGTCTCAACCCGTGAAGGTCCGGATTAGAATTGGTCTTCAGTAACCCATGCTTGTCTCAACCCGTGAAGATCCGGGTTAGAATTGGTCTTCAGCAACCCATGCTTGTCTCAACCCGTGAAGATCGCGGGTTAGAATTGGTCTTCAGTAACCCATGCTTGTCGTAAGAGGCGACTGGTGGGTTTGAGTGGTCAGGCTCACTGACTTGGTTGACACATGTCCTCGTATCCGAATTGCGTGGAACGATGCTCATGATGTTGATCACTGGATTGTCTGGTCAAGACTTGTTATTTACAGACTGCCGTCATATAGCTGGAATATTGCTGAGTGCGACGTAAAACTAAGCTCACTGACTCACTTCAACTGAGGCATCATTATGGAATCCAAAATAGGTCGGTCAAGTACCCCAGCTTAATATTGCTGGGTTTTCTTCCAACATTTTATTGAAAAGAGTGCTTCTTAGTGTTATTTTGCAAATATCTGAAGGCAAACTTGCTTTTATGTTCCTTTCAAGATTAAATACCAGAATGCTATATTCATATGACGTGTAATTTTTCTTTTCCAAGGCTATTAACTACCTCAAACAGACAACAGAAGGGAAATACATTCGTTCTGTGATGAAACGGAAACTTTCAGACCAGACGGGCTACTATGCCGAGATGTTTGTGGAAGGGGAGTGTCTGAATGACAAGATGGTGGAGGAAGGCTATGCTAGCTTCAGGCTGGAGATGAAGCGTCGTGAGATGGACGGCAACACGAGAGGTGGGGGGGGCTTCGGAACACCGACAGAGAGGGATATTGGAGGGGGTTACTCTGTAAACGCAGACAAAGCCTCGGGTGACTTCACTCAGAGACAAGTGTTTGATGAGACAGGAAAAATTCAAGTTTCGTTGCCAAAGTAAGTAGTGAACATTGATTTGGTGTTAACACGCATATGTCTCTTATAGTTCAAAAACATATCAGTCAAGATCTTCCTCTTGATTATGTCCTGCTCACATAATTTGTGTTGTGATCATTCATGAAAAATATTGGACTAATCTTTAACAGCCTTGTCAGTTGCAAGAAATGATTCCTATTTCTCATTTACTTACTACTACTACTCATAATGATAATGTGTTTATGTATATACCGCCAAACTCCGCACTAGGTATGCTCATAGTGCTAACAATCAATACAACAGCACATTACCTCGGATAACCCAGGTTGCCTGATAGGCGCTAGAAGGTTATAGTCACATGACTATATCCCACCGGGTACCCATTTTCTGCTGTAACACTATGGATCTCAGTTTTTGTTTGTATTTCAGCAGTATGAATGTTTGCACATAAGATAATTATGAATGGATTTGACTGTGGACTGATGGAAAGTTCTGATACACATATCCTGCTTTATGTACAGCAGCGGCAGATCCACGCCGAACTCGGACACCAACCATGTCAACTCAGGTCAAGATCTACGCCCAGAACTGAATGCCAAGATTCAGGAGTTGCAAAAAGTCAAATATGAGAAAGAAAAGATCAATGGAGAGCTGGCTAATCTTCGCTCAAGAATGAAGGTGATGATAAACTCAACTAAGTTCCTGTCAGTTTGGGGGCGGTGGGGTAGCCTAGTGGTTAAAGCGTTGGATCGTCACGCCGAAGACCCGGGTTCGATTCCCCACATGGGCACAATGTGTTAAGCCCATTTCTGGTGTCCCCCGCCGTGATATTGCTGGAATATTGCTGAAAGCGGCGTAAAACTAAACTCAGTCAGTCAGTCCTGTCAGTTTGCGAGCATGGATCCCAGTTTGTCAGATGACTCGTTGATTTATACACAAAGGCTTTATTATCCCCCACAATGCATTTTGCAGGGGTATTATTTTGGACGCCGTCCGTCCATCTGTGCAAATTCGTCCATGCAGAAGTGAAAAATCATTAAATATTTATTGCGTTTCCATGGCAGCAAGTTTGACTTCGACTGAAATTGGTGGTAGTGCTCTTTTCCAGAGCGACCCGTGAAGGTCCAGGTTAGAATTGATCTTCAGTAACCCATGCTTGTCGTAAGAGGTGACTAACGGGATTGGGTGGTCAGGCTCGCTGACTGGGTTGACACATGTCATCTTATCCCAGTTGCGTAGATCGAGGTTCATGCTGTTGATACCTGGATTGAATGGTCCAGACTTGATTATTTACAGATTGCTGCCATATAGCTGGAATATTGCTGAATATGGCGTAAAACTAAGCTCGCTTACTCACTCACTTGTCCTGAGCAGAACTTTAAAACCATTAAATATTTCTTCACCAAACTTGGCACATAGATAGGTCTGGTGGTGGACTGGTGCCTTTTAGTAGTTCTGAATAAAATATTTGTTGCGTTTCCATGGCAATAAGTTTTACTTTGACTGAAGTTGGTGGTAGTGCTCCTTTTCAGAGCAGAACTCTAAAACAATACTCTCTTTCCACTTTGTGGGTATCGAGCAACCTAATGACATAAATCAACATTGCCACTCTATTTCCAGTATTAACATTACTGAGGCACATCAAACTGTACATTTGACATGGTCATAACCAGTTGACATATTCATGAAGAGTATTTTACAATTGCGGGGGATAGTAATGACTTTGTCTTCTTCTTGAATATCTTTTCAGCTCTATATCCAATGGTCTGTTAATCAATATTATGTTATATTTAATATGTATGTCTTGTATGAGTTGTGGTACATCTTCAGGTTCTTCAAAATGAGTTTGCATCAGTGTCGAACAAGATGATCGAGACGTCAGTCAACAATCAGTTCCGCACTGTGCTAGAGCTTGCTGGGAAGGTCAAGAAACTCAGGTCAGTTTTAGAGTATATGGGGGTGTTCACTGGGATCAGGTACATGGGGTTGTTCCAACATGGCCACCGTTCATGTTCCCTGGGATCAGGTACATGGGGTTGTTCCAACAAGGCCACCGTTCATGTTCACTGGGATCAGGTATGTGGGGTTGTTCCAACATGGCCGCCGTTCATGTTCACTGGGATCAGGTACGTGGGGTTGTTCCAACATGGCCGCCGTTCATGTTCACTGGGATCAGGTGGGGTTGTTCCAACATGGCCGCCGTTCATGTTCACTGGGATCAGGTACATGGGGTTGTTCCAACAAGGCCACCGTTCATGTTCACTGGTACATGGAGTTGTTCCAATATGGTCGCCTTTCATGTTCTCTGGGATCAGGTACATGGGGTTGTTCCAATGTGGCCACCGTTCATGTTCTCTGGGATCAGGTACATGGAGTTGTTCCAACATGGCCGCCGTTCATGTTCACTGGTACATGGAGTTGTTCCAATATGGTCGCCTTTCATGTTCTCTGGGATCAGGTACATGGGGTTGTTCCAATGTGGCCACTGTTCATGTTCTCTGGGATCAGGTACATGGCCGCTGTTCAACATGGCCGCTGTCCATGTTCTCTGGGATCAAGAACATCTGGTTGTTCCAACATGGCCACCATTCATGTTCACTGGGATCAGGAAAATGGGGTTGTTCAACATGGCCACCATTCATGTTCTCTGGGATCAGGAAAATGGGGTTGTTCCAACATGGCCACCATTCATGTTCACTGGGATCAGGTACATGGGGTTGTTCAACATGGCCACCGTTCATGTTCTCTGGGATCAGGTACATGGGGTTGTTCCAACATGGCCACCATTCATGTTCACTGGGATCAGGTACATGGGGTTGTTCCAACATGGCCACCGTTCATTTTCTCTGGGATCAGGTACATGGGGTTGTTCCAACAAGGCCACCGTTCATGTTCACTGGGATCAGGTACATGGGGTTGTTCCAACAAGGCCACCGTTCATTTTCTCTGGGATCAGGTACATGGGGTTGTTCCAACATGGCCACCGCTCATGTTCTCTTGGATCAGGTACATGGGGTTGTTCCAACATGGCCACCGCCATGTTCTCTTGGATCAGGTACTCCAACATGGCCACCGTTCATGTTCTCTGGGATCAGGTACATGGGGTTGTTCCAACATGGCCACCGTTCATTTTCTCTGGGATCAGGTACATGGGGTTGTTCCAACAAGGCCACCGTTCATTTTCTCTGGGATCAGGTACATGGGGTTGTTCCAACATGGCCACCGTTCATTTTCTCTGGGATCAGGTACATGGGGTTGTTCCAACAAGGCCACCGTTCATGTTCACTGGGATCAGGTACATGGGGTTGTTCAATCTTGCAGGTGTCAGTTTCCCGGGGTCCAGAAGACTCCAATCGATGATGGCATTGACCTTGTGAATAGCGAGGAGAGGATACAGAACACGTCTGTGAAGAGTCTGCCGGATGTGCTGTCTGCACTCTCAAAGTACAGAGGGGCACAGAAAGACATCTGCATGCTGAAAGATATGGTAGGTTATTCATTCTACATGTCTGTGTTTTGATAGCTTCATCAGCCAGTATCTGTTATGGGGCCTGTTGAATATGAAAGGCCAATGTATTGTTCCCGGTTGCAAGAACTCCTTCCACTTCCGAGTGGTGAAATATCTTCAGTTATTAAAAACATTCCCATTTCTGCAGCTCAGTGGCTAATAATTATCTGCTAAGTTATATTCCAGTATAACTTACAAGCAATGCCATGATGCCACTTGTTTGCAATGCTGAAGTTTCATACTTCATACTTGTCCCTCTTTCATTTGCACTCACAATTTCAAGGTGGAATGTAAAACATTTAGTTCAAGCTACAAAGGACATGCCAGAGCTTGAGTCTACCCTAGGTAGTCTGCAGCGTGTAAACATGGCAGTGTCATTGTTTGTTGCAGAGTACATTAGACAGTCTTGTTGAGGCAAGAAACTCGGCCAGGGAGGAGACTGTTGACATTCTGCGAGTGTGTGTAGAGGAGCTGGAGGCGCTTCCCCTGACTGACAGGGGCAAGGCTGTTCAGGTGAGATCTTCAATCTGGTCTACACTGACTCCTAGTCTCTGAAATGACATATTTTACAGAAAAAGCGGTTCTTACATTATCTTCATGAAACATGATGTAAAGGATCCCAGAGACTTTCCTGTTTTCAGTGACTAAACAAATGTGCAGAGCTGTAACACTGCTTGGAATTTCACCCCACAAGTAAAGATTCTTATCTCCCATCACTCGTTTGCCTTTGAAAATGTGTATGACAGGAATATAGATGGCCCCCCACTACCACTCCCAAAACATAGACCCTCCCACTGTTGGCTCAACAATGTTACTGTTATTTGCACCCGTAAACATAAATCTTTTTGAAATCTTTATCTTTGTTTACACGAGTATTAATGCAATGACTGGGCATCTATTTTGTTTGGGTGGGGGTAACAAAAACTCCTCTCTCTCTCTCTCTCTCCCTCTCTCTCTTTCTCTCTCTCTCTCACACACACACACACACACGTGTGTGCATAGAAAAAAGCCATCCAAGTAAAATGTTGATGTTTACCATTATTTATAGTATTATACTATTATCATTTTATCTTCTAGGAAACTTTAGCCAAGATACGAAAGTGCTACGACAGTTACTTCAAGTTTGTTGTCCACTCATGTCCCTCACTAGAAACATTCCTACCAACCTTTGTTGAGTGGAAGGTAAGAAAAGGCCATCTTCACACTTTACTATGCATTGCTTATCCAATTTGTTGTATCATTATTAGAGGTGTGACGATACAGAAATTTCGCGATACGATACATATCACGATATCTTGGAACGATAAGATTTGAATCAATGCATATCATGATATGCTATCTTTAGTTATTTTTTTTGAAAAAGTATAATTTTTCCTTATCCTGACTCATGCTTATTTGCTTTCTCATCCTCTCTTCCGAACGGTCAAGTGGAAACTTGAATCCTTTCAATTCCCTTGAAGCGAACGTACAATATCTCACCCTGAATTACCTCCCTTTTCCCACCAAAACTGGCACGTGACCTGCCATGGCTTGCTCCACACTCTCTCCTCTATCGCCCAAGCGGACGGTTGGGTGGTCACTTCAGGGTCCCTTCGCGGCTTATAACTTCAAATATTTTGGATATATAGCACAAATTCTGCCGTGATTGTGTTTCTCAATGTTGTTTATCATATTTATAACAAAATTTATACATTGTATGTCAAATTAATTCACAATTTCACATCACGTCTCAACGCTTTATTTACACCCTGGGTGTTCTTCTTGGCTGGTTTACGGTTTGAATATGTCTTGATGTTTGAATATTGTGTATAATCATGTGTATATATTGAATTTATGACTTCTGAGCAGCTGAGCGTGGACAACCTGCAGAAGATGATGACTTCGTCTTCACTGAGGCAGAGGTACTGTCATGGTGGCTGATGGTCTGCCGATATCGTCTCTATCCAGAGACTCCAATCCGGCAGAGATGTACTGCATGAAGGAAGATGACTTCGAGTCGATTACCATACCGCCAATGAAGCCCATGGCGCAGGTTGCAGACAACCTGAAAACAGCCTTTGAAAAGTCTTCAAAGACACAAGGGCAGCATACTCCGCAGTTCAGCACTAGATGGTTCCGGCATCATAACATGGACCGCTTCATTAGGCGCCTGACATAGATGAAGATTTCTACCTTGTATCAGACTCGAAGTCTCGCAGTTACAAGGTGGAAGACAAGAAGTTGGCACAGCTTGATACGACAACCCTTAGGGCTTTTTACGGGTTAGCAAGGTCCAGAGCCATCAACGAAGCGCTGATGTGTGCTTTCAAGCATCCTAAGACAGAAGACGAAAGAATGATGTCTACACTAGTGTTACAGCGCAAGGATCAGGAGTTTATCTCCGATCACTTGGCCTCTACGTCGGCGGGCATCACACTATTGCGTCGTCAGGGGCTGCTGAGTTCCTCTACATGGCCAGATGTCTACACCAAGCCTTTACTACGAAAACCTTGGGCAGCGCCTACACTGTTTGACGGCGGCATCCGGCAGTTGTCGCGTGAAGTAACACAAGACTCCAAGGACTTGACGTTGATCAAGTCGGTCCAGACGATGAACACCTTGGTGCGTCAATCTACTCAGCGCAGTCAACTACGATCCCGCTTCTCAGGTATGCAGAGGTCCAAAGAGAAGAAGTTTCCGTCTAAACGTGGTGACAACTCGGATCATTTCATCGACCAAGTAATGCCAGAAGATACTCTGGACGTGGGCGGTCCTCCGGCGGGAGCAGGAGGTCCCGTTGATGAAGATCAGGTTTGGAACGACGTTCCTGTACAACCGTCAACCGTGGGTGGACGGTTGGGTTTATACTGGGAAAATTGGAGAGTACTACAGGACGACTACATTATAGAAATATTACGAGAGGGCTACAGTATCCAGTTGCAATCGACGCCGCCGTTGACCAACAACCTGTTGGTCTTCAAGTATCCGTAGCTGCAGCGAGAGCTATCGAGATGTTATTGACGAAAGGTGCAGTAGAGGTTGTCGATCAACGCAGACTCACGCCCGGGTATTTCTCTCCAATTTTCCTAGTACCCAAAAAGAACTCCAAAGAGAAGTTTCGACTTATCTTCAACATGAAGAGCTTACCTGTTGAAACCAGAGAAGTTCAAGATGCTACATCTACCTCACCTGAGACATCTTATTCGACCCGACGACTTCATGGTCAGCATAGATCTGCAAGATGCCTAACTACATATCCCGATGCACTCAGAATCACGGAAGTACCTGCGATTCCTGTTCGAAGGGCGGCACTACCAGTGGAAGGTCCTGCCCTTTGGAATTTCGTCGGCCACGTGGTTATTTACGCGAATAACCAAACCGATTGTCGCTTATCTCCATCAGAAGGGGCTACGCAGTGCCTTCTACCTAGACAACGGCATCCAGGCACATCAAGATGCAGATCAACTCAGACTACAGCTGCAGTTTGCAATCAACCTGCTGACACAGTTGGGCTGGCTGGTGAATCATCAGAGGTCGGAGCTGGAGCCGACCCAAGATCCACAGTTCCTGGGCATCAGATTCCTGACGTTAGAGAACCGCATCCTGGTACAAGACGACCGATGGCAGAGCATCCAGTCGTGCATACCAGACACCCTCAACTCTCCACTAGACTTAAGAATGTGGCAGCGACTCTTGGGTCTACTGACGTTGGCGCAGGCTCTCACACGCAGAGGAAGATTTCAACTTCGACCACTACGGAGGTTCCTGATAGATCATCTAGACAATGTCCAGCAGTTCGCCATCCCGCAACATCTAAAGCAGTACCTGCTTTGGTGGACAGTAAGATCGAATGTTTGCGGCGGAACCTATTTGAGGGAGCCAGAGTACGATCTTCATCTCTACGTGGATGCGTCCCTCCAAGGCTGGGGGGCACATCTCAATGACAAGGTTGCAGCAGGGCAGTGGTCACAAACAGTGAAGAGTCTGCACATCAGCCAGCTAGAATTGAAAGCAGTAATAGAAGCAGTTCTATATTGGGCGGCGGCAGTTAGAAGATCAGGTCCTGATGATACACACGGACAACTCCACGGTGGCCTTTTACATAAATCTGCAAGGGACCACGAGATCAGCGCCGTTGCTTCAACTGAAGTTCCAGCTGTTCAACATTGCAGACGAAATCAACCTGAAGATGATCCCAGGGGCAAAGAACGTCCTAGCCGACGCCTACCCAGACCAGTACGGCCGTCTCCAACAGAGTGGAAGTTACATCCAGAAGTGTTCCAGTGGGTAACAACTCAACTAGGCCATCCCCTCATCAACCTGTTTGCAACCCGTTTCAACCAGCAGGTGACAACGTTCGTCTCGCCAGTGCCAGACCCGCTGGCATGGGCTGTCGACGCCTTAGCCATATCCTGGGAAGGAATGAAGGCCCACGCCTTCCCTCCACCGATCCTGGTACCTCAAGTATTACGCAAGATCAACCAGACGAGTATGCTACAACTGATTTGGGAAGCGCCTTATTGGCCAGCGAGACTATGGTTCCCAGACCTCATAGATCTTCACGGCGAACCAGTTCTACGATTACCAGATTGGCCGAACCTACTCGTCCATCCTCACACCAAGCAGTGTCATGGCAACCCAGAAGGGTTCCAGTTACACGTACGGAGAATATTATGTAGTGCTTGAAGAATCGAGGTTACTCCACTAGAGCAGCCAAGGCTGTGACCGTTGCCCTACGAAGATCTACACGTAACCTGTATGATGACAAGTGGAGAAGTTTTGACCAGTATGCTGTTCAACAGGGGTTCACGGCCAGAAAAGCGACACATCCACAAGTAGCAGATTACTTGTGTCATCTGAGGTCCACTAGACATCTGAAGGGCTCTAACGCTGTCTACATACCTTGCGGCAATCAGCTCGGTCATCACCATGAAGACAGGGGTGAAGCTGACCAAGGTGCCTGAACTAGTGGCCCTGGTGAGATCTTTCAAGTTGGAAGATCAACAACAGAAGTTCAGAGCACCAGCATGGAACCGCAGACAACATTTGAGTTATTAACTCAAAAGATGATATTCCTCCTCGCCTTGGCTACTGCTGCTCGGATGTCAGAAATACACGCCCTTGACTTCAACCGTACGAGATTCGACACGGGAAGAAGGGAAGCAGTCCATCTAGGCCTTAGATGGCACTTTATAGCCAAGAACCAGCTACCAGGCCAACCGGATCGTCAGTTCTACGTTCCGGCATTATCAACAATCCTGGGTCCAGAAGACACTCAAGATTTATCTTTATACCCGTCAGAGCTGAGAATCTATTTGCAGAAATCTGCTATGAGAAGAAGGAAGTTCAAGCGTCTATTCATCCCGCTATTCACCGCTACGACTGTAGAAGTATCACGTACAACGATCTCCTTCTGGATCAGAGCAGTGCTCTAAGAGCCTACAAAACAGTAGGGTTAGAGCCTCCAGGAGAATCAAACCCACATGAAGTTAATGGAAACTGCTCTATATCATCTATAATGGAAGGCTGCTTTTGGAAGTCAGACACTGTCTTCGCTAATCACTACCTGAGAGACATCTCCACAGAAGACTTATCAGGGATACACCAGTTCGGCCCTCTAGTCGTAGCGCAACAACTCACTGTACCGGCCAGACGTTGAAGAAACTCACCCTTGTCACGCAGATTTGTTGACGCCAGGCAACTGTCCATTGCCACCGGCTGAGAGTCTGTGTTCCCCTGACTTACGAGATAAGTCAGCGCATGAGTGATACATTGACTCAGTTATGGTAATGTTCTTGCCTTAACAGATGGGTCGCAATTCCAGTTTCGGTAAAGTTCTTACCGTACCATATTGGGTCGTTGCAGATATCTAGACAACCAGGCGTCTAGTATACTAAATCCACAAAACTTAAGAAGTTTACTTCTAATACAAATGTATAAGAAGGTGAAGTTAGCCGCAGAAGAAGAAAATTCCCAGGGGGTATATATATCAAGCGAACGCTGACGTGAATACAATCATACAGGGAATCCAGTTAGGTGGTTGACCCACCACCGATTCCGTCGGATTCAGTAAGCAAATAAGCATGAGTCAGGATAAGGAAAAATATGTAATTTTTATGATAAAATTAATATTTTATACTTATCCTGAGATGAAGCCCTCTCAACCGTCCCCTGTCACCACACGTGTTTCCCTGTAAACCTGCGTGGGGCTTATATCGGAGAGAGTGAGGAGCAAGGCATGGCAGGTCACGTGCCAGTTTTGGCGGGAAAAGGGATGTAATTCAGGGTGAGTGATTGTACATTCTCTTCAAGGGAATTGAAGGGATTCAAGTTTCCACTTGACCGTTCGGAAGAGAGGATGAGAAAGCAAATAAGCATGAGTCAGGATAAGTATAAAATGTTAATTGTATCATAAGATTTACATTTTTGATAGCAAGCAACAGTCTGAGTTTTGACATAACTGTTGATTTCTAGTGAAAATTAACAGTTTTAGGTCAATGATACATATCACGATTATAAGAAAAAAAGGTATCGATATAATTATACCCTGATATATCATCACAGCTCTAATCATTATGTATCAAAATGCTTCGCAACAATTTTATTGAAGTCAGAACTTCCAGTTAAATACCTGAGGATTATAACTTTTGTTCAGGGTCGGTTATGACTGTATTGTTCAAGTGTGGATTGTAACTGTATTTTTCAGATGTAGGTTGTAACTGTATTGTTCTGGGGCAGATTGTAACCTCCTTTCAAAGACAGCTCGAAGCAACCTTTACTCCCATTCTTTAACATTGCACTAAGGTTACCTTAGTGACTTACAATCACCTTAGTGCTTTGTGAAAGGAGGCCCAGGTGTGGGTTGTAACATTGTATTATTCAGGTGTAGGTTGTAACTGTATGGTTCAGGTGTGGGTTGTAACATTGTATTATTCAGGTGTAGGTTGTAACTATTGTTCAGGGTGGGTTATAACTGTATTGTTCAGGTGTGGATTGTAACTATTGTTCAGATGTAGGTTGTAACTGTATTGTTCAGGTGCAGATTGTAACTGTATTGTTCAGGTGTGGGTTGTAACATTGTATTATTCAGGTGTAGGTTGTAACTTTTGTTCAGGGTGGGTTGTAACTGTATTGTTCAGGTGTGGGTTGTAACTGTATTGTTCAGGTGTGGGTTTTATCTGTATTCAGGTGTGGCTTGTAACTGTATTGTTCAGGTGTGGATTGTAACTGCATTGTTCAGATGTAGGTTGTTACTATTATTCAAGTGTAGGTTGTAACTATTATTCAGGTGTAGATTGTAACTGTGTTGTTCAGGTGTGGATTGTAACTGTATTATTCAGGTGTAGGTTGTAACTGTATTGTTCAGGTGTAGGTTGTAACTGTATTGTTCAGGTGTGGGTTGTAACTGTATTGTTCAGGGTGGGTTTTAACTGTATTCAGGTGTGGGTTGTAACTATTGTTCAGGTGTGGGTTGTAACTGTATTGTTCAGGTGTGGGTTGTAACTGTATTGTTCAGATGTGGGTTGTAACTGTATTGTTCAGGTGTGGGTTGTAACTGTATTGTTCAGGGTGGGTTTTAACTGTATTCAGGTGTGGGTTATAACTGTATTGTTCAGGTGTGGGTTGTAACTGTATTGTTCAGGTGTGGGTTGTAACTGTATTGTTCAGGTGTGGTTTGTAACTGTATTGTTCAGGTGTGGTTTGTAACTGTATTGTTCAGGTGTGGGTTGTAACTGTATTGTTCAGGTGTGGCTTATAACTGTATTGTTCAGGTGTGGGTTGTAACTGTATTGTTCAGGTGTGGGTTGTAACTATTGTTCAGGTGCAGATTGTAACTGTATTGTTCAGGGTGGGTTATAACTATTGTTCAGGTGCAGATTGTAAGTGTATTGTTCAGGGTGGGTTATAACTGTATTGTTCAGATGTAGGTTGTAACTATTGTTCAGAGTGGGTTGTAACTGTATTGTTCAGGTGTAGGTTGTAGCTATCGTTCAGATGTAGGTTGTAGCTATTGTTCAGGGATGGTTGTAACTGTATTGTTCAGGTGTAGGTTGTAACTATTGTTCAGGGTGGGTTGTAACTATTGTTCAGGTGTAGGTTGTAACTGTATTGTTCAGGTGTGGATTGTAACTGTATTGTTCAGTGTGGGTTTTAACATTGTATTGTTCAGGTGTAGGTTGTAACTATTGTTCAGGTGTAGGTTGTAACTGTATTGTTCAGGGTGGGTTGTAACTGTATTGTTCAGGTGTGCGATATATCTGTATTGTTCAGCCTTAACATAAGAGTGATGCTGTACAAATACAGTGTAATACCATATTTGTGACACATTATCTATTTTCACATGTCATTTTCCCTGGCATCTGATGGACAATTTGTTCTTCACAGCAAAAGAGAATGACTGAGTTCTCCGAGGCACGACAGATGACTGACTCGTACAAGGATGCCGCCATGACAGCACTCACCAGCATTCAGTCTGTAAGTACAGTTGACACAGAGGCCTGCAAGTTGCATAGTTTCTGTATGGTAATGTTTTTAGCACTACATTATAGTTGTATGATCTAGCAATATTACCATCGGAAATCTCTTTAAGACAGATGTCTCATGTTTTGGCTGATATGGACTGATTAACAACTTGAGTACATCATTGGTGTTAGTGTGTCATGGGTGTTCTAGTGGTTGCTGTGTTACACTGAAGGCTGCATCCCCCTACCTTCTCCTATATTCCCTTTGTATTTTTCTAGCAACTTTCGTTCGACAACCTGGAGAGTTCAGAGCAACCTGATTATGACCTGGAAGCCCTTCTTCGCCAATACATTCAGGGCCTGCAGCATGAGATCACCGTCACTGATGCTGTAAGTCAACAGATGGTCACTGCGTCTCGGTTATCATGTGTACAGCACAGTACTATACTTACAGATATTTTCTTATCCTGACTCATTATCTTTTGCTTATCTCCCTTTTCCTTGTGATTAGTAGTGGAACACTTGAATCCCTTGAAGTTCCCGAAGCGGACGTAAAAATACACTCAACCACAAGTTACCTCCCTTTTCCCATGTAAACAGTCATGTGACCAGCCTTACTTGTCACTCTCTCCCTTTTTTGCCCAAGTGGATGGTTGGGCGAGCACTGGAGTCCTGTATACGGCATTATATCCTTTTTATTTAGGTCCTATTCTTCAAACTTAAGCTGTGTATGGATTTGGCAATAACTACTATGTATTATATTTAAATTTTTTGTAAAAGGTATTTGTATTTGTGTCATAATTTCATCGTTATGTAATTTTGTGTACATTTCATGAAATCTTGCAGTGTTTGCAGGTACAGGTTATCCGTGGCTGATCCTCACCCCAATGCATTTCGTGCATCAAACCATGTTCTTCCAGCTTGCGCTGTACTTATTGTGTTGATTTATCAAATCTACAATTTTATCAATATTTGTCTTATATCTATAGACGTGCCATGGATCAGGTGAGGAAGTCATCTCAAGTTACCTCCGCATGAAGTACACGTTTTTTGATGATCCCCCGTTACTTCTAGCCGAGTACCTACGAGATCGGCGACTCAATGGACTTCCACGACTACTAGATGGTCTTCTGCAACGGTCACAGCAGTCCAGCTGTTTGACGAATTACCACCAACTTCTCAACGGAGTGAAGTTGAGGTACACAATTCATCAGCGTTCGCGAACTCTTCCTCTACACCGCAGCAGCTTCAATCAACGCAGAACTTGATCCGGGTGAAATTATGAGACAATTCACCAACCAGATGATGGCTATGATGGAACGGAGGTTCGAGGAGGAAGCGAAGGCTTGGCGAAGCTGCTCATCTACTGACACCGTGAACAAACCTACAGACCTGTGCGAACCTACTCCGGATAGAACTACGTTGCGAAGGTTTCCACAGTCTGACGACTTTCTCATTTTGGAGGAGGACAGAAGACATGAGATGCCTACTCACCGTTCTACATCTGCGAACCCTCAACGTTCGAGAACTTTAAAGAATTCATCTCCTACACATAGCCGTTCTAGATCAAGATCTCATATGTCTCAGACGTTCGCGAAGTCACTCATCACGAGACAGAGGTTCGCGAAGAGAAGGCTCACATCACAGAGGTTCGCGAAAGGATACATCTAGTGACAGAGATTCGCGAAGAGTAGGCTCACGTCACAGAGGTTCGCGAAGAGATGAATCCACAGATAGAGGTTCGCGAAGAGAGGACTCTCAAGACAGATGTTCGCGAAGGGAGGAATCTTCAGTTTCGCGAAAGGATGAGGGAGGTTCAAGAAGGGATACAGGTTCGCAGAAGGATGATTCGCGGAGGCATAGCTCTACCGATCAGGAGATAACTGATGTATAACCAGAGCCAGCCTTCGACACACATCTCTACGTAGACGCATCGATACAAGGTTGGGGTGCACATCTCAACAATCAAGTTGCATCAAGGAAGTGGTCCAAAACAGAGCAGCATCTTCACATCAATCTGCTGGAGATGAAAGCTGTGATCAACGCCTTACAACTATGGTCGAGCTAGCTGATCAACAGAATGCTAATGGTCCACACGGACAACTCTAAGTGGCATTCTCCATAAATTGGCACGGATCTACAAGATCACCAAGCCTACTACAGCTCACATTCCAGTTGTCTGACATAATGAAGGAGGCAAACATCTGGATAAAGGCGTGTCTCATACCCAAAGCCAAGAACGTGCTTGCAGACGCTCTCTCCCGACCACTGCACCCGTCACCTTCAGAATGAATGCTCCATCAAGAAGCATTTCGGCTCATCATAAGGGAAATAGGATCCCCTTGCATAAACCTGTTTGCCACGATGTTCAACATACAACTACAGACGTTTGTCTCACCAGTTCCAGATCCTCAGGCCTGGGCAACAGATGCACTGAGCATATCCTGGGAAGGACTAAACGCTTACGCGTTTCCACCCCCGATATTACTACCGAAAGTACTGTTGAAAATCAAACAGACACAGGCGCTACAACTGACTTTGGCCACGCCATACTTGCCAGCGAGAGTATGGTTCCTAGACCTAATAGAAGATCTCGGAAGTCCAATAATCAAGTTACCAGATTGGCCGAACCTATTCATATATCCGCACACCAAGCAAGTCCACAGGAACCAAACACTGTTCCAGCTACACGTGTGGACCGTATCAAAACATATTTGAAGAAAAGAGGATACTCCACCAGGGCAGCCAAAGCAGTAACGCTAGCGTTACGCAGATCTACTCGTAACCTATATGATGACAAGTGGCTGAAGTTTGAGACTTATGCAAGGCGGAAAGGCTTTATTGCTATGAAAGTTACTCATCCTCAAGTGGCGGAATACCTGTGTCATCTTAGACAGACTAGACATCTGAAAGGTTCGACATTATCTACATACCTCGCTGCCATCAGTACAGTGATTACCATGAAAACAGGCATCAAGTTGACGAAACTTCCAGAATTATTTGCTCTGCTGAGATCTTTTAATCTGGAGGACCAGCAAAAGAAGTTCAGAGCTCCGGCCTGGGATCTGAATGTAATTCTATGTCATCTTACAATTGATGTCTACGAACCTCTAGACCATACTACCTTCGAGCTGCTGACACAGAAGACTCTGTTCCTGCTTGCGCTATCCACGGCAGCTCGAATATCAGAGATACATGTGCTGGACTTTGGTCGAACCAGATTCGACACGGGGCAACATGCTGCAGTTCATCTAGGACTTAGATGGGACTTCATTGCCAAGAACCAACTACCTGGTCAGCCAGATAGACAGTTCCACGTACCAGCGTTATCTACAATCCTCGGACCAGAGGATATAGAGGACCTATCCTTGTGTCCAGGCAGAGTCTTGAAGAGATATCTTCAAAAGACTAAGACAAGGAGACAAAAATTCAAGCACCTGTTCATCCCATTATCCATATAGACATCAGCAGAAGTCTCAAGAACGACGATATCGTTCTGGATGAGAGCCGTCATATTGAGAGCCTATAAAGCAGCAAAACTAGAACCTCCTAGAGCTTCCAACCCACACGAAGTCAGAGCACTGTGGGGTAGCCTAATGGTTAAAGCGCGCCAACATTGGCTCTGCTCTATATCAGCAATTATGGACGGCTACTTTTGGAAGTTGGATCAGTCAGTGTTTGCCAACCACTACCTCCTGCATTATGGAGCTGCTTTTGGAAGTTGAAGGTGTTTGCCAACCACTCACTAACTTGGGTCTGTCGTTGCAGCACAGCTACTAACGGTTCCTCAAAGGCGCTGAGTTGGAAAATCTCACCCTTTATCACGTTGACTTGTTGATAATTTTTATTGAGGAAAAGTATTAGTTTGAAAGTCCATGCGCACAGTCTAGGACAGACTACCATGAGTTATTGAAGATCCTTTACGGATCGTTAAGGGGTCGCAACTCATTTATGATAAAGATCTTATTATAATCTATGGGTTGATATAGATATCTAGTAAAAAGAAGATACTAGTATATCTTAAGCCACATGAATCAAGATGATTAAACTTGTCTGAGATGGAAGTAAGACAAGAAAGTGGTCCCCCCAAGTTATAACGGAAGTTGGAAGAATAGGATCACGGAAATGTCGTTTCGCAGTTCGGGGTGGGTGTGTTCGGATTTGGGTGTTTGTGAGGATACAGGACGTATCTAAGGACTGCTGATGAATCCACAAATGACTTGACCCACCACCAATCCATCAGATTCTATAAGCAAAAGATCATGAGTCAGGATAAGACAAAATATGTAATTTTTCAAGTAAAATTGATATTTTTATACTTATCCTGACTCATGACAAGAAGCCCTCCCAACCTCACCGCTGGAAACACTTTGGATTTCACAGCAGATCCAAGTGCTTGGGCAGAAAAATTAGGAGAGAGTGACAAGTAAGGCTGGTCACATGACTGTTTACGCGGTAAAAGGGAGGTAACCCGTGGGTGAGTGTATTTTTACATCCGCTATGGTAACTTCAAGGGATTCAAGTGTTCCACTACCATTCGCAAGGAAAAGGGAGATAAAAATATCAAAGATCATGAGTCAGCCTAGATGAAGTATAAAAACATCAATTTTACTTGAAAAACATTCTTCACAAACATTCAAGTGCTGTTGCCACACTTTGTTTGAAACCATGCCAAACTTAACATCTCATGCATGCATTATGAAAAACAAAAATCATGTGATTAGCTGAATTTTATCTAAAATTTGTTTACAATGAGAGAACAGTAATGTTAAGGTTGCTGGATGATTATGAACTGATTAGATGTGTTGTTGTCAGGAGCGGACTTCAGAGGGTGCCTTCCTGGCGGCACTGGTCCAATCTTTGTACACTGAGCTGCAGTCTGAGATGACCAACATCGACAACTACCAACACCTCCTGGCCGAGTTCCGCACGATGAAGACAGAATGTGAACCGTGGCTTCATGATAAACCCTGTACAGAGGAACTGCTTGGAATTCGCAAAACACTTCGAGGTTTGCGATCAAAACTCCGACACAGGGTTGCTGACAGACAGGATTTAGAGGAGGCATGTTTTCTCATTGATATTACATTCATTGTCTTGTGTATATTAGAAGATAAAGGAGTAATGTGACTGATCAGGGAAGGTATAGGGCTGAAATGGTAGACCACTGTGTATGCATACTGCGGTATTTTGTTTTCGGTTCGGTACACCGAAATTCACTTTGAAAATACAGTATGTTCTTACTCACCTTATGCACATTACTTTAATTTAATTCTATATGACATCTCCATGTAGCTACCGTTTCTGGCATTTCTGTTCCAAATGCTATTGTCAACAACTCATGCTAATTCGATTGGACGAAGTTTGTGTAAAGGCACTTTCTTTTGGGTCCCAATTCCAAGAAGATTTCTTCTCGGAACTTAAATGTTAATGAACCGAACTGAAATGTACCAAACCGAGAGCTGTGTACAGCAATACGTACTGAACCGTGGCATGGACGTACCGTTGCACCCCTAGCAAGGCACTGCTACAGACTGAGGAATTCTTGTTCTTCCTGTGAGACTCAGCAATTGACCCTATTTTTGGTGTTATTGTAATTATATAATTTGTTTTAACTACTTGTTGATGTTATGTCTATGGACATGAAATCTTACAAGGGTTCAAGATGACATATGTTACATTTAAAAATAGTGTGCAGAATGTTGTATACCAAGAGTTCTTGTAAAGTATTATGCCTAAGTTAGCAAATTATTAAACACACATCTTCAGAATCCATGTTTTTGCCAGCAGAATGAGGGTGGTTCAAGTGAGTTGGATGAGATCAAGAAGGACATCAGTGCCATCAGGACAGAGATACACCAGGCACTCAGCATCGAGGATGGTCTGGTGGTGAGTGGGGCACAGGAGGGATGGGGGATGGTCTGGTGGTGAGGGGGGCACAGGAGGGATGGGGGACCGGTCTGGTGGTGAGTGGGGCACAGGAGGGATGGGGGATGGTCTGGTGGTGAGTGGGGCACAGGAGGGATGGGGATGGTCTGGTGTGAGGGGGGCACAGGAGGGATGGGGGATGGTCTGGTGGTGAGTGGGGCACAGGAGGGATGGGGGATGGTCTGGTGGTGAGGGGGGGCACAGGAGGGATGGGGGATGGTCTGGTGGTGAGTGGGGCACAGGAGGGATGGTCTGGTGGTGAGGGGGGGCACAGGAGGGATGGGGGACGGTCTGGTGGTGAGTGGGGCACAGGAGGGATGGTCTGGTGGTGAGGGGGCTTAGGAGGGATGGGGACGGTCTGGTAGTGAGGAGGGGAAAGAGACAGTCGTGGGGGGAGAGGGGACGGTCTGGTGGTGAGTGGGGCACAGGAGGGAGAGGGGAATGGGAGGGAGAGGGGCACCTGCAAGAATAACATTTCACATTGTGTCCCCTTGTGGTTTTTCAGAGGTTTACGGCATACTTATCTCATATGGCCTTCATGTCAGTAACTTAATTCAGGATTCACTGGTCGATGTAAACATGTCATTGCACACTTGTTTCATTTCCAGACTGACTTGGCCAAGATAGCTGATGCTCACTTCCCAGAACTTATGAAGATGCATCCTGAACTGGGTATTGACATACACCTGGTGAGTGGAATGTTTCCACCCTGACTTGTGTACACCTCTGTTGTGTAAATGAAGATATGTCTCTGAGAAATGTTTCCAAGTGGTGTTATTATTACCATCTAAAACCAGTGTTTAAGACATTATGAACTGTGTTTGCAGGAGTTCAATGGTCTAGTTAAACCCAGCCAGGAGATTGAACATTATGACCTGACACAAGAAGAGGGGGGAGCCCAGGGGCTGTATGTGTCAACCTTCTTGGGGAAGCCTATATTCATCCGGGTGAGCAGAAATCTTGTCTATGTCTATGTTTGTAGTGTTTCTGTTTTCAATAATTGTATTTCCTTGGTCATGTCTTACCTTGCTGCGTACCATGTGGTGTGTGTGTTTGCTCTATACAATATGTGATTTCTTGCTCTGTATCTTGTCTTACCTTCCTGTGCAATGAAAGCTCTGTCTTTGGGTACTGTACCATATTGTAGTTTTCTTCTGTTCTCCACATGTTTTTTTTTCTTCCTGTGCATCGTGTTTTGACTTAGATTAAGTGAGTGAGTTTAGTTTTATGCCGCACTCAGCATTATTCCAGCTATATGGCGGCGGTCTCTAAATAATCGAGTCTGGACCAGACAATCCAGTGATCAACAGCATGAGCATCAATCTGCGCAATTGGGAGCCAATGACATGTCAACCAAGTCAGTGAGCCTGACCACCTTATCCCGTTAGTCGCTTCTTGCGACAAGCATGGGTTACTGAAGATCAATATTCTAACCCGTACCTTCACGGGTACTTAGATTCAGATGTTAAGATTTTGGTTAGAATTGGTCTTCAGCAACACGTCACTATGATGTACCCATTATTTTCATGCATTTACTTCTATTACCCAAAAGTTATCTCCATGTATTCACTTAACTGTTTCAGGAGCACTTGTTGTCTGACGGTGATCGTCTAGACAAGGACGAATGTGTCCGGCATGCCATATCATATTCTGCAGCAAAGCAGGAGAATTTACAATCCGTCATGTCCATCTTCTTTGATAAGGTAAGGGTGAAACTGAATCTGTATGTAAGGCTTCAGTGGGCAACTGTTGCCACTAGTCTGAAGCATCGTCCGTTCCATAGCTCACAATAGCTTCTACCTGAAATCATTAGAGCTGCATCGATTCGGTTTGATTCATCGAAAATCAAATCTGAAACCTATGTTTCGATTTTCGAAAACCATTTTCACTATTTCGATTCAATATTTGAATACCAATTTTAGTTAATTATGTCGTAAACGTTTCGGCTGGATTATGGTTGCCAGTTTCCTGTGGGATACAGGTACATACAGAATGAACGAGATTAAAATATTTCTCTAAGTCATAGCTATCCCTAGTGGTATGCCTAAATATCTACATGGTTATCTCCCTTAGCTGTGATGTCACAGCATTGTTCTTTGAACACCTTCATAATATTTTCTGTATGGTCACACACAGACGGTCAGAGTGGAAGAGGTTTATTGTCAAGTTTAATCTTACAGAGTTATTCATGTACGGTCAGTAGAGATCACATTTGGTCACCAGACAATCGCATTGTGACTTTATTATTGCTTATTGTAAAAACTTTTTGACTTTGTGTAATTTAGGAATTTTCCCGCCCTTTTTGAACTTTCCCGCCATGTCGCAAAATAAGTGCGTTCATTGTCAAAACTTTATGGCACTTTATGTGCATCATGTTTTGTTGGAGCTCCTTGCACAGTTGAAGGTCGCTGTTTGTTATGTTCTGCCTTATCTACGGAGAAATGGATTAGTGTTGATAAAGCACGTAATAAGGCGAGGAAGAGAAAATTGTCAGAGATCTCAGATTCCTCTAGAAGTAAAATACCTGCCTCTCAGCCTTCTAGTTCAGCAGTTAAATCGGACTCAAAGTCAAAATCTAAATCTAGATCAAGTTCATCATCTAGCCAGGTTGATATGTCAGCTATTACGGAGCTTTTGTCTTCTTTCAAGTCGGAAATTCAATCATACATGCGGCAGTCCTTCCATGACTTTGTGTTATGTAACGAAGGGAAAATCTCAGATCCCTATCTATATGACTCATACGATGAAGGGCATGCTAGGTCCCAAGGTCAAGGGTCATTCCCCGTAGGGCGGGACGGTGCTCTGCTCGGTTCGGTCCAGCATTACCCACGTCCTGAAACCGGGTCGCCGATCCCCACGGTGGGAGACGCTAAGGCTTCGAGCGGGAGGGACACGGTCCCTGGCTGTCACCCCTTAGGGGTCAGCACCCAAGCTAGCTTGCCTGCCGAGCCGGCTATCGTGTCACGCTCGGGTGATTCGGCGTCCCTGGCACGGCTTGGTCAGGATCCCGTTAGCCGAGTTAAGGTGGTCGGCATGGGTCCTAATCAGCCGTTATATAACCCAAATTCCATGGCTCACGCACAGCATGGAGTAGCTTGCTCTACGGGGAGTGTAATGGATGTAAGTGGATCAATTTCACGTCAAATGACCTTGATCAACAAGACTTCAGGACTTATGGATATTGGGTACTTGTTCAGGAAGATTTTCATGAACATCTACAAGATTATCGGATGAGAAATTAAATTAGTGATGTGAATTAACAGTGAATGGTGATGGTTTCACAGATCACGTGATTTGGAGAGAACTGTTACATGTTGGGAAGCTGTTCTAGAGGATTAGTTTAGGAAGAGTAGTATATATATCTGAGGATTCATACATGAACCGGAAGTGACGTCATAACCGGGAGTGACATCATAACCGGGAGTGACACCATAGGTAACGTCATAAAGCCAAAGGTGACGTCATAAACCGGAAGGTGATGATAACATACCAGAAGTGACGTCATAGTAACGTAGGGTGACGTCATAAATTCGAAGAAGGTATAGTCAGTAGAACGAAAAGTGACGTCATGTCTGAAAACGAGGTTTCAGGATTGGAATAGGTTCTCGGAATTGGTGAGAACATTATCATCAATTAGGAATTAATTCCGTTAATGGTCTAATTTCTCTCCAAATATTTCAGAATCTTCCTTCACGTTAACTTCCTGTTCTAGTAATGTATTAACAAGATAATATGGTGGCGGGAATATTAAACAGGAAGTTATCTAAGTCATAGTTATCCCAAGAAGGGAATTCGGGATTCCAGAAGTATAGTGGTATTCCTATGTGGGATTCTGGCAACCATAATCCAGAGGGAACGTTTACATAATCAGGAACAATTACGGATATTGTTAGTAATTATTAGTAAACTAACCTCTGGATTATGGGATCTAGGACCCTCCCTTACCTCCCCGCGATGTGTATGAGGAAAAATAAATTTTAAAAAATGAAAAAAATTATGAAGGTGTTCAAAGAACAATGATGTGGTGTCACAGCTAAGGGAGATAACCATGTAGATATTTAGGTATGCCACTAGGGATAGCAATGACTTCGAAAAATTTTAATCTCTTTCATTCTGTATGTATCTGTGTCATCCACAGGAAACTGGCAACCATTATCCAGAGGTAAGTTTACTAATAATTACTAACAATATCCGTAATTGTTCCTATTTCCACACAGCCAGAACTTAATTTTGACTCCAACTTTAGCAGTTTCAACGCTGAAATAAGGCGAAACATGATTGGTTGACGCCGGGCTAATTATCCAGTGAGAATTGTTGTTAGTAGACCTCGCCAAAAAAGCTGACATTACGATAAATAGCTGACTCTGGGAGTTAAACGAAATCTGATGTTTTTACTTGTATGAAGAATCGAATTGAGGGTCCAATATTGAAAATCGAACCGAATCGAGGTCTCAGTGAATCGTTAGAGCCGTAAAAATCATGCTGAGAAGAGTGATGGCAGTACCTTTTTGTTTTTGTCACTGACTCTAGACCAACCAAACTGTGAAACTTTTCATGTGTACTTCAGAACTCCAACTGTCTTTTAGCTTCCATGATGCACTGGATGTTGTCCATTCTGTTTGGTTTTGTCAGTGTAACACCTATGCTCTGGTTTGTTACAAATTTACCGCTTCCACATAACAGGAATATAGCCGAGTGCTTCGTGAAACAATAAACACAATAAACAGACTACAAATTCACTTAAGATTTTATTATTCTCACTTCATTTTTTTGTTGTCAGAATGCTCGTCATGCATATGTCTGCACAGCGAAGAATGGGGAGAGATTGTCGAGTATGGTCCACAAGGGCAAGAAGCCCCACAGAAGGGTAGGTTGTACATCACACAAACACACCGTCAGTAACATCGTCAGTGTACCTGTAAACCCCATGAAGCATCTTCCTCATCAGCTCCAGTTTGACATGACCCGTGAAGATCTTGGGTAGAATAAGTCTTCAGCAACCCATGCTTGCCACAAAAGGTGACTATGCTTGTCATAAGAGGCGACTAACGGGATTGGGTGGTCAGACTCGATGACTTGGTTGACACATGTCATCGGTTCCCAATTGCGCAGATCGATGTTCTAGCTGTTGATCACTAGATTGTCTGGTCCAGACTGGATTATTTACAGACCGCCGCCATATAGCTGGAATATTGCTGAGTGCGGCGAAAAACTAAACTAACTCACTCACTCAAGTTTGACATACACCGACTCACTTAAGTTTCTGTTCTAATTTTGTAATGGTTGAAATTTCTTTAAAGCTTAAGTGTTTATTGTGTTCACAGAGATGGTGATATTCACCTCACTACCAGCTGAGTATCCAGGGTATCCATACAATTGCTGGTCTTCTTGTAACTTGAGATCTAATGTGACATCAGAGACAAGAGTTAGGGCCGCCCGCCGCCCGTTCCTCTATGTACCTAAGAATAAGGTACCAGATCTGTCTCTGCACCAGAGGAGGGTTCCAGTACATTCCAGAACTCTGTATAAATATAGCACAACTCTAAATATAGAGCACAACACTGCCCCCTACTGAATGTCAAATTCAGGTACAATATATTACACTCTGTACATGGTGTCACAATAACACTCCCATGTAAATGTTTCTGTTACCAGGGATCTTTTTCAGATTCTTAGCTCCTACATCTGAATTCACGAAGCTAATGGTGATGATATGTCTTTTTCCAGACAATACAGATGATCATGAGGTGTTTAGCTAAAGCTCTTCAGTCTCTCCATGCCAATAACATTGTCCATGGGGAGGTAACTCCGCAGAACATTCTCATCAGAGAGGAAGATGGCATGGCTGAACTGATGCATCCTGACTTCTCGCAGACAATGGTGAGGTGCCAACTGTGTAAAAATGGTCATTAATATCATGACTTCACTCAGAGCTGTTCCAAGAAGTGTAATGTGTAATATGAGTGTCATTCCTGTGAAAGTTTGGCCCAGATCTGCTGGTCATCTGAAGGTTTGGCCCAGATCTACAGGTCCTACACTCAGCAATATTCCAGCTCTATGGCGGCTGTCTGTAAATAATCGAGTCTGGACCAGACAATCTAGTGTTCAACAGCATGAGCATCAATCTGCGTAATTAGGAACTGATGACATGTGTCAACCAAGCCAGCGACCCTGACCACCTTATCCCGTTAGTCGCCTCTTATGACAAGCATGGGTTACTGAAAATTCATTCTAACCCTGACCTTCACGGGACCCAGGTCCTTTGAAGGTTTGGCCAAGACCTGCAGATCAGGTTTTGTCCTCATTATAAAAATTGGTTCTCAATCTGTTAGCACCATATTCAAAGTGATAATCACCTACCTTCAGTGACTGAGATTTATAGTTTTACAGAAATACAGCTCCTGGAGATAAGAATGCAGACTTGGTTATATCCATGTTTGTCATAAGTCAACTGTCTTGTAAGACCGCATTTTTATTTGTAGAAAGAACGCAGCAGAAAAAAGTACTCCACACCTTCAGGGATCTCATTCATGGCACCAGAGTTGAAGAATGCTATGCTGAAAGATGTCTTCCCAGCAACTGATATGTTCAACCTGGGCTTGTTGTTGCTATGGGTAGGTAAATTAAATATTTTCTTCTTATCCTGACTCATGATCTTTTGCTTATCTCCCTTTCCCTTGCGAATGGTAGTGGAACACTTGAATCCCTTGAAGTTCCCGAAGTGGACGTAAAAATACACTCGCCGACGAGTTACCTCCCTTTTCCCGTGTAAACAGTCGTGTGACAAGCCTTACTTCACTCTCTCCCTTTTCGGACAAGGATGGGGAAGCACTGGAGTCCCGTATACGGCATTTTATCCTTTTTATTTAGATCCTATTCTTCAAAATGACGCTGTGTATGGATTTGGCAATAATTACTTTGTATTATATGTAAAAAAATTGTAAGAAATATTTGTATTTGTGTCATAATTTCATCGTGATGTAACTTGTTTACATTTCATGAAATCTTGCAGTGTTTGCAGGCACAGGTTATCCGTGGCTGATCCTCACCCCCAATGCCCTTCATGCATCAAACCATGTTCTTCCAGCTTGCGCTGTACTTATTGTGTTGATTTATCCATGCCATGGATCGGTTGAGGAAGTCATCACAAGTCACGGCTGATAAATCAGGACATCAGCCTGCAAACCGTATGTTGCTTGCTATGGCTGGAATTCATAATACTGGTGCTATGTTGAGTACGTTGCAGGGTCAGTCGTCTGGTACGGGGGCGAAGAAGAGATAGGCTACAACGCAGTTGACACGGGCTCAAGTAAGAAAAAGACGTCGTCTGCTTCTACGTCGCAGAGGAGAGCATCTGTTACCAGATCGGAGGGTAAATCTACGTGGCATAGTAAGTCAACGCATCAAAAATCCTGAACTTTTTTGATGATCCCCTGTTACTTCTACCCGAAGTACCTACGAGATCGGCGACTTTCACGACTACTAGATCGTCTCGTGCAACTGCCACAGCTGACCAGCTGTTTGACGTACTACCACCAACTTCTCAACGGAGTGAAGTCGAGGCACACAACTCATCAGTGTTCGCGAACGCTTCTTCTACACCGCAGCAGCTTCAATCAACGCAGAACTTTGATCCGGGTGAAATTATCAGACAATTCACCAACCAGATGATGGAACGTAGGTTCGAGGAAGAGACGAAGGTTCAAAGGAACCTCTCATTTGCTGAGTGTATTTTTATGTCCGCTTAGGGAACTTCAAGGGATTCAAGTGTTCCACTACCATTTGCAAGGGAAAGGGAGATAAGCAAAAGATCATGAGTCAGGATAAGTATAAAATATCAGTTTTACTTAAAAAATTACATGTTTGAAGAAGACCACCTCATCACTGTCAACTGGCCAGGCCGAATAATTCTGATCCTGGTTTCAGTGTTGCCTCGAATCAGCAAGTTCTTTGATTATTTTGGGCAGTGACTCCACTTGTTGTCTCACTAACTCCCTGCTTTCTTTATAGAATTTATGAACATAATGAATTCAATTCATGTTCTCAACTATAACTATTTTACCTTTCAGCTTTACTATCCTGATGTGCACTTCAGTATCAAGGCTGATGCTCCGGACTTCACTGGAATGCCTCTTGTAAGCTGAACCATCAGTTGATTATGTAACACAAAAGATGCTACAGGTTGACAAGGGGTGGACAGATGGGTTCAAACAGGCCCGTAAACAGCAACTTCACAAAATTACTTTCAGGCTTGCTTAATCATAAATGCTTGACCGAAATATAATTGTTTTTAAATGATGACCAAAGTGTACAAAAAAAAACTACCATTGCAGTTAAAACTTTTTTCTACCTCCACTTCTTGCTTGCCACAATGGTTATTACAATGTTTACATAAGCAGTCGTTTCACACACTCAATGTGATGATTTGTAGGATTAACTGAAATAGCCACACCTTTGATTTGTGTCCAATTCCTGTGAAACCCAGTGTCTACGAGCAGCCACAGCTCCCAGTCATCTCCTGGTGACATCATGGTACTGGCATGTGGAAAGATACGTGTCGGCACACAGCATGTTAGTCCGGTTGTCACGGAATGCATCCAACTCTCAGAACAGTTCCTTTATTTACCATGGCTTCAGACAATGACTATCATGACCAGTTTATTGTATACTGGGATCTTACATTCGAGGGCGGTGGGGTAGCCTAGTGGTTAAAGCTTTCGCTCATCACGCCGAGACCTGGGTTCGTTTCCCTAAATGGGTACAATGTGTGAAACCCATTCTGGTGTGTCCTGCCGTGATATTGCTGGAAGATTGCTAAAAGGGGGGTAAAACTCACTCACTCTTACTTTCAAGATACCTATTGTAAAGTTCAGGAGAGGCATTAAGAAATGTTTTCTATGTTTAGGAAAAACCCGTCCAAATTTTGCTTTCCTCACTGCTGAACAATCTTCCCCATCTCCGAGTGACAACAGATCTGCTGATGACGTCAGAGTACCTAAACATGACCATCCCAGAAGTAGACCCAGAGTCACAGCAACAACAACAGCAACAGCAGCAGCAGCAACAACAGCAGCAGCAACAACAGCAACAGCAGCAACAACAACAGCAACAACGAGTATCCCAAGACCAACAGCTTGCTCCAATACAGAGTAGTGATTGGTATGTGATGTATACCAGAGCCAGCCAAAGCATTGTCTCATGTCTTGCTTTCAGTATCCTGTAGTGTTTACAGATTAAAGTGGTTATAGCATCCGTCCAGAGAGCAGAAGGTCTCAGGTTTGATCCCCAACTGCATCATACCTGAAGACATTAAAATATTGTACTTGTTGGTCACTGCCTGGCACTCATCATTATTGGGTACATCAAGGACTGGTCGGCTCGGAGTCAGTATTATGTGTCTGAGTGGGGTATTCATGCATAACTGCAGCATGGTATCTCAGTGAGCTAGCACTATTAAACCAGCTTATGTCTGGGCTAGTACAAGCAGCCACACATACACAAGCACGCATATCGGCGGCCATATGAGCATATCTAAAGAGCAAAATAATCTACGCTGAACATCAATTCTCAGTACGACGTTAAACCCCATTTCACCTCACCTTACAAATTGTGGGCCTATGTGATAAGACATTGATGAAAATCTTCAATGATCGTAAATTGTGTAAGCTTACAACTTGAATTTCATGCGAAAAATCCTTTTTTTCTATTTGATAAAACTAGCACACCTGTCAACTAATTAGCATAATGTAGCTTAAGCTCTTTCATTTAAAACAGTAATTTAGTTAGCTAACAATGGGCAATCAATCATCAGATGCTATTTGGCGTTAATCCTTTGAAAAGGACGCTATTTTACGTTATATCAACCCACACGGGCAGAGTGTATTCCAGTATAGATTAGTAAATCTACATACATAAACACTACCTTTGACAATTCCGCTGTAAGATAAAAGTAATTAATCATATCACGCTTGTTATCGGTTAACTTTGATCGAATGTTCATAATGTTGAATATTTACTATACATATGTAGACACAAGAAATGCCAAAATGGAACCTTTGACATAATTAAATGTACGGCGTATACCACTAATTATTTGTTATAAATTCATTAATCTGGTCATCAAGCGAATGATTAAATAACATGTGGTTTATACCACCTTAACACCATGGTTCATTTACAATGGAGTATTACATTGCATATGTATTGCATGTAAAACTTATGGGCCTAATACTCATATTGTCTTTGAGAATACAAACAAGATTTTACATGACATGATTAAACATCAGTGTAAAAATTACAGTGTGTGGGAGTCAATTTGGATCAGTCATTATTCATAGCTAACAAACTCTACATAACTGCCCAAGCACACTACAAATCAATTGTGACATGAAGTATCCAGTGAGCTATGAAAACAAGTTGTAACTCTCGAAAAGCTTATGTTTATATTCTAAAGGCTAGTACAAAATTAAATGCCAGCCACTTAACATACACACTCAAGCACGTCTGCCATATGAGCAAATGTAAATAATCTTAAGTCAAACTGACGTTAAACCCCATTTCACCTCACCTTACAAATTGTGGAATCCTGTCTTTACTGCTAACCAACAAGAATTGTGCTCTGTGTCTTCAATGAAAGCTTACAACTTGAATTTGTTTTTTTCTATTTGATAAAACTATTTTCATCATATAAACATCTCTGATTATGACATTTGTTTCCTCTCATTTTCTAGTGATGTTATGTCAAATATTGGTTCCTTCGATCCAAGCATGCTTGATATGGGTGAACCCGACCCAGAGGCAACCAGCCAGTCCCAGTGGGTACCGGACCAGAATCAGTTTGATCCAGTTGAAACCACACAAAACCATTGTGAACCAGATCTATCAAGTGAGATTTTGCTTTCGAATGGAGAGGAGGCTAACAACACTGTAGAAACCAATGATCAAACCGAAGCAGTCAACTCAGATTGTGATCAGTCTATATCTGTAGAGTGTGTTAAGAACACGGACACTAATGACGTAATGGATTCCTTAGAGGACAAAGGGAGAGAAGCAGTTGAGGATGGTAATACTGAAGCTGAGGGAGAGGTCAAGGCTGAAAGTGAAGATAAACCTGAAAACAAGCAAAACAGCAATACCGGTGAAGGGTCTCCGGGACTAGTGGAGATAATGACTGGGAGGGCATCACCATTGACAAACACAGACAGTATTAACCTAGAAGATGGTGAGTGATAATGAAGGACACTGTTTGAAAGTCTTTATAGGCATGATTTGTGCATGAAAAGTGCAATAAGGTCTTTGAATGACAATAGGACTTAATCTTGATATCTCTACTCTCTTGTTTTCCCCAGTAATATGTAATGGTGAATTGTTTTAAATAACCATGAAACTATTGCCTGAATCAGCTAAGAATCAACCAGTAGAGAGACTTGTCACCATGGTAACTAGAACCATAACAAAAATATTCAGTCTGGCTCTTTGTTTTCCAACTTTGAAAAAGATGCTTGGTGTTTTGTGATTGATATATTTGTGTGGTTGCTTTCTGAATGCCAGAAGATGACTGACCAGGTATGTACAACCCTTGTTTCTGCTTCATCTGCCTCTCTCACAGCCTCACGCTCTCTTGCTTCTAGATGTCCTGACTGCAGATTAGGTGTATAGCTCGCTATTTCGGGGTAGAATAATGTTTAAGAAGTGTTACATTGCAACTTAAAGCTCAGCTTTTTGCCCGAACAGGTCAACTGTACAGAGTTGTGTCGCTTCGCTAACAGGATCCGCTGGCTTGGTCTTTGTTTGATCTAACCTGATTGTGATCCTTGTTGTGTCACCACAACGTCCAGCCTCAGTCACTTTGTCATTACATAATGTGTGTGAAGGACACTTGTAAGATCTGTGAAATACCAAAAGGAGCCGTTTGCTTCTCTTTTCCCCTCACCCTATGAAGAGCCCTGGTTCGAAAGTGTCCCTATCAACCTGTGAAAAATTATGTGGAAGGTTGGGCTTGTTGTTTCTTGTCACCCCAGCATTGCTCTTGCTAAATATTAGTACTGCATGGTATTACCAGTATGATGCAATACGCCTTTTCAAATGATATGTATTACGATATTATTACTGAAAGCCAATCTTTTAGGTAGAGACATATATGACATTTTGTATCTCTCTCTATGGTTTAAGTTAAGATATTCAGAGACTTACATTCACAAGTGATATTTCCCTTCAATAATTCATTGACAAAGCAGCAATACATTACAAAGTATAAATTGTATAAAAATGAAAATAGAATCCCTAACAATCTCTAACTTAATTTTGAAATTTCTGTTATCAGAATCATAACATTTATTTTTAGGGCCTTTGTATAATATGCCTTGTAATTTCTGCAGGTACAATCATTGTCACTTTAGCTCCCAATATATTGCAATACATATCGCAGTACAGATGCCCGAATTGCAATACAATTTATTCGCCACTACACAGACCTAATGACTATTACTGTCCGTCATGACTTTGTCTGGTCCACACTTGCAACCTGCTGTCACGTAGTTGGAACATTGCTGAGTGTGGCAACAACAAATCTGATTTAGCCGAGATCACGTAAGACTCCTTGAAAAAGGTCCACAATGTGGGCAGCAGTGGTCTTAACGGACACCCTCTTGTCCCTGTAGTACAGCATCTGGAGATCACTATCTCTCCTCCTACTTTCTACTCCTGGTGGAGGATCCTCTTCATCACATGTGTACAATATGTGAACCCCTGTATCTGGTGTTCTCTCTCTTTCTCTCTCCTCTTCCTCTTTTCTCTCTTCTCTTTTCTCTCTCTCTCTCTCGCGGCGTTCCCTTCCCTTTAATCAGCCAGACTCACCGCTGTTTTCTGATTAACATTTGGTGGTAGGCTCTATGACATGCAGTTTGCTTGTAATCTTTTTTAACTTTGGTGATGGTGTTTTTATAGTTGATAGCATCTGTAACAAAAACTTCAAGCTTCATCATTTCAGTGGAGAGTAGTTTTAATGAGTGGAGTTTCATTAGGTAAGTTTAGTATGCTGGCTGTGTACCAGTGGCTGAAGTCCCAGTGCTTGCGCTCCTACAGGTCACATACACACAGACTCACTATAACGGCCTGTTTGTCTCTAGTCTGTTGTATGTAGTGTTGCCATTTACGTAACTTTAGAACAAACTCATGCAAGTGAAATTACAGCTTGAAATTGTTTCTTGGCCGGAACCAGTTAGATATGTATATTTTCCATCTGAAAAGTTTTAACAGAAGTTAAAGATATGTAACTTTTGAATCAGCAATGGATAGATTAATAATAAATACTATGATATTATGTCATCTTTCCACTCTGTTAGTTTGGCACTGATGAACATTGTTCTGCAACACTGCTTAGGATATTACAAGTAGAGAAGTGCTTGGTTATATTGGCTGAGCTCAATACATGCATGTCCTATCTCTTTCAACATCTTCCTTGAGTATGTAAGTAAATTAGTACTTTAAATCCTTTAGTGGAAGACATGTTTTTTTAATTAGTTAGATACCGTAGTGTGGGAGTCTCTAATGCCATCAATTCAAGGTTATAGTATCTGTACTTTACTGAGAGAAAGTGTAATCCTAAATATAGCATATTAACTTGATTAACCAGTTTGTTATTCACTATGATGTAGTTTGTAGTAATTGTTATGTGTTGTTTATTTTTCCAAAATGGTATTGTTGGACCTTAAAATCTGACTTGGTTAACAATCCAGACGATAGCGAGGTAACCCACCCTGTGTGCAATATGGGCCGTCATTATCATACCCACGCTGCTTCCATCTAAACCCGTGTGCAGTATGGGCCGTCATTATCATACCCACGCTGCTTCCATCTAAACCTGTGTACAATAAGCCTGCATATACTTCCTTTTCTCTTTGGTACCTTAAGTTCCTGTGTAAAGTTCACACTAAAGGTAGACTGAATGGGTAGCTTAAAGTTCTCTCCAGTGAGCTTCCTTCTCCCATCAGAAAAGAATGTTCACTTGAATACAACATTACAGAGCTTTTTACTTACCTGTCACCATTTCTTTTATTTCACTAGTACTGCTGTGTAATAAGGGCTCTAAATGAAGTTTTAACATTCTCCAGGTGTTTGGTCGGGTAATAAGATGGCCACTTACATTTAAAATTGGCCAGTAAAACATTGACTGGCTGATGCTGTTGAAAGATTGTCTCACTCACTGTGCACAACTATTCTGTTCCAGTGGTGAAAGGGTTTAGCAAGCAGAATTCCTTCCTGAGAGAAGAGACGAGAAGTACGCCACCCCTCTCTCAGCTGCTGAAACAGTACCACAGCCAACCCAGCACAGAAACAACATCTCACCCTTAGATACAGACCCACAGACTGGCAGATCTCTTCTCTTGTGCCTTTTTTGTTTCTGTTCATATAATTTCATTAAGTGTCTAAGACGGATCTGAGTTTTCTGATAAAATGGTTGCTTCATGGGTTCAAGAGATGACCCATGCTGTGCATTGTTTGTGTTGCACAGTGACATATGTTTGTTAAGTTGCTATGGCACAAGCCAGAAATGAAAACATTTTCAAGTTACAGGACCATAACTGATCTCATGTCTTACTCTGCATTCAGTAATGCAGATGTTTGATGATCCGAGCTGTTCTTGTATGTTGTGAGCATATTAACAAAGTTGCGGGAGCAAGGTACCTGAGAGAGAAGCATCTGTACTTTCCTCAAAACAGTTGCTGCCATGCTCTGTGTAGTGTTACATCAAATGTCAGTATGTATTGGGGTTTTATCATGGGTTTCAATTCCAGGTTCAACAATTTTGTGATTTTGGTCTTTCAGCTCAGAAATGTTAAATGTCTGGAAAAAGTCATTTTGACAACAGACATGTTATGAATGAAAGGCTGTTAAAACCTGCATTAAGCCCCGTCCACTTCCTCCCCAGAGCATGCCTTGGTCAACAGGTTTGGTCACACCGGTGACTTGAGGTGGCCCTGTCTTCTTTGGTGCTGCAATTTTCAGTGTAGAGTTGCTTCCCATAGTTACATAGTCACTTGACACGTCTCTCAATCACATAAGTAATTTGAACAGCTAAGTTCAGGGTTGTGTAATTCAAATCGAAATGAAACGAAGTTAGCAAACGTGGGGAGAGTATATTTATGAAAGTGGTGTAGAGATGATATACTAACTGAGGTTGTAGTAACAGGTTGAGGAGGAGGAAATCCCAGCCCCTTTAAGTAAGATTCTACAGACACAATGATTCATTTGTAGTGCCCCTCGGAATTACATTAGTGAGTACATCTAGCAGGTGCCCCTCGAATTACATTAGTGAGTACATCTAGCAGGTGCCCCTCGAATTACATTAGTGAGTACATCTAGCAGGTGCCCCTCGAATTACATTAGTGAGTACATCTAGCAGGTGGGCTATTTAATTAAAGGGTGTATGATATATTCCTCCCAGCTTCATGGTCTAAACTAAAGACAAATACAGAACAGAAGAGACATACTTGTTGATGGTGTTGGAGCAAGTGATCCAGTGGCTGTCAAGCGAACAGATCTAGTCAGCGGATAGGCAGCCGATATTGCTAGTACGACAAAGAAGCACATTGTGTTGACTGTTACTCCGATCATGTAAGATGTAGTTCTGTCTTTCAGTAGTCTAGTATTTTGTAATCTGATGAGTCACAGGATGCCCATTTCAGTCATGAAGAATGCTCATTTCAGAGATAGAGATGCATCATTCATAAAGGATTCCAAATTCAGACATAAAGGATTCCAATTCAATCATAGAGGTGCCCAATTCAGTCATAGATGTGCCCAATTCAATCATAGAGGTACCCAACCTCTTTCTTTCATTCCAGCAATATTTGTCAGATTTTTCTTATTGACACTTTCCTTCATAAGTCCCCAAACATTTTCTATTGGATTTAGGTCAGGGCTATAGCTTGGCCAATCTAATAATGTCATATTTTGGGTCCGAAATCAGGCCTGTGACTGCTTTGAACGATGTTTTGTGTCGTTGTCCTGCTGGAAAATCCAAAATTTCCATAGAACACGTGAGCAGATGGAAGTAAATGTCCCTCGAGAATATCTGTGTACCGCTCACTGTTCATATTCCCATCAAATACACAGAGGGGCATTGCCCCTAACACAGATATTTCGGACACGTTAAATTTCGGACTGTACTTTGGTTGCTGATACAATGGTGTTTTAGTTTGTTTGTTTGGTCCAGAATTTCAGTGTATTAGGAAACAACCGCACATAACTTTAATCTGAGAAAATCACATTGTCCCAGCAATATTTTTCAAAACATGATAAACAGTGGACAAAGGGATGCCTGTTCTACTTGAAATCACTTTAGCTGATCTGATGTCCTTGTTATATTACTCTAAAATCAACTTCCTCTTCTCTAAATCTTCCATACTGAGGATCACTGAAAATGTTGTCTGCTAGCAAGTAAACAAAGGGGGATAACTCTTCACAAACTAATGAAAAAGGATTAGCAGAGTTGTCTCTCTTGAATGAAACAAAGCACTTGATAGCTGGTCAAGGTAGAAATCCAATTAAACATATTCCTAAAATTCTCAATAATTTCTGGTCATACTATAGCTGACCTATACCCTAACTCACAACTAACCTTAAGGATCGATTGTAAATAGGTTACGTTACTCCCAGTATTATCTCTGTCCCTTGCTTCCCCTTTCTGATCAAGCACCCCTTCCATATTTCCTCGGGGCAAGGCACCCTTTGCCGACCAAAGACTTGACAATGATTAGGGTATGGCACCTGTTACCCGAACGATAGAAGACCCACATGAGATCAGTGAAGTGAGTTCAACAGTTGGGGAGGAGGAGCCAGTTGGCCCCACAGGAAGCTGCTCGCAGTAAACTTGATGAGTGCCATGTTACATGTTTATGAATTTGAGACCAGCTCAGAACTATATTATGAATCACTCCAGTTATATTCAGATCGAATATATAAAGATACAGACATTTTGAATTAAGTTGCACAGTGTGAAAGTTATGAAACCTCTTACTTCTTATAGCATGGAAACTACAAACAAAACCATTTGAAACTTCCCTTCTCTGGTCGACCACCCCTGATTATCCCACTTCTAATGGATATATGGTTTGTCACAGTCCCATGATGAAAAGTCAGTCTTGGAACTCTGAAATTTGTGAATTGCTGACATTTTGTGTTGTGACACCAAGGACGTGTCCGAGCATCACTATCATCAGTCGTCCAGTTCCAACTCCATTATTCCACAATATCTATTTCATTATTGCTGCGTTGTAGTCAATCGCTGTTATGTTAATCAGCCTGCAGTCACATGGATATTCCTCCAGAGATATATTCTGGGTCGGTGAGGATACAAGAAACATCTTTTCTGTGGTACCCCTCTCAGACAACTTGTGAATGTTTTGATGGGAAATACTTCAAGCGAGCATGTCTTGATTGGTGCTGAAGGTCCAAGGTGACCGACAAAAGACACATTTTGTTCATTAATATGTACACAGTTTAGTTGCATTCCATATCCAAATTCAGATGAATATTGGATGTATCCATTCAAAAAGAATTACTCTTCCTAGTTTACTGTACTTGTAGAATTTGGTAGAAATGTACTGTGTGATTGTGCACATTGTATCCAATTTTACATAATCATGTGCAAATTGATTTAATTACAAATGTTAAAAACTGGGTTTTTTCATTGTGTTTATTTTTTATTAGTTGATCTGTTTTGTATATGTTATTCATGTCCTGAGTCTGTGATTTTCACATCTCTGTGATAGTCTTAATGGGACAAGTCACACACTATTCATCAAACAAAGGCAGGTCGTTCCCTGACCGTGTGTCCTGATTTCATATTGTTCCAAAGTCTCCATCATCTCTGTAGATTCCCTAGCACCACCTTGTCCAACCAGTCAATCAAAGTTGTTGCCATTTATTTTGTCGGTGTTCCGTCCGTTAGAAACAATTTTCAAAACTAGGTATATTAGTATCATATTAGCACAGATTGATCTTTGACACTGGTCAAATTGAAAAATACTGAAATAAAACACTCTGATGTGTTATAATGTGATATAAAAAAGTTACCTATTTAGTAATGAATAAAAACAACAGTTAAGCTGAAATTGTACAGCCAGGTTTTTATTACACTGCATGAAACTGAATTGTTCAGTGATAAGGTGTGCTTGTGTTGTGACGGTGTTTGGATACCTGACTCTGACAATCGCAGGCTTTTGGAGCTGTTCGTGTGTTTCACAGTGTTTTTTAAAGAATTTCTGGGGCGGTGGGTTAGCCCAGTGGTTAAAGCGTTCGCTTGTCATGCTGAAGGCCCGGGTTTGATTCCCCACATGGGTACAATGTGTGAAGTCCATTTCATGTGATAATGCTAAAAGCTGTGTAAAACCCAACTCACTCTAAAGTATTTCTACGCAGTCCCGAGTAGTTGTACTGGTCAGACTATCATGGCAACATGACAAGCACGTTTAAACAGATCTTTACCAGAGTTGGGTTGACTCTCTGCACACCTTTTGAGTACTTTGAGTCTTGGACCTGGCTGAACAGGATTCCATGAAGTTGTGTGGATTAGTTTGTGTCAAGTGTTACTCCTGGAAGTGCAGTACAGTAATAAAGATGATATTTCAGTTGTCTTCATAGCTATTGTTAGACTAAGATATTATTCATGTGATGAAATTCAGACACGTTTCAAGAATCATTCTGCTGTTTACATGGAAATAATCACAAACTGGTTGGGTTTGTTTTTCTTTTACAAGAAAACATTTCTTCAGTATTTCATGTGTCAAGTTCCTGTCTTGAAGGCACAATGTCACACCACACTTCTGTATAATTACATCATGCATTTCTCTCAATAATAGCATCAGCCCTAAGGGAAGCTACCATATAATTTATTCAAAAAGATATATATAAATGTATTTAGATTACAATATTAAAATGAGAAGTTCGCATGAATTAATGCAACGTTACAACATTATTTCAAGTGAATCCCATAGTTATGTCCCTTGGAACGCTCTTTATGAATATCCTGCGTACAACTTGTGATAAAACTCCAGTTAGACAACACCATGTGCGACTGTTTTTGATATACGGAGCAATCATTTACACTCCATATATGGCAACTGTTATCTATTTGGAAGCTGTTCACCTCGAAGTTTCAATTATCGATTTCAGGCAAGTCGTAAGGGATAATAAGTCTTATTGCATCTCTCTCTCTCCCTCATCCCCCCTCCCCCCAATATATAAAATATTGCCAAAGATGTGAGACATTGTGCCTTTAAGCATGTGATTTTATTCTGTCGATTGTTCTGTTTCCGTTTACTCAGTACTTGGGATCAGTGATGTCCATATTTTTTATTTCACGGGTAGACGTGACATATATTTGTTTTGAAATCTTTGCAAATGTGTATCATGTTATCAAAATCATGCTTCTGTTTTAATTCTGTAATAATATAAGATACAAACTCTAAGTGATCTTTGATTATGTTTGTGTTTGAAAGAACACATGCCAGTCAGGAATCAGATGCCTTGATTACTCCTGTCAAGGTCTGACAAGACTCGGGAAGAGGGCACATCATGTGAGCTCTGATTAAACTTTGACCATCTGATCATTTGATCCAGTCACCGTATCCCAACCTGTAACCATCAGATCAATCCAGTCACCGTATCACACCCTGTAACCACCAGATCAATCCAGTCACCATATCCCACCAGATCAATCCGGTCACCATATCACACTGTAACCACCAGATCAATCCAGTCACCGTATCCCACCCTGTAACCATCAGATCAATCCAGTCACCGTATCCCACCCTGTAACCACCAGAACAATCCAGTCACCGTATCACACCCTGTAACCATCAGATCAATCCAGTCTCTGTATCCCACCACCATATCACACCCTGTAACCACCAGATCCGTGCGGCCACTGTATCACACACTGTTGAGTTTTGAGAAAACACAGGCAAATGCATTTCCCAGAATAAACTGAAATCGATCTTAAATTGTCTACTATGTTTTAGTAGATAGGTTATTTGAGTTGTTTTGGCTTTTGTATTTTAGAAATGCAGCTGAGTTTGACAATTTGAAACCACTGAATTTCTAACTCAGTTTGAGATTTGAGTTAAAAGTTAATTTTGTTTCGAGAAATCAGTCTCAGATCAATGCTAAACTACCAGATCAATGTAAGTCATATGAACACAAACTATAACCATCTGATTGTAGAATTTCCTTATTAACCTCAGTGAAGATGACTTCTTCAATGAGTGGATGGGTTAAAATTTGACACAATCTTTGGTTCAAATGAAAGGAAAAAGAATTGCTCTTACCATTTATTTTTAAATGGACTGTTATGATATGTATATATGCCAGGGTTAGTGATCTCATGTTATACCAATCTTTTAAATAAAAACATCAATACATTCTTCAGTTTTGTCCTGTGTCCAGGACTATCTTCAAAATATGAAATTCACTTTATTGAGGCATCTATAAAGAACGAGCATATACACACAAGCATTAATCAAACACCACGCACATTCTTATTTTAATACGATAAGTACAAAAACATGTATATGCTTTGGAAAACAAATTCTGTGTTTAAAAATGGTAACTGTAACATATCTTACTCTGATTTTAAAAAAAACAACTAAAAAAAATTTAGTATTTGGTAACAATTTACATGCAATTGTGAGGAATATCAACAGTGCTAGAAAGTCTGATCACCATGACTACGCCACCAATCTGATAGTCACACAGTTTTCAAATAATGATGGTATGCATCACAACTGGCAACCACATCAGTACCTGGTCCAGCTTGCACGGATATCCTGACAGTCTCCTCATGAATGTAATTCTCATCATCAGAATTTTTCATGGAGTGCCTGCATCAATTCCTGCAGATTCTTCACAGGAGGATCTTGAACAGGACATCCAAGATAGCCCCAAACACTTTGTTCTTCTTGCAGGCCATGGCAATGTTTCCAAGGAATTCTGAAAATGGGCAATGGTGGCTCGAGAGATCTAGCATTGTCATCCATAATATCGGATGACTGGCAAGTTGATGGTTATCAAAATGTATTCTGTACTTCCTGTTGATAATGATGACCACTGAGAGTCCGAAGAAGAGTAAAGAGATCCAACGTTAAATTGTACAAAACACAACCCCACACCATCACTGGGCTGCCACCACAGAGGTCAACTGCACAGATCAACATACTCTCAGACCAGCTTGCAGCCTAATTTCAATTGGATTCAGGTGGTGCTTAATTAATGATCATGTGTAGATGAAAGGTTTATTGTCATGACAACAACCTCTTAAGAATTAACAGTATTAGAACAGCCTCAAACCAGGTTGATTATCCTTCAACCAGTATTCAGAACATAGAAGTAGCAACATGTATTGAGCACACCATGCCATAAGATGGACATTGTTCTGAATATTTCTCAAAAAGTTTTATTTCCTTTATACACCTTGCTAAAGTGTCTGTAACAGGCAGATTTTCACAAGAATGCTCAGGACAGGAGCTTTTTATTCGCACACAAAACGTAATAGACATAGCGCCATGTGGCGTTTCTGATGAAGACTGTCAGAGTCTACCTATATTAACTTCTTTACACAGTAAAGTCAGACAGTCATCTCAATGCTGAGTGGAGCCTTGGCTGTCCTTTTGTCCCACTACAGGTTCACCCCCATCAACACAGATGTCTGCACAACACACGGAATATTGACCTGAGACTTGTTGATCAGCAGCACCTGGGTTGGATGGGCCATGGATGGGCTGTTATACAGTGAGCTGTACAGATCCAGACATTTGATCTGTGTATGGAGCGAGAGCAGGTATCACTTCAGAATCTAGGAAGTCCAGTACCTGTGGATGTGAAACAAGGGGACTGTGTACCTGGCTGTGGTGTTGATTACTTTCACTGAAGAACCAAATACATGTCAGACATGAAGTTGGAACGACAATGTAAAGGTCTTGACCCCTAATGATAAAATAACACTTAAAGATCTTGTCTTATGGCAAGCTGGGGACTGGCCTTTAGGGAAGAATGAAGGTCCCCAATAAAACAAATCTTGATTACTCAAGTAACTCTAAACATGCGTATCCCTGGAAGATTCTACCAACACCAACACTTCTTTGATTGGCATTTTAGAAGTTGAGATGAAGAATGAGGACAATTTTTATGGATATTCAACTTCATTATTCTGTATAGGCAATATTTCAACATAGGTTCTAATGTTGTCAAGCAAGTGTCACCAATGTTGTCAAGCAAGTGTCACCCCCCCAAAAATTGTCCTCATTCTTCAACAATAACCAAATGACAATTCAATATACCGTGTGACCCCTCACAATAACCTCAGTATCACAGCATTCTTTACAGGTAAAGAACAGGTAATGAACCTTGAACATTCTAGGAGAAATCTGTCAGATTTACCTGTTTAGGAGCCAAGCCAATGAATGATGAAGGGTCCAGCAGTGCATCCAGCTGGGTGTGTATAGGGGCGAAGTACTGGGAGGCGCGGATCCTCTCCACCAGGTCGTTGTCCCGGCCCTCCTGCTTCACCACGCTCCCCGCAGCCTGGGACAGCACACGCACCTCCTCGTGGCACTCCTGGCGACACAACACTCAGACGTGAACCTTGGCACCAACATGGCAGGCTTGACTGTTAGTATGGGGATGGGGCAGTTTCCAGAAAATCATCTACAGATGTACACTGGTATAGGTACACAAGACAAAAAAGGACCAAGACAATCTCCACACCTCCCCTAGGCATTCCTCAAGCTGGGTCACAACATTCATCAGTGAACCATGTCTGTCACCAAGGTTCTACTATCATGTTCAGCATCATGACGATCTCATAACCCAGCAAATTTAATCAGTGTAAAATGTTGCTGTTCATAAGTGATGATGTTACCATAAGGAACTTAATATCTGTATAGTCATGATCCTTTACATTACTTCAATATTCAATCTCAATTTGCATCATTTAAGACAAGAGGTCCAACATTACTGAACAGATTACAGACAATGCGCCATGCAACAATAAACTACATGTGTTTGAACCGAACTGATAATGCTTCATCAACACCATTGGTGCTGACTATAAACACAGCATACATCACAACACTAGGGTCTACAGGACCTACTTGTCTGTTGCCGCCTGCCTTCACCATGGCCATGATGATGTTCTCCGTGGCCATGAACGGCAGCTCCTGCTTCACCCTCTTCTCAATCACCTGTAACGACAACAGAATAGGAGACTACTGAACACTGTAGACATCCTGATCTAGAGGTCACGGGGTGATTCCAGTAGGAAAGTAGACTGCTACTGCACAGTTTGTAATACTAACCTTTGGATATACGACCAATCCCTCGAAGATGTTCTGTAGCGTACACAGCACACAGTCCGTTGTCAAGAAGGCTTCAGCCAGGCTTATTCTCCTGCAAGTCACAAAATACCAGTAAATAGATCGTCATTGATACAGGTCAAACTGGGCTTCACACTTGGAGTGGGTGAGCATAGTTTTATGCCACCTTTAACAATATTGCAGCTATATCAAGGTAGGGACACCCAGACTTTGTCCACTGGACACAGGTGGAGACTTGAACCTCGGTCTCTGACATGACTAGTGAAAGCTCTAACCGATATACTATCCCAGTACCCCAATATGGTGTGCTTGGGGGTAGTTGTAAGGAAAGCATCATTGGTATAATAAATGGGGTGGTTGTAAGAAAAGCATCATTGGTATAATAAATGGGGTGGTTGTAAGGAAAGCATCATTGGTATAATAAATGGGGTGGTTGTAAGGAAAGCATCATAGGTATAATAAATGGGGTGGTTGTAAGGAAAGCATCATTGGCATAATAAATGGGGTGGTTGTTAGGAAAGCATCATTGGTACAATGAATGGGGTGGTTGTAAGGAAAGCATCATTGGTATAATAAATGGGGTGGTTGTTAGGAAAGCATCATTGGTACAATGAATGGGGTGGTTGTAAGGAAAGCATCATTGGCATAATAAATGGGGTGGTTGTTAGGAAAGCATCATTGGTACAATGAATGGGGTGGTTGTAAGGAAAGCATCATTGGTACAATAAATGGGGTGGTAATAAGGAAAGCATCATTGGTATAATAAATGGGGTGGTTGTTAGGAAAGCATCATTGGTACAATAAATGGGGTGGTTTTAAGGAAAGCATCACTGGTACAATAAATGGGGTGGTTGTAAGGAAAGCACCATTGGTACAATAAATGGGGTGGTTGTAAGGAAAACATCATTAGTATAATAAATGGAGTGGTTGTAAGGAAAGTATCATTGGTATAATAAATGGGGTGGTTGTCGTCTAGGGTCCGTTCCATCCACTATACAGAGACAGTCATCAGACAAGCAGTATTCCTACCTATTGGCGCTGTCGTCTAGGGTAAGTTTCATCCACTGTACAGAGACAGTCATCAGACAAGCAGTATTCTCACCTATTGGCGCTGTCGTCTAGGGTACATTCCATCCACTGTACAGAGACAGTCATCAGACAAGCAGTATTCTCACCTATTGACGCTGTTGTCTAGGATACATTCCATCCACTGTACAGAGACAGTCATCAGACAAGCAGTATTCTCACCTATTGGCTGGCTAGGTCGTTCCATCCACTGTACAGAGACAGTCATTGGACAAGCAGTATTCTCGCTAGGGTGTCGTCGTACGTTCCATCCACTGTACAGAGACAGTCATCAGACAAGCAGTATTCTCACCTATTGGCACTGTCGTCTAGGGTACGTTCCATCCACTGTACAGAGACAGTCATCAGACAAGCAGTATTCGCACCTATTGGCGCTGTCGTCTAGGGTACGTTCCATCCACTGTACAGAGACAGTCATCAGACAAGCAGTATTCTCACCTATTGGCACTGTCGTCTAGGGTACGTTCCATCCACTGTACAGAGACAGTCATCAGACAAGCAGTATTCGCACCTATTGACGCTGTTGTCTAGGATACATTCCATCCACTGTACAGAAACAGTCATCAGACAAGCAGTATTGTCATCTATTGGCGCTGTCATCTAGGGTACGTTCAATCCACTGTACAGAGACAGTCATCTGACAAGCAGTATTCTCACCTATTGGCGCTGTCGTCTAGGGTACGTTCCATCCACTGTACAGAGACAGTCATCAGTGGGTCCTGTATGAGACACATCAGATGTCGAGACAGAGCACAGCAACGCTCCGACCTCATGGGGTTACGTTTGTACGCCATTGCACTGGATCCTAAACAAACAAATACCATTTACTATTAGTGGACAAAGTGACACCGTCCTGGTCAGTCAGTCTTGCCGTCCTTTGCCTTGCACTTCAGTCCATATAAAAGGGGACAATTGTCCTTATACACATGATTCAGTAATCAGGAAACCTGCTAGTACAAAGGAACAGGAGATCTAAAAAACAGGACACAAACCGTACTTGTTTCAACAGAAGGGATTTTGGAGATCTGTTTCCTGACCTATTTCTTTCATGTAGCAATATTTGCTCCAGCAGCCATATGTATATTTCCAAGATTGTATCTTCTATAAAACCCTCACCATTTGTATTATAGAAATTGCATTTGTTGAAAGAGGTTAACTAATACACATATTAACCTGTTATTGAATCCAAAGAATCTTCCCTGTAAACTGTATTTCTTTTATTGGACTTGGTTTCAGTTAGCCAATGTGCTATAGACCCATCCTGGGTTGTGATCTCAACCATCACCATGAAGTATATCATTCATGTATGTTAAATATGAGCAATACATCATTGCTCTATCTTCTGCAACATTCATGAGCAATGCAACATTTTGCTCTATTTTCAAAAGGTTCCTCCAACTCCTTGAAGTTGGCCAACAGTCTGATATCTGTACAAATCTGAAGAAGCAGGATAATATTTGATACCTAGTTTGGTGTATTCTCAACAGCTATGGCTATAACACTGTCTTACATTTGATGACAGTGAGTGAATATTGTTGTATTCTCAGCAACAGTCTGTGAGTATCTGATAGTGAGTGAATATTGTTGTATGAAGCAGTTATGGCTATGACACTGTGGCTTACAAGTATTTGATGACAGTGAGTGAATATTGTTTTATGTCTCAGCAACAGCTATGGCTATAACACTGTGGCTTACAAGTATTTGATGACAGTGAGTGAATATTGTTTATGTCTCAGCAACAGTTATGGCTATAACACTGTGGCTTACAAGTATTTGATGACAGTGAGTGAATATTGTTTTATGTCTCAGCAACAGTTATGCTATAACACTGTGGCTTACAAGTATTTGATGACAGTGAGTGAATTTTGTTTTATGTCTCAGCAACAGCTATGTCAGTTGATCCACATACAAACTGGTTACTGATATCTGGTTCGATTCTGTCTACACAATGCACCTCTGAACACGTACTTCTGGTGTGAAGACATTCCTCAGCTGACTGAACTGGATTGGTAACTACAGCTACTAAGGTAAATCAGATACTGAAAACTCACATTGAAAATATATTTTATTAGATATTGCAAAACAAAAATACTCATTAACACTCCAGAAACACTTGTTTCTATAAATAGAAACAAAACATAACAGTAAATAGCTATCTTTGACAAAAGTCTCCTTTCCAATATAGTTACCGGTAAAGCCAATGTCTTAAACAATGTCGACATGTTCAAGTGATCATACAAAACAACAAAAGATGAGAGAAACAACACATGGCACAAAAGTCTCATCTTCACACAAGAGCCTGTCTTGACACTCGAGCCAGTCTTATCCTTGACACACAAGACAGTCTTAGCCTTGACACAAGTCAGTCTTAGCCTTGACACATGAGCTAGTCTTATTCTTGACACACAAGCCAGTCTTATCCTTGACACATGAGCTAGTCTTGTGTGTGTGTGTTGTCACTTACTTTGTACATAAATTTATTTATTTATTTTTATTTATTTAATTTTTTTTTAAAATGGGGGCAGTCACATTGTACATGCTTCTCCATAAAATCATCATCACCCCTAGAGATACATTATGAACAGTCCCTTATCAATAAATATGTGTGCACTTTAATATAGTGAAAACAGAGATCATAATTAAGACATACGAAGGTGTACTGTTTCACTACAACTGTTAGTGTAAATGAATACAGGCCTGCAGGGCTCATACAGATGTATCAACTTTGGAAATTATTTGAAAAGCTTTTACAATGATTAGTTTGATAATTCTTTTTATTTAATTTATCAGGGGTATTGGAGTATTCCATGTCCTGAAATACGGCAAGCAGGTTGTACTGATAAAAGGGTCTCAAAGAACAGAACTTATTACAGAGCATGTGCACACAAGAAGGAAAAAGATATCGCATGGAGAGATGGTCTGTAATCTCATTTTCTGACTTCCAAGTTCCAGTGAAACAGAACTATCTGAGCATCATACAAGTCGGGGTTACAACTAAAGGCCTGTGATGCAGGGTGTTCGGACAAAAAGGTACTGTTCAGAATTGATGACAACAATCACAGCACGAGGGCACAAGGGAGAAAATAGCAGGAAAAATGTCAGCATGTTATACGTACGGAAGCAGTGTGTACTAAAGAAATACAGTTCGCTCTACCCCCTGAACTAGTATAGTTAAAGTACGAGGATGCTTGTGTCAGGACAAAACCTGGCACTATTGATCAGGGGGCATAACCTTAACTTCATGCACAGCACAATGAAATCACTGCTGTATCTGACAAGCACCATCAAAACCCTGAATGTATCGAACAAGAGATGGAGGCAAAGGCAGTTTTACCATATCTTCAGATAAGACAAGTTCTTGAAGTGATGCACGACATATTTCTTTCAATGTCTTTAGACGGAATGAGGAGACAAGACTTAGGACTTGCTGAGCACATGAGAGAAATTGTCCACTTGGTGAAAACACTGGTGCAAAGTGATGGAGGCCATTTGAAGATATGTATGTGAATTGTCCTTTAAACTGTAAGTTCAAGTCATACATGTAGTTCGTAACATTGAAATTCTTGCAGATAGCAGGTAATGGATTATTTGTGGAATCCCCCAGCACAGATAGTATGATTAAACGTTGGTCATGAACGTTTTGCAGAACTGAAAACTTGTCATGGGCTGCTGCACAACCTAAGGCAATGTCTTCAGTAACAGATGTTGTACAATCTTCCAGAATAATCCGACATAATTTAGGTCCACAAGTGTTCATTCTTGCCACAATGAGTGACTTTGTTGGAACAGCAGGATCAAATATAACAGACATTCTCTCAAAAGACATCTCTGGGAGGGGGACTTCTTTACAGCAAGAAAAATCTACTGACATTTTCAACAAGATAAAATCATGTTGTTCATACTCTAGAAAACATTCAGGTTGATAAAGAGGGTTTTTCTTTAGTACAATGTACTGAAGATCCATACTCATACAACATTCAAACAAGTGCAACTTCTCTTGACCTTGGTATCTCCTCTCAAATTTACAAAGAACGTTTTGCTTATTGATGTCACATATAAAGAAGTTTACAGCTCGCTGGAAGAAACACTGAACCACAGCAATGCCTTTACTAAAACCAATCACAGTGCAATGAATGAGACCAGTGCCTCTCATAACTTTCTTTGGTATAAGGCATTTTTTGTCAATAGTTGTCTTTATTATCCACTTCCTTTTATATGACAAATCTGTGACAATTAGTTCTCCAAACTTTCCAATAGCTGCATGGAAATGTCTGTTTTCTGTGCAGTGAGGCTGCAATCCATACACAAGACAATCACATGCAAGGGAGCTACCTCCACTGTGTTCATACAGGACTTGGTAAGCTGGTCGAGAGGTGGATGGCCTCACATGGGGTAAAGTCTCCTGCTTGGTAAATGCTTTACCCATGTCTATAGTCAGCAAACACCTAAATTGTCATCTGTGTCATCAGTAACAATAGAATAGACACATGCTTGTTAACTTGGAGCTATTTGCGACCACGCCCACTTCTATGAAAACTCGAGAACTCATCCAAATCTGCATCTGCTTCTTGACATGACGTGGAGTATTCATCGTAACTGAACCAGCATTACTAGCACTGTCATCGGTGAACAGATCCAAAAACCGAGGACCTTGCGTATGGTGGTTACCTCAGTTCTTCGCCTCTCGTATGTCAACATAAATCCCGGAAGTGAAAATCGTTGCTATGATACCCAAAATATGAACTTCCGGGTCCACCAATAAAGCGGAACGAAAACTATTACTGGCGCGGCGCCTTCCCTTCTCTTTAACTTTGCGAGTAAACAGTGGAGTTAACCCTATTGTGTCGGCATATATTAAATCGGAATCAGAAACGAAAATGAATTTCTTCTTCTCTTGTAAAACTCGGAGAAACATTAGATGCAAAAAAAACCCAAAACAATTTCTATTTCATTTACAATTTAAATGGGTTATTATTATTACGGTTCTAAAAGTCTTCATGGAAATATTGACCAGCATATACAGTCCACTGTTTAAATGAGGAGGGAAAAACTGAGAAAAAATAACTGCACGTAATTCCGTGGCATTAGTGTAGTTGGCTAAAGAGGCATTATATTTTGCGCCGGCTTTCATAAATGAAAACACAGGCCACGCCTACAAACGGATTACTGTTTCCTGATTGGTCGACAATAAAATAGGCGTGTGTCATTACTGCAAGGACAAATCTACGTGTTCTTTACGCGCCACATTCAGTGATTCAGTAGTTACACAATAACACGAACAGATGGTATCTGTATTTTCATGTCCAATTACACGTTTACTTCATCGACTGACCTGACCTTATACCGACTGACCTAATATCATTATATCTCATGATCCACCATTCATCTCCAATTAAAATTAGTGTACAAACAAACCTCAGTACATCCTATCTCCTGTCTAATACATGGACATACAACAGTGAACACGGTGAACAAAACAAGGAAATGTAATACGGACAACAACAGTGTTAGAGCAGAGGTTTTTAGCTCGACTTGGGTCAAACTACACCCGATCTCACTGGTTTCTCTGTTCTTTAATACAACATTTCGGTTTTACAAATTTGTCTTAACAGGGTTAAGGACCATCATCACTTGAGTTATAATGAATATATTTCGGGCAACTCTCTCTCTCTCTCTCTCCATAGCGTTTTTCCTCTATAAAACTGTTCTCATTTTATTGTTTTTCGTACTTTTATTGTTTGGTTTTTGGTTTCGTTTTGTTTTGAAAAATAATATTTATGATAACGCCTAAATAACGCCGCAGGCACCCCCCAAATGTCGCTGGCGTTCCATTATATTTTAAGAAATAAGAACATTCGGGAGAAATAGTTTATTGCTTTAAGTGATTTCTGTATAGTCAGATGTCCATTCCCATATCATGACCACTTTAAGCAAACCTGAGAGTGAGTGAGTTTAGTTAAACGCCGCACTCAGCAATATTCCAGCTATATAGCGGCGGTCTGTAAATAGTAGAGTCTGGACATGACAATCCTGTGATCAACAGCATGAGCATCGATTTACGCAGCTGGGATACGATGACATGTGTCAACCAAGTCAGCGAGTCTGTCCACCCGATCCCGCCTTAGTTAATTAGTTGCCTCTTACGACAAGCATGGGTTGCATCACAGAGATCACGAGTGCCAGACCAAAGTGAAAATGACAGGCAAACTTTAAGAATACTTGTTTAGGGTACGTCGTACGTCAACTCAACGTCCACGGGAACACTAAATGGCGACATTATCAACAGAATAACAATGTCTGTTTTTCACCCACCCGTGATAAGCCCCTACCAAGACATAGTGGTTCGAACAGCGTATCTGCGACACGGGTAGCCTGAGGTCCCAGACAGTAGTTCCCACAACCCATGCCACCACTGACAACAAAGGCGTATCTGTAAGGACAGTCCGACCAGGCGCCCATCCGGACGTCAAATGAGGGATGTTCCTCGGGTGCTCATCACCACGGAGTCACGGTTTCTTCTTCACATGCCGATCTCAGTGCATGTGTCTACGGGCGAGTGTTGTGCCAGTTCCCGAACGCAATTTTATTGTTTTTAACACAGGAGGGCGGTGGACGGACACAGCAACACTGTTTAGCAACACGTCATTCTGTCCTGACTCATAACGTTATTGTGGTACACTGGTGTGATTTGTCATTAATCGAACATGCCTGGGATGAAGTGGAATGTCTTCCAAAGTCTCCAACAACCTTGCAGAACGCCATTCTCCTAGCCTGTGTTCAACAGTTATTAAACCGGAATGAGGCGAAGGTGTCTTGCCTCTCACCCACCATGAGCTTGATGAGTGAAATGATTCATTTGCTCAGAAGTTCCTCGTGAATGATTAGACGTAACCCAACCATCTTTCAGTGGGTTATTATTATCAGTACACGGGAGTTAAATGATTGGATTTCTTCTCTTTAGTTTGACAAAAGTTTATGTGATACACACAACCCAGGACCACACCTTTGACTGAAGCTGATATTTTGGTTCTCAACAAATACGAACTAGCATAAGTCACCTGAAGTTTTGCTTCTGAGTATGAACTCTATGCACATTTTCTATACATCGTTACAGATCCCAACACAGAAGTATGGAAGTCACAGTCCTCGCGTGGAGATCAAGAGGATCACATTCGCATCCCATTCTGGAACAGTGTCTTCACCGCTTGCGTCAAGTGCGGGGAGCGGAACATTTGGAGCCTGCGGGACTGAGCTGTTCTTCTGTATGACCAAGGGCTGTCGATGGGAAACCAGCTTCAAGTACGATGATGGGTGTAAGTGGACTTGTGACTTATGACCAGCTGACAATTTTCAATTTGTAAATATGGTCAGATCTCGTCACCTTACTTTTCATAATTTTCGATTCAATGTTAAGTTTAATTTGAAAGTGAATTGAGCTGAACCTGTAGTCAGACTATCAATAAGATGTCAATAAGTAGACCAAGCAAGCCTTGTAATTTGGACATTGACTCATTCAGATATCATGACCAATCAACCATTTTCCACAAATCATAGTTCCAATGCATACATGTTATCTACAAAAAACACAGCTGAAAGTTGTGGAGCAACACCAGCACCATTCATGTTTTAACTGGCATCTCCAACGTGCATGCTATCTGGGTCTTATCAAACATTGTGATTATGTTCACTTAAAGAGTGAAAATATGACCGTTAGAGCAGTACTGACTTATTACGCCTTTGTAATGATGATTATGACAGACTTCATCCCACCTCCTCTATTGAGGAATTACAATGTAATCTGGCATAGAGCTTTCAAGCTGCACCTAAAGAGCCCCATCAAATATACTGCCTTCCATGGCTGTTACCTGAAGCATGGGTTACCCCCAGTGTCATGACTCTTCATACATGTGCCAAGTCTTCATAAAATAACTTCTATTATTTCTTCATAAGTGAACGAATTGAAAATTAACTTTAGAAAGTCTTTTTAGCATTGAAGTGCAGATGTGTTTTTCAGTTTTCTTGCAACAGGATCCCACTAGTGAAAGCCTAGTCATGTGCATGGTGTCAAGGTAACCCTACCTCGTTACCTTGAACAATGAGGTATTTTACCTTGCCCCTCCTTCTCTTCCCCTCACCATCCAAGTACAATAGCCCTGTTTGTTCCTGTAACTCTATAGGTACAAACATGGGGTCAGTTCAGCAACAACACAACATAAGATTTATACACTTCTGAAAAGAGTCAAAATCCATCTTTCCTCTAATTTCATACCTGTGTATTACAAATATCCATGTTTTTGAAAACACCTACCGGACGTTGACCTAGTTTTTACAGATACACATATAGCTAGTGACAAGGGAGTCCGTTTCCACTGATTCAGTCTGCAGCCTAGACTTCGAAACTGCCCTGTGTTACCCGTTACAGTAAGCTGATTGGGTCCTGTCTGTGTTGACAATCTCTTCTGTGTGTCTGACGTCTGGTCCTCTGTTACCCGTGATAGTAAGCTGATTGTGCTCTGTATTAAATATCCACATAATGAATGGTCGATGTGGATCGGATGCTGAAGTAGGTGATTCTACTTATATTGGTGCTAATGGCACGAGTTTAGTAGACTATGCTATAGCGTCGTCATCACTGTTTGACAGTGTTCGTGACTTTTCAATCCCGTCCCGCACAGAATCTGACCATCTACCTCTTACTTTGTGTCTACGTGCGCTTCACTCATATGGGTACCCCCAATACAATGAAAAGAAATCCTTTAGATTTATTTGGGAACAGGATAAATTAGACCGCTTTAGACAAAATATTCTTTCAGACAATGTACAAGGACTACTTAGTGAGTCTCTGGATTCAGCATTTACTGATATCGATAGAAGTGTTGATTTGATAACTGAAGCTCTTTGCATAGCTGCTAGCGACATGAAAAAAAAATAAATCACACCAGTAGACAATATGAAAATCCATGGCACGATACTGAATGCAGGAAACTTAAAAAGAAAGATGTAGATATTTAAACAAATTTAGGAAATCGAAAGACGAGACACTTTAGAAAAATATCACAGCAGTAGGAATGCATACCATGCACTTTGTAGACAAAAGCTTAAACGAATATTTTAAGGTAAAACAACAAAAATTAGAGAATTGTATAAATGATTCAAAAACATTCTGGTCTATGCTGAAACAAATAAACGGACAAGCGTATTCGCGAAATAATATACAAATTGAAGATTGGTACAATTATTTCAGTGACCTGTTCTCCCACTCGGATAATGACAGTGCATTACATGACCAGTCTGACACAGAAGTGAACAATTCTGATTGTTCTGATTTTAGTCCAAGCTTCATAGAAGGTATTCTTGACTCACCAATTACTAAGGAGGAAATACTTCATAGTATCACAAACTTAAAAGCTAATAAATCTTCTGGTATAGACTCTACCATCTCTGAATTTTTTAAACACTCTACAGATTTACTATTGCCACTCTTAGAATTGATATTTAATATCATCTTGGAAAAGGATACTTCCCAAAATCCTGGTCCACTGGCATAATAGTTCCTATATATAAGAACGAGGACGTAAACAACCCTGAAAATTATAGGGGCATAACGTTATTAAGCATATTTAGCAAAATATTTATATCTACCATAAATAAGAGGTTAGTTAAATGGGCAGATACTCTAGACAAGATAACAGAATCACAAGCTGGCTTTTAGGAAGGGATACACTACTATTGATAACATATTTGTTTTACATTCTATTATTCAGAAATATCTTAATCAAAAGGGACAAAAATTCTATGCCTTATTTGTAGATTTTTCCAAGCATGTTCGATTCAATAAACAGGAACAAACTATGGAATCTCTTAGACAAGCATGGTGTCAGTCGTAAAATGGGAAAATTAC